CCGAAGAAGCATGATAACCCACCTGCTATTATCTGCGGCAGCGTTCGGAAACTCCCGACGAGCGCACGGCGCAGCATATCAAGCACTAGTGGAAAGTAAGTACGTTTCCGCATGCAGTAGCGTGGAAACTCACGAGCGATAGACGAAAAGACAAGGGCAGCTAAGACGGTGTCAGAATGGCAAAGAACTTACAGGCAAGCGCATGCTCATACCGGTAAGCTCCTGATGCATTAAGGCGGTCTATAAACGGATCTTAGAATGAATGCTTGGGGATGATCCACAGTAAACTTACATATGCAACGAAGACCACAACTATGGTGAGGATCGGAACGATGTGTCTGCAGGCTATCAGCAGACATTTGAGTGTATCCCACTTCTGACGTACGTCATATAGTTGTTGAAGAAATTGAACAATTTGAACTTCAGTTGGTATTTCAGTTCGTCATTACGTTTCTGCGCCAATTGTTCTTCGACCTGAGGTTCCCATCCAAAAAGTTTGATCATGCGCATGACGCCGAGGACTGGAGAAAAGGAAGGGACACGCTATCATGAATGGAATCGCCAAAAACATGGCATTGACGTACCGTCGGTTACAGCTTGCACGCGTGTGTCTGTCTAGTCGTACAGTACTCAGTAGTCAGTATGCGCTTGCTTCTTTGCAGGATAAGCATACCTTTTTCATTTTCTCCTTTTGATATCCTTGAATCTTGGAGGCGAAAAAAGCTTGCAAGGGGATCGCCAGAACAATAACGGCCATTCCAACGAATGCACTGGATATCAGCCAGGTGAGACATCATCGAACCACTCAGATACAGGGCAACGAACCTCCATCCAAGAAGAGAGTATAATAGATAGATGCACAATCCGATCTTCCAAGGTACTTCAATTACTAAGAACTCGAATTAGAGCGGGATAAATTCGAAGATAACTTCACAACGTACTGAAAAACAAGAAGTCCCGTCCCTCGGTGATATTATTGAGGTCAGTGGAGATAAGATTGGTGATTTTGCCGATCATGTCCCTCCCTTTTCCATCGGACGTAGCGGTAGCCGTTGGTGTTGTCTTTGTGCTTCCACCATCCTCTAAGCTTGCCTTCTTTTTCTGCTTGCCCTTCATGGAAGACGTGTCCACACTCAGCGTAGCTGCAGAACCTTCCCCTTCCTCGGAAGAACCGCCACTATGCTCCTGAGGAACCTCAGAACTGCCAGGTTCTGTTTCAGAGACATTGTCAGGGGTAGCAACCGCCGTAGATATGCCCGTCCCAGCAGATGCCTCATTGACGTCAGCCTTCACGCGAGCCCGCAGAGCATGGTCAAACACGAGCTGAGTAATTATGGCAGTGATACGAGCCACATTTCTTGTCTGTGGAGCGCGTGTATCAGTGCCATCGCCGCAAATTTTCAAATGAAGACGTACTGAGATGAACATGTACCATTGGAAACAGATGGTGCTGACACAGGGTCCAATGAACAGAAACGATATCCACACCCATGGGCGCACAATAGACTCTTTTCCATGGGATTCAACGTAGCTATCGGTAAATTGTTCAGAACCACAGTAAAATGAGACAGGTGCCACGATTTCTTACTTCAGAAGGAGGTTGATACCAATAGGATAGCCGAAATCTGCGATTGTCTACGCGAGCGTACGATCAGAAACTTACCCTAGACAGCAAAGTTCCCAGAGGCACGTACTCGCAAGAACAACATGAGACTCATGACTGAAAAGTCGGTCCCTGGCGGCATTTCCGTCAGACTAGTTCAAATTGCATCGCCCAATCGCCTTACGGAAGACCCTGACGATGCCCCAAAACATATGGTTTCTCTTTTTCAACTGAAATGGATCCATGTACTGCAACATGTTGAGATATGCATGACAACTAAAGAAAGGCACAGTAGACTCACAGGGAAACTGCGATGAACCAGATTCTTCGCCATGTCATAATCAGCCAACACGGGGAGTTGGTCGGTGGAAAGATGAGCCATCCGATTCGCGGTGATTATTGTATTGTCAAGCCATGAATAGAGCATCATCGATAGGATGGAAGCTGTTTGTTCTTGGCTTGGAATGGACAAGGGTTCCTGGAGGTGAACGGTTATCAACGAACGCAGCAGACGAACCGATCTGGTTCACTTACCTTAGGGTTCAGAGGGACATACTCTCGAGGTACGCAAAGAGGAATCACAACCGCCGCAAGCGTGAGCATGGAAAGCTTAGCCCACAGCAGGGGTCCTTCTTGAATGTCCGCTGGCGACAAGACGTATGTTGCCAGAGGCCACACATCACGATACAAGTACAGCGCCCACATAACGAAGAGGACCAAGTTACCATGCTGTATGAGTAGTCTGCCATGGTTCGGGTTGCCTGTAACAGACACAAGCGCCAATAAGGACGCGTAACCCTTTCGGGAAATAATCAGTGACACTCTACTGTAATGCACGGAGTACTCACAAATGCTGCGCATACTCCGTTTTGGAACCACATACTGGACTCTATGCTTTCCGGGCTGGGACTATGATCCGCCAGACGCAAGGTTATAATCGACAAGGCTAGCAATATGACTGACAACAAAAGACGGAAGACTTTGAATGCAAAAATGGTGTTTCCCCCGAGCTGCTTAATGTGTTGCGCTACGGTGGATCGGATTCCGTCGATCTCTGACGCATTCGAAGTTTCTGTACCTTCATGGCCCGTTAGAATGACCGACGATTCATTTGACGTCTTCGACTGGAGGGCGAGCTGGACCAGTAAGGTTAGGATAGACGCGCTGACGACGTAGGCAGGTATCGCGATAGGATCAAGCAGGATCCTTGGGTCAAGATTCAGGCGAATCGCCGCGCTTTTGAAGGATAAAACGCGCACCTTTGTTGACTTTCAAGCAATGTGTAAAGAGTAGACGCATTGCGTTCTATTCCCCTTGGCCATTGTTGAGCGTACAATACGCGATGTTCACTCCCTTGGACAAGCCCCCACATCGTCGTTCTACCCAGGAGAGTGGAATCGAGAGGAGATAGGTGGACGCGCGTACCACCAATTTTGGAGTCTTATATAGTGGCTACGAGTCGGTCATTCGGTACCGCGACTGGATTCCCATGTGTGCAGCTGCATCATATCATGCATCCGCCGCAAGCGCCTGACGATAAGTCAGCCCATCACTACGCAACGTCAGAAAGGCACCGCAAGTATAAGTATACGACTAGCTCATCAGTCGCAATCTCGCTGGGAAACCGTGTCGTTCATCGAAATTATAAGTGAGATCGAGCGTGATTCGTCTGCGCGATTCAAGCGAAGGGAAGTCAGGAGTCAACAGAAGCCATGATGTAACCGTAGAAGATCTGTCAAGGTGGTGATGCCGGAGACTAGAGGGCATGGTTGATGAGCCTGATTCGATTGGCGCCCGTAGGGCGCCCCCTCGTCACGTCAGTGTCACGTCACGGCTGAGGCAGGCCTGCAGCCTGAGTTAGAATCGTTGTAGTACAGGTTATTACCTGCCTTGCAACTAAAAGGCACGTTAGAGAGTTAGTGGGAGCGCGTGTCCACAGGCGCCGCTGGGCGCGGACCGCACACCGTCCGCGCAACGTCGGCGACAGTGATGCACAGTCTAACAATATGACTGCCAATGTCCAGTAGTGACTCCCGGTCAAAATTGACTCAAACGAGGCCAATCCATATCCAATCTCCTCAATTTCTAGGTGACATTTGATCTCGTTTGCTGAGATTGACTGACAGTGGCACAACTCCGTGGGAGTTGAACGTTCAAAAGCAAAATCAGGACTGTTTTATTCTCATAACCCTCCGAGTCGGGCGCCTGTATTTTGCATACTCTATTGTCCTGGTGGTTAGTATAAAGATGGACTTGTATTCCTGCTGAGAAGACACCACATAGCGCTTAGTCGGAGAAACTGCATTTAGGTGCGGAACCACGCATCTTGTCTGCATTTTCTAGTCGTTCTCGGTGCCACGCTTTCAATATTGTCTATCCTAGGCCGTTCCTTTGTCGATCCTCAAACTGGAACCGTTCACGTCTAACGTTTCGTTGTCCACGCCAGGATATAAGACTGGTGAACGATGCAGAGTTCCTCCTGTCAACAATCGCCCTGTATCTCTGGACCTTCCGCCGTGTACAAATCTCAAGCTCTTGGCACTTAGCGCATATTGTACGTGGTTTTGTATATATTATATCATGCGTCGACTGACCAACTGGGTTACCTCTATTCTCCCAGAAATCATCGCAGGCCGCTGCTCCTGGATCGACAACATCGAGGACTCGGACAAGATTGAACTTGATCCTGTCACCAGGATTTCCCGTCTGGATGCTGCTCACACCCCTGAAAGTCTTGCGAACATCCAAATGGTGATTTTGGTGAGCATATTGAGCCCCGGGGCCACCAGAGGCCTCGACGTCGGTGGACATTTGCGATTGCTCCTTTTTTGGGAAAATTAACTGACGTTCAGGCCCTGTGGCTCCAGTTCCTAGACTTGGACCGGGTGGCATCACAGACAGGAACCATTCTCCTGTCATGGGCGCACAGTATCACCACGCTGGACTTGGTTTATGCCTACTTCTTTGAAGCCAGAGATTTTCTGATTACTCTGGAGTCATTCCCTCACCTCATGATCCTATGCCTAGACCATTTGCGGGTTGATGAGTGGAGTCAGACTCGTGCTCAATTAGCCTGTACCATCCCTCTCACCTTCGAGCATTTACTTACACTTATCACACACTGAGTGTCTATGGGTGAAGTGGCTCCTCGGAAACCGAGAGGTATTGACGGTAGAGGAGCTCTATATGGATTACTTCCAGCCAGACCTTGCTCCTACTGTTCATTTTCTCCGCAAGATAGCACCCTCTGGAGAAGTTGACTTTCCAGTTACATTGTGAGCCTTACGAATTTTTGTACATCTTCTCAAAATTGACCCGAGGTACCTATGTCTTAGGGACAAACGATGGGCCACTGGAGAAGAGCTCTGGGCTCGACGCTGCGTCACACGATGCAGACATGTCGGACCGCACTGACACCGGGATAGTGAATGTGGTCTGTAGCAAAGGCGATGACAATGTAGATGAGGGAGACGAGCAAGAGGTACGCGGAGACGTGGATGCAGAAGACCGCGTGAACGCAGCGGACAACGTATATGCAGCGGATAACACGGAGGAAAACGTGGATGAAGAGGATGACACCGATAAAGAGGACGACGTGGACGCAGACGACGACGACGACGACGACGAAACAGACAACATCGATACTTACTCGGAGAGTAACATTACCAGTATAGAAGTTGACAATGAGCTCGAATGAATTCTTCGAGTCGTGGTTATCTTGTAACACTACGAAGACGAACCCGAGGACACTCCCGATCCCGCGTGGGCCAAAGAGAAGGAGCTGACGAGGAGCCACAAATTGTATGCCGAGCAGGCATGCCTGGAACTTGAAGATGCATTGAAAGGGGAACCAATCCCGCAGGCTTCGAATCTGAAGGTACTGCGCGTGCGTGCCTATCTGCCCCCAGGCATTGTGATACTCGGGCTGCACATGCTTCTTTCTTTGGGGTCTCCTTCTACGACGGACTTCATGCTGGAGCTGAATTTCAGCACCACGACTCTCGATCTGACTGACTGACCGCAGCTCGATGCGTTCATTTGCGCACTTCCGCTCGTTCGCTCTGAAGGCTGCACATTCTACCTCGTGATCAATGATTGGCTGCGTAGCCCTAGCCAGTCTGAGGACATCCAATCCATGGTCGGGTAGAGATTGCGAGGAGCAGTGACGAGAAATGTCGTTGACACTGTCATAGGGTAGGTGTGGTGCTGTCATCTAAAGTTCAGACATACGATCTATTGGGATGTGTGAATGGAGTAACGGATGGAAGTAGCAACTTGCAGTATCTTTGGTCATATACTTCTGCTGCATATGTGTATGGTCATCATGAAGGTTAAGACATGTCCAGACCTCACAGCGAGGAGAGTTGCTCGATATCAGTTCAAGAAAGCACCCAGTCAGCGGAGGTTGACCTGCAAGCCCCTACCTGAGATATTTGACAACTTGCTATCCGAGATGTAAGATCTCTTCACTCCCGGAGGATACATGCACGATAGTTTTGGGGAAGGCTGACGAAAGAGGACCACGCTTTGGGAAAGATACGCTCCCGCAGGGTGGATCTGGTTTCCCAATGAGGGTATGGAAAGATTAGCGTAATCATCTAGTAGACTTCGCTGTCTATTTATAACCCAAGCACACCGTCTCTCGATTTTGCACTCGATGGCACATACCTCGCGCGCTAGCTGTCATGATGACACGCGGAGTCATACGGCGAGACAAGGGCGAAAAGGCTATCCTAGCAATATTTGAGAGTCGAGTCACCATCTTGAACGTCTAAGCGTATACTTCACGGCCAGGTTCTTCCGTGATGCGCCAGGGCGATAGTGTTGCGCCGGGATGAAGGGCGCGCAGGAGAAGCGCGCAAGGTCAGAATGCGGTAGACGTACCTGATTCGGCTGCTGATCACCATCCATGGGAAGTGCCCTGAAAGTGGTGAGCAATTGCTAAGTGAGAGATACGAACGAGCCAAGGTCAACTCGAATGAGGGCTTGGAAAAAGCACGCACTCTGAGAGAACAGTTACGATGTCTGCCTTTGAGAATAGTATGTCTACTCTGAATATGCGGAATAACTACTTCGGGCCGCTAACCGCAGGAACATCTTGACCGAACACTTCCGCGAGACTATGCATATGTGCATGCTACCTGGCTCTCGGCAGAGGCACAACAAAGTCCCAACCACAGTCCACTTGCCAAGAACATAAAATATCGGTGCCGTCGATGTCCCGATATGAAAATCGGTTCCACTTCGGATACATCTCGCGAAAGAAAAACAATAATACGGAACGTTAGCACACCCAGTCGATGCTGTGGATGTGGACATTCGGAAGAGAAAAGTTGTAGCGCCACGACTCTTCTTGGGACACACCGCGGAGCCATGGGGGTTGACCAATCCAAGAAGCAAGTGAAACGCGGCGCCGACAAGAGACGCTTACGAACCTCTTATGGGTGGAAAATCCTCAGAGCTGCTCGCCGAGATGCGTGATGATCGCTGCCGAGCACAGCTCACCTGCTTCCTGCGACCGTACGATGCGTAAGAGACCTGAATGTAACATTGACGCGCCTACCATTCGTAGGTAATAGTCCGATGAGAAGGCAACTCCTATCGTTGCAAGAGCGAGGAATACGCGTGTAGCGAGTACGATGCATCTAGGTAATCGCCCTCCGATTGAGAACGACTTGGAGACAACTGGTATTAACTCTTGAGAACGTTCGCTGGATTGTCGGGAAAGGTACGACTGACTCATCGGATGATGGCTGCACAGCACTGGCTATTCCGAAAACACTACCCGGCCGTCTATGAGCAAAAAATGTGGGGATGCTTTGAATCTTTAGACACAGTAAGCAGACCTTGTCTGAAGTATTCACGGAGGTACATACAGATTATTGCGGTGACACCGGCACTCGAGTGAGAAAGAGTGATCCACATGACTCACGCGCAGGAGGCTGTGACGGGACCCCCCGATGCCTGAATCCCCGAAATTGGGCCCGCCGCAGGCCGGACCTCCGATCTCGGACCCCCGAAAATGCTCGAAAACCCGGTACAACTTATGTGCAGAACATCCCCGAAATTGTCCCCTTTGGCTCGAGGTTCAGTGCGAAACCCCCGAAAAATGGTTCCTGAGAGAAAATTTTCCTGGAGACCAACTTGGAAGGATTTTCCGGCGAAAATTCGTTTTGAACCCGGCGGAAACCCATTTCTCACAGCAGATGTTCGATCCCATTTTCCCCCGAAACCGGCCGGGAGGCCGGGAGCTTGAGTGCGAAAGCCCCGAAAATGACCGTCTCCTAACCCCCGAAAATGGCCTCCGGCGGGATCGGAGCTCTAAGCGAGTTACGGGGGGTCCTGCTGTGACTCATCCGTTACGTGAGTCTCCGAAAACGTTCAATGTTGTTGTTCAAGTTGGAATGTATTGACATCAGGGAATCCAATCTGACAGGAAGAAAACATCTGCTCATCACCACATGTATTGCTGTCTGTGTATGCAAGGCGCGGACGGCTAGCGCGAACGCCTGACGCGTAGAAGCCGGAAGCAAGCCCCGTCTACTCGGAGGTGCACCCGAATCTCAAAGTCTCTCCGTGAACAAGGAGATCAGTGAGTACAGCCCTCCGTCCAGACTCCACGCCAAATCCATTGACAGCTCCTCTCTGGCTGAAACGCGGGTGTCGAAGCCGCTAGGGCTTCAGCGGTGTTGCGACCATGCGTCCCCATCGATGATGTTCTCTTCCTCGGACGCTCGCCCACAGCCATCGCCAGTATTGGCTCATGCGTGCACCACATCTTCTTGTATATAAGGTCGGACATGTATCTCATCTTGAATCCTCAACTTCTCTTCTCATTTCATAAATCTCAGGGATCGGGTACATTCTCACCTTCATTGTCCCCACCTAATCTCCCAGCTTAATCTGATCTACTCTCTTCTTATAATCTTCTATCTCCTGGCGATTCACCAGCTCTACTCTACCACATATCACCTCGACATAATGGTTGCTTTCAGGACTCATCTCACTGTCCTCGCTGAATCAGCTGCTCGCTATCCATTGTCTCCCGTATTCAGGACGCCATTGTTTGACCAAAAGACCACCAAGGTGCTAGAATGGCGTATCATTACCTTTAGTCAGTTTCAATCAGACGTCGAGCACTTCGCACGATACTGGGGTCGCACACTGAAAGGAGTACCGCAACGTTCCGTAGTCGGACTGTGGTGAGTTCTTATAAGCCCTATTTCCTGGTACGAGAGCTAATGTGTTGTTCAAAGGCTCGGTGGCTTGTCATACGTCGATGCCCTTCATATCTACGGCATGGCCCGTGCTGGATACGTTCCCCAGCTCTTCTCATTGCGACTCCCCAACCCTGACGTCATCTACGATCTCATGCGTAAATCCAACGCGAAGTCTCTCGTTTACGACCCGACATATGCCGTCGATCTCACAAGTAGTCCTTTTCCCGTCCACCCTGCTGTAGATGTCAGCAGCATAGATCTCCGTAGCGCCCCATTACCTCGCATGATCGAAGCGATCAAGGGTACCGACACGATCATGATATTCCATACATCCGGTTCGACGTCTGGGTGCCCAAAATTAGTTCCCTGTAGCTACTTCTGGCTGAACGCGATCATTCACAAAGCTGGGCAGGTCAGCAAACCGATCAGCCCAAAGCAAGATGTCACTGTATGGATGTGAGTAACTGTCGATCATACATTTCTCACAATACTGACGGTTGCTATCTGAAGGGGAAGCATGTGCCACATCGGTCAGACATTCATGTTTCTCGGTTCACTCCAGCACGGTGCTTGCACCATCCAACCCACTGAGATTGGCTTCTCTTCTGACGAGCTGGTGGACATGATCAGTCGGTGCGAGCTGAACCGTCTCAACCAGTTCCCCGCGTTCCTTGGTATCCACATACGCAATTCTCGCCAGAATCCAAAACTGCTCGCTCGGCTATGCGGTCTTGACGAGATCCTCTACTCTGGCCAGCCCATGCCTCGAGAAGACGAGGAGTGGGCGTACAAGAACAACATGCGCATCACCGACGTCTTCGGAAGCACGGAGTGCGGAGCGATGCTGGTGTCTGTGTGTGGTGGCGGACGCCCCAATCCTCCTGTTCGCCCTCTTCAGGGTACCAAGTACGGCTTCTTCCCCTGCTCAATGACATCGGAGCCTGGCTACAGCAATGCCAATGGGAATCTCGTAGAGCTGGTCATACTCGCGGAGTCGGGCGATTGCCCAGATCCTTCCCTGCGCTCCGCCGACGGACACTATCACACTGGTGACCTCTTCCTCGAAGTTTCCCCGGGCGCGTATGTATCGCGCGGACGAAACGACGACTGGATCAAAAGTGCCAATGCTCTTCGCTGTGACACGAAAGCGATTGAGGATAACGTCCGCGCTACGTGCGGAGATCTGGTAGCTGATTGCATTGTCGTGGGCAACGGGCGGCCATCGCCCGCGCTTTTTGTCGAGCCGCTCATCAATATGGATGTGGAGAAAATTAGAAAGGAGATCATCCGCAAGACGAGACATTTTCACTCCAGGCGGTACCTCCACGAGCGCATCACCTCGCCGAACATGGTAATCATTGTTCCAGCCGGCACTCTCCCGCGCACTGCGACGAAAGCGAACATCAGGCGCCGCGCTGTCGAGGACATGTTCAAAGTAGAGCTTGATCGTATATTCAACGCGTAGACTGGTACTGAGTTGCATTCTATATCACTGGACTCGGCGTATCTTGAATTATCTGTAACTCTCACCCATACATTTACTTGGTACCTCATTAATCGTACAGCCTATACTTAGAGGACTTTACGGTACTTATTAGTATACTAGAGATCTAACACTTCATTGCAATACACTGTAGCGGACTGGACACTCGATTATCAGAGCTGCTCAATTCTTCAGGTTCGCTTTGAGCGGTGAAGTGCCCAATGTTCCGAGACCTCCGGAATTTCATGCGGAAGAAACAAGGTTCTTACAGTAACATAGAACTTCTAGCCTGCAACGATGGACAAATGTTGGGAGACTGCTCTGTTCCATACAAGGTGGATGGGACGAGCGATCGGAGAAAATTCGGATCAATGATCGCGCGTCGGCGAGTGTGCGACGCACCAAACAAACCCGCCTCATCTCGATATCTCCGTATGGTTGGAAAAGGTCCTCTTGCCTGACTCCGGTGACACTCAGATCAAAGAAAATTCAATCAGCGCACTCTGTTTCTACAGAATAGTAAGATGAATCTGTTCGAATGGATCGGATCCTTATCTGGATGAGATCAAAGGCGGAAGATGCGCCAGCGCTTACGATAGTACTTCCCAGCACCAGTCGCTTGCGCAAAATCTCATGGAGTCAGTCAAAGTGAACAACGACACTGAAATCGATACAACGGGTATCATGGCTACAGTCGTGAGTATACGTTACTTTCATCTACAGTCTATGTCTAGGCGGTAGAATCCATCACACACCAGCCGAGAACAAATGCGTCACTGAGTCGTCGCGTTCGTTTAGTGAAATGTGAGAAATCTTCCGGCGCCTGTCCGGAAACATCGAAGGGAGGCGCTATCATTGCATCATTGAAGCATCGCACAACCCTGGATCCATTTAAGCGTTCACAGTTCAAGCGCCTCGACTTGCTCGAGGGCGGTCGCGGGGCCCACAGTGGGCGAGCTTGTCTTGGTCTTGCTGCAGATCCACGTCGACGCATACATATTAACTCTGCAATCTACATCAGCAAGCGGGCACTCCGGAACAATGATACACAAACGGACCTGTCGATGCAGGACCCGGGTGCCCGGGAGGCGACGCGCTTGCAGGTGAAACCCTGCTCCTTGAACGCAGAGATGTACCAGGGCCGCATGCCCGCGCTGCGCAGGAGGACGCGCCCCCCCATCTTCATGGCTTTGTTCACAGCCCGGATCTCCTTCGTCGCCTCCTGGCCGCCCTTGGGGAACCAGTCCATATGATCCATGATCTGCATATGCAGTCAGCATCTGATAGTAGATGACGCAGATGAACGAGACGGACCACAGCTACAGTTACCGTCTCGGGCTTGATGCGGGCGAGCACTTCGACGAACTCATCCGTGTGGATGCGGAGGCCGTCGAATGCACCTTCTTTGGACAACGTGTCATGCGCCGCCTTGGAAAGGTAAGCAGGATGGCATCTATGACAAGTTAGGAGCTAATTTAAAACAAATGGCATTGGAGATCTCACACTTTCGAGTACTGGCCCATCAGACAAAGGCGATAGAAATAATTCTCCGACTCTACCAGGCTGTTCTCCACGACAGGATCGAGGGTGTTGACGACATAGTTCCACATCGCCTCCCTCTTCGACGTACGACCCGAGGTCGACATCGCGTCCTCTGTGATCATGTCTCGCTGGTTCGGAGGCACGCCGAGCGCGCGCCATAAGAACTGTTCATTCGCGACGACGAAAAAACTCAGAGCCTTGCTGAGAACAACCGGGCGGAGGCGCGTCCGCCAGATCTCGCGCTGCTCCCCGAGCGTCTTCGCTGCACATAGCTGCCGGACCTGCTCAGTGAGCCCGAATGCACGGAAGAGCCACCGGCTAAGCTTGACGGCGATCCGGGTCCCACCGGTCTCGTAGAGGCCCCCAGGCGACGTGAACGCGGTGGAGTTGTCCATCCAGAACTGGAACGCGCGTGAGGAGAGATGCGGGGAGAGCCTGTCGAGGAGGAGCGAGCGGAAATCGGGGTGGCGGCCCTCGCCGAAAAGCCTCCACATGTCCGCGTGCGACAGCGCACGGAACGCGGCGACCTTAAGCTCGAGCAGGTGGTTCTGCGCGGGGTTGAGGTCGACCGCGTGAATGCTCCGTGGGCGGTGCAGCGCGTAATCGAGCACGTTGTCGCCCGCGGACGTGATCGCGAACACGACGTCATCCGCGCCAATGTTGAGCAGCCGCTCGTCCTCTGCGGGGTCCTCCCAGGTGAACGCGTACTTATACTCGTTCTGGAACTGCGTGTGCTTCGGGAGCGCGGCGTCATAATATAGCCGCCAGCGCTGGTTCTGGTAGAAGAAGGACGGGAGGGGTAGGTTCGTCGAGAGGTTCAGGATCGCCGCCTCGAAGCCCTTCGAGCGTAGCTGCAGCCGCGTCTCCTGCGCTGCGGCTTTCTCGGCTTCTGTGAGCTTCTCGCTGTAGTTGACCGGGGACAGATAAGGGCTCTCGGTGGCGACTGCGTCAATCCACTCAGCAGCATCACGGCCAAGAGCCTGCGCAGCACCCCAGGTAGCTGTGCGGTGGCAACCGACCCAATAATAATACGGGATACCACCGAGCTTGTAGTTGCGCTCGTTGACTTCAAGCATAGTGCCGAAGCGGTACTCGAGGTAGTCACGGCGCCCCTCGTCGAGGTGAACACGGTCGAATTGGAACCAGGTGCGCCAGAAAAGACGTGATATCCAATTCACGTGGCGCGAGTGGCTGCCGCCCGTAAATGTGCGCAGGGAGAAGCTGGACGCGGATTGGACATAGAAGTCTACGCAAGAGATTAGGCCGAGAGGAGCGAGGAGTTCGACCAAGGAGTCCAGGACGGAGTAGAAACTTCAAAAACAGGTCACAGCAGACTCAATAATGTCACGCGCGGAGATGCTCGTATAACTCACTCCGGAATCATGCTGAGCGAGTACGACGTGGAGATGTAATCTGCCTTGCGACTGTGCTTCTCACCATCGGGCATCGTACGCACATCTCTAGCCGAGTACAGCTTGAACGCACGAGCGTCCTCACACACAACGTGCACATTCTTCCATTTCAGCTTAACAAACCGCTGGCGCGCGACCTCGCACAACGACGGGCTGAGATCAACGAGATACACGGCCTCGAAAAACTCCGGCACGGAGACAAAGTCGTTCATCTTCTCGATGTTCCACCCGGTACCTCCGCCAATCTGCCAGCACTACAGTCAGATGCGAGTTACCTACCGCAAGAGACACGTCGAACGGCTCACGTCGACCCAGATCGGCTTGTGGTCGCCCTGCCGCGGACGATGTGTGAGCTGCGCCGCCGCAAGTCGCAGCATCTCCTCACGACCGCAGAGAAGCCCGCCTCGGGTCGAGTCATAAATACTGGCTTGTGTCCGGTAGAAACTCTCCAGTGCAGCCTGCTGCCCTGGGAGTGCCTCAGCGGACTTGCGGTCGAACGGCTTGAGGAAGCACGCGTAGCAAAATCTCCAGTATGCTGAGAGAGAGGGGTACAGGAGGGATGCGGCAAGCGAGACGACAAAGAGGGCGGCAGTGTACATGGGGATATTGTCCCAGAGTTGGGCGGAGAACTGGAGCAACGCAGGTGCGAGCATGGCGTGAAGGGGGGCCGGGTCGCAAACGCGACGGACTCCTGGGGAGGCAGCATTATGTGCGGGATTTTGTATTACAGCAGCCTAACCGATTCTGCTTTCCGCTCGACTTCTGCTGGTGGGGCGCCAGCGAGACAGACAGCTTGCGGGTCGCCCGACGGGGCCAAAGATCGATCTAGGAAGATCAGAGCCATCGTCAAAATTTCGTCCGAGGGCAACCATGCTGCCACTCCGCGACGATTTGTACGCGAAGACTACACGTTCGATGAGCTCGCAGACCCGCGTCTGAATGTGATGCTCTGCAGTGTATACTCGTGCGAGGACGGCGGACACGTTCGCCGGTCTGTCGCTCACGACTGGTTCCCGGTTCAAACTTCAGCGTTCAAGTAGCATTCCCAATTTGGATGGGGAGTACTTTCAAGTTCGTCCAACGTGCGTTCCCCCGATCGCGCGTGTTGAATGGGGTGATTGAACCTCATGAGCGTATGTGAGCGCAGTGTTTCTTTAGATCCGCCACAACGTACCTCGTCGGTTCTTCAGCAGGATATATAAGTGCAAGTACCTCAAAGTTGGCCCGGAAGTTGTGCTCCCCCAAGAGACTGTACTGGCACTGCGAATGTTCCTTGATAGCCACTCCCGACTCTCAGGTTGTCAGGAACATTGCTTGGACAAACCATTTTAACGGTCGGATGTCGATCCAGAGGCACACATGATACGGTTATGACGTTCCAGTGACCACGACGGTCCCGCCTACGATGCGATACAGGGCCTCCTTCAAATTCGAGCGCATGCAATTATCAGCCACTACGCACGGGCTGAGATTCGAATCATCATACTACATAGATTTGGGCGTCACCACCAGAGTGCTTCTGTACTGTAACGTCTTCGGGAGAGTACGTCAAGGAAGCCCCCTGATAATGTAGGTCGTGCCACGTTCGTCGCAGGATACCTCGCCGATTCCGAGAGGTTCCCACTGCTCCTCTACGAGAACCGCCCTTCGCATTTATATGCGGGATCGAGATAGCCATAGTGCTCGCGGGGGCTCCTTGTCAGACAGCTCCTAGCTGCATAGGTTCGAACGTTCGACATTCTGCGATGGCATGGCCAGTCAAAGTCAGCGGCTGATACACGGACCACCCGTGATCATGGGTCCACATAGATCTAGAGCGCCTGCGCATGGCGAGGCCGTCAGACCTACTTGTTAATGACAGCAGGATAAACTAGCAGTCTTTAGAGAGCTGCGATACGATTCCTCACTACGTAATTTTGGATCCCAAGGAACATAGTTTGGACAGCAGGCTTCAGAATACGTAGGCCAGCTGTATGCAAAGACTTCAATAGCCGTCGTTCCCTTTGTAATAGAAGAACTTGGACCTTGCTGTGGGCGTCTGGCCTCGGCTAGCGCTGGAGACTCGAACGGCACCAGCAACATCCACCACCATTGATTCGACAGGACGATACTTATCGGGGAGCGGCGCTCAACGGTACCGCACACTGGCAACTTCACGTTGAATTATCGCCACACACAAACTGGTACCTAACCTGCACCGGTGTGTTCATTTAAACCATCGATCCTCTCTCCTCACGGGGTTGATCAGGCTGTTTGGAAACACCTAAAGAGCGATAAACCAGGACTTCGCCTGCCACCATGTCCGCCAAGCTCGCAGGGTGACAAGACGACAAATATTGATTCTGCGTCTTCGGCCCGCATCTGCGGATCCAAAGCTTCATCCCGTCTGAACGCCACACCGTGCGCGAACCCCCTTCCTGGAGACGTGTGCACACACGTCGGTATTGCAAAGGATATTCTTACCACAGGCGCGGGACTCAAATTAGAGGTTAACAGACGCCGTAGCCCGTACGGCGCCTGCACTCCTCGGGAAAGCAGCATCAAATATTATCCGATGGCCAGGACGGACGGGATAGGTGTCACCCGGCCGGCCAGCTGTCAGTTGGAAAAAAAAAAGGTTCCCGCACAAAAAGGCGGTTCCTGAGGCCTGAGGCCTGAGCCCGAGGTTTCTCACTGTTTTCAACTTGCTTGAGGTGTCTCAGTGGAATCACTCTCGCTCTCGGCACAAAGTGACAAAAAACCTGTCATCTGCATCTGCGAACAGCATCCGTCAGCGATCTATCTGCCAGAGGTTATGACAGTTCTCGCACACATGCAGCGGTCATGTCGGTCGGGAGATGTTGCGCACTGCCTGGATGCAGGTTTCGCACATAGGCGAGACTCGCACCTTCATCGTCGACGTGTACTATCTCACAAGTGAAAACGTTAGGCTGCGAAATGACGATATGCTGCAGGCAGAAGAAACAGGCTGTGTTTACCGTCACTGACACGGGATGACGCTGCGGAATGTCTTATCAGAATATGGCCATGGCGTCAGGCATGAATACGACCCAGTCGCAACGTACGGCGCGCGAAGCATGCAGGCCGGAAGAGGAGGGCGATGGGGTATCCCGCCCTGCAGGCTGCAGGTCCATGCGTCGCAGCGAGAGCGGAGGCCGCCTGCAGTGGGTGGCGGAGGGATGGTGTTGGCACACATGTCGGTCGGGGCGCTGAGAAGTGTGGAACGCGATGTCCCGGGGACACTGGCACGGTACGCCGACAACGCCGCTCGCCGCTCGCTTTCTCACTCTTACATTCCTCCGCGCAGCCTCCCCCGACGCTCCTCACTCTTCTGCGCAGGTTCGTCGACGATTTTGCAGGAGTGTTGTATGCCCCAAACACTGTGCGGCCTAGCTGACAGCTCCGTTGTCTTCCGCCGACCCCGCTGTTGCTGAGGGAAGCGCGCGATTGCGCTCAGGGTGGCCGTAGAACCGTCGTGCCCGCACGTCCATGCACGCGATCTCTCCATGCGTCCAAAGCGGATTCGCCGGAGCTATGGCAACAAAAAAAAATATCCTCCTGCTCCTAACAAATCTCTAGGAGACCAGGATCTGAGGCAAGTGCATGAGTGCTGCCTCAGACGGATACCACGCTAGTCTGCAGCTCGGAACAATGGAATTTTACAGCATGAACCAGTACCATGCCACACAGAGACGAGTATCGTGCAAACTTTGCCATCTTTATCACCCAGAGGTGACCTGCACCGTCTCGAGGTGTCTGTTCACCGCTGAAAGCACAGCACGTGCGCACGAAAGAAAACGAACTGTGTCTGCTCACAGTGTGTAATACATTTCCGCGGGCAGCTGCGGCGGTGGGAAATGCGCCGATGTTTGCGCGTACGTACGTAGCAAAGGTAGTACGCAGCTGTGCGGTCGGTGCGATGATCCCCGTCATAATGTGACATGTCGTCGCGGCGAAAAGAAATTTCACGTTGACTTCGGTTCTGTAGGGCTGTCTACCACCGAGTTGGATGCTTGCGCACTGATGGTGTTTCCGTGCACCTCCAGCGGGCGCGTCGACACCCGCTCAAGGAATACGTGGGGGTGTGTCTCGACAGGATGCTCGCACACGGATAGTGATCCCGTGTACCTCCAGCGGGCGCGTCGACACCCGTCCAAGGAATACGTCGGGGTGTTGAGTCAGCGGAGGGCGCTCGAGGACGCGTCTCGACCGCAATTGCGATACGCAGCGCACCGCGAGCGCGACGGCGCAAACGCAATTGGCCCGTGCAGAGTCTCCACGGGGAAATCGAAGCGAGGAAGGCGAAGATGGAGACGGAGAGAAGCCCTGGCAGCGCGATCGCGATCGGTGCGCCGCGTCTCGCTTCCGCCAATGTATTGCAGTCACGCTTCCTACGAATTCTGATGGCCATGGGCGAGCGGGGTGCGGGAGGCTGAAATGCGGAGGGCATGGCTCCGTGCGGGAGTATCCTACGATGCGCGGCTTGCGACGGGGTATATAAGGGTCGCGGTCGTTCGGTGGGAGGTATCGGTTCGCTCACCTTCGATCAGCCGCCATCGCTTTCTTGCGACTTTCTGTACGGTCAACTGGTGCGTCTGCTCTGCGTCGTCCAGGTGAGTAAAAATGGTGCTAATGCTTGTATCGAGAGACTTACCCGCATATCCATTCCAGCGCACAAAGACCGACGCGGGAGGGAATGCCGCGAGCACAGCACGCAGCGCTGGGGGGAGTTGTTGACGGGCTCACCTTGTAGTTCTGGTGGTTGTAGGTACATCGATAGATGCAAGCGCAGGAGAGGAAGTCAGCGCCGAAAAATGGCAGCGACGCATCCACACCCAGCGTTGGACGAGAGATCGCGTTGCCAGCTCAGACCGGGTGGGGGAGAGCCCGACGTTGTTTGCACGCGCTGAGCGGGAGTAAGATATTTTTTTGTGAAACTCGGGCCGTCTACTGCGATACCATTGACGTCACCCTCCTATGTGGTCTTGCGTTGCAGAGGAGGGAAGAGAGGGCCGCGGGAGCGTTGCACCGACGCTGGAATGGCAAGAGAGGGCCAACGGGCGGGAAACGCGCAAGAGCAGGACGTGAGAGGTGTAGAGCAGCGGGACTAGCGAGGACACGAGGCGACTTGAAGAGACTTGGGGTGCATACATATGAGCGTTGGCAACGTGTGGGAGTCGATGGGGCAAGGATAGACGCACAAGGCAGCGATCTAAGTAAACAAAGACAGACGAGGTTCGGCTCTCCGAGTCCCCTTGAATCCTCAGTCATCTCCTTGTCACTGTCGGCTTCCGATGAGTCTTCTCCTGTGGGTCTACCTCGCCATACTACCTCCACTCGAATACCGCCATTTTGAGTACTGCACGTAGCTGCATGTTACGCTGAACCTCCAGATAAAGAGCGGTCTTTTGGAGCCTGCATGCAGCATGTCTTCCTGCACAACCTCGTTCTTTGCAATCACCGGTGTGCGATGACCTCAGCGAAGCTAAGTATGCTGAACGATAAAGGCGGAGAGTGCACGGGAGGTTGACAGAGCGGCTAACTCAATGCCGCATCCTTCATGCATGAACCACACCTACAACATTTGGCAAGACAATCAGTACTAATGCAGCTCTGGGCGAGCAGACGATTTTCCCCTCAGCCAGATAGAGCCGGCGTAGACTCCCCGAGCCTTCTTCGTCAGTCGTGACTGCGGGCACCAGTGACCCTCCGAGTCAAGTGGGCGGGCCTATTGCGTCGTTGAAATAGGTTCAGAAAAATCACCTACGCGTATCCTAACGTCGAGGCATTACGTAGAGTGTATTTGCTGGAGTGGGAGGTATATTCCGGACCAGGTCCTGGAATAATTACATGATCGGCGGTGAATCGAGACAAATTCTGGTGCAAGCCCACCCACCCCTCTCAGCTCTGGCCTCGTACTCCAAGGCTACCTACTACATAGTGGCTCTCACCACCGTCCTCCACCCAATCTGAACGCACACTTTTACATACACTGACGACAAACACCTCCTAATCTGAAATTCCTGCGACATATATTGTTCGCAAACATGGCGTGGCGGTGTACAGGAAACACCAGCTCTGAACTTGTCCACAACATGGCTCGGAGTGGGCTCATCAACTCGGACCGCGTCCTCGCTGTGAGTACGGTGCGATTCAATTACTCACAAGAATTTTCTTTGACGAGCTTGCAACACTCGGGAACAGGCACTGACGAAGGTCAACCGTGCACATTATGTCCAGGATATCGAAGGCGCATATGTGGACGCTCCTCAGTGAGTAACGATCCTGTTACTTGAACAGCATAGCATTGACCGACATCTGTTGTTGTTCACAGGTACATTGGGTATGGTGCAACTATCTCCGCCCCTCACATGGTACGCCTGTCGATGCTGTGTTATGCGTCTACCGAATCGGCTCTGTATAGCACGCACATGCCGCCGAGAACCTTCTCCCCCTCTTGCACCCAGGAGCCCGTGTACTCGACGTCGGCTCCGGTTCGGGATATCTCTGTGCGGTCTTCCACCATCTGATCTCGGACGGCGCTCCCGGTAAGGTCGTCGGGATAGATCACATCCCTGAGCTCGTCGACTGGTCGGTCGAGAACCTCCGCAAGGACGGCCTCGGCGAGGCCGTGGATGACGGGCGCATCGTGATGGTTGCCGGCGATGGCAGACAAGGTGCGTCGGTGCACGCTACGCCGAGGCGTTATACTGAGTGCTTTTGTACTGCCAGGTTATCCTTCCCTCGGTGAGTCCCCTATCTTAGTACTGTAGGTGGGGAAGGTCTTATGGACTGTTTAGGCCCGTACGACGTCATTCATGTCGGGGCCGCGGCGCCCAAGCTGCCCTCTGTACTCGTTGACCAGCTCGCGAGCCCCGGGCGCATGTTCATCCCCGTCGGATCGTACTCCCAGGAGATACTTCAGGTAGTTCGTCATCTCATTCTTATTCCTATACCAATGCTGAATGCGCCTGTGTGCAGGTTGACAAGGACGAACACGGCAACGTGACGAAGAAGCAGCTATTCGGGGTCATGGTGAGCCAACAACGTCTCGATCTTCCTGCTGGCTTTCACTGATACCCTGGCTATCCAGTATGTCCCCCTAACGGACAAGGACAAGCAGTTTTGACTCGCACTGCGGAGAGGTATCACGAAGAACCGCGGAAGGATTTCAGAACTTGTACGATAGCAATCGTGTTGGAACCCAACTCCAAAGGAAGTCGTTGGTCTGTCATGGTGTATCGATAGGATTCGGATTTGCGTCTCTGAAACATCGTTTGTATTATTGTATCGCGTCTAGTCCATTTGATACTGTAGTTCCAAGTTATTCGCTGTCACCGTTACTGATCTGCAAGAAATTGTACAACAATTTTGCGTTCTCCACCGAGATGATACATTGGGATATATTGAGCACAATCCTTCGCTTTCGCCTCCCTGTTCCCGCAGATGTCGCCTTTGATTGTTTGATACGAAGGGGAAAAACAACGGCAACGTACCAAACTGCAATGCGCTGTCTAGGAAGCCTTAGCCTGCAAAGCCTCTCTGATGCGGTACTCCCAATATCTGAGAAGGATGATCAGCGTAATTCCTACTCAAGAGCGGACTTTACGCTTACTTCTTGCGCATTGTATCATGTTTGTTCGCCAGCGTCTTCCAGATCTGTTCATGACTTAGCCAACCGTTCAGCATTGGGAAGACAAGTTTTATCTACCTCGACAGCCTTCGCAGTCTGGTCTCCGCCAGCCTGCTCATGTATGTCCGCAAGAAACTCGAGCGCACACACGCTAGGCAGGTCCGCGCCTTCCGACGGCAGGGGGTTCTCCAAGTCCAGGACGCTCTGCTCCTTGGTCGTCGTAGGAGGCTCTGCGGCAGTGTACGGCTCCACGAACGCCGTCAGCAGGGCGAAGGGCGTATGCGTGTGCTCGAGCACCCCACGGAAATAGTTCCACGCAGACAGGTTATTCGGCGCCAGCGCAATCTTCTCCTTCGCAAACCTGCAACCACAACACGCTAGAATCAGCACCCATGCGCACACCGTGCCGAACAGGACCACACGCACGCGAGCTCGCGCTTGAGCACCTCCTCGCGGTCCTCGTCCCCAGCTCGCACGCCGGCGAGCCACACGACGAAGAAGCGGTGGTGCCACGCGGAGTTGTTGCGCACGTCCTTGTCCAGCAGCTCCTCGACCCACGCGCGCTCGCCCGCCCACAGGCGCGCCTCGTTGTTGAAGTGCGCGAGTACCCATTGGCGGTAGCTCCACGTGTGGTAGTTCTTCGCATCCGCACCAAGTGCGCGCGCAATGAAGTTGAGCTCCGCCGCCGCCGCGTCGGTCGAGCGAAGCGCAGTGAGGAGCAGCCGCCGGTGGTGCCACACCTGGTATGTCTTCAGGAAGTCGATCGCGTACTTGTCCATCAGCCTCAGCTCGTCCTCGAGCGGGGAGCCCAGCGCGATTAGTGTGTGGTAGCGGTACTGCCTGCATGGCACATCGCGAATGCCTGCGGATAAGAGGCGCACCGCGGAGGGAAGAGGCGTACTCACCAGGCAGAGTAGTGGGCGGGATTCATCCGGATGATGTGCTCGGTGAGCTCGAGCACCCTGGCGCTCTTCTCGCCGGTCTTGACAACGCCCCGGAAGTAATCTGTAGCATCTTTGTCTGCAATCGCACAGGTCAAAGGGTCCGATTATGAGACACTATGAATCGTATGCAACGCACATGCTGGTGAATAGAAGATGGGTGCGAGAGGGGCAACACCCTCGTATTGCTGTACAGGAACGACGTCCGCCCACTCTGCCTTGTCGGCGTAAAGCGTCTCTATGTCCTCGTCCTCGTCGAATGTAGTAGACATGGTAGAAGGATGCAAGCTATCACACGCGGTGACTATACGGTTTTAGCCCTGCGTTCATCGCATGCGCAGTTGAGACTCAAACACAAGAAAGGACGTGTAAAGCAGAGCACAATAGGCTAGGATTTCTGCAGGCACACCATAGATACGCAACCAAGAGCACTACTATGCTGAACGCCGACCGGTAAACCACGAAGCCACGAAGCTAAGGTATAGAAGTACAGAGATAACGGTCCGGAGACAGAGAAGAAAGAACTTGCTATAGACAGATACTCTACGTGAACGCAATTAAGCAGCAGCAGTAGCGTTGCTCGCAGTGTAATCCTGAAAAGTAGAGGGTGAGAATACACAACAATTATCGAGACTAGTGACAAAGCCTACCTCCATCTCAGCATCCAAGTCAGCAGCACTCTTGGCCGGCCGCTCATTCTTGCGACCCCGTCCTCCCCCACCTCCACCCCTTCCACGTCTCGGGCGTGTGCCACCAGTCCTTTGAGGGTCCAATTAGTTTTGATGATACCAATTTGCAGTCCTCGGGGAGACAAAACTAACCTCGCACCCTCCGTAGGTGCAGCTGCAGCAGGCGCAGGCGCAACGCGAGATGCCAGTGACGCTGGTGGCGTCGGCCGCGACGGGTCGAGTACAATTTCAATCTTCATGGGACGTTCTGTACGACGACGAGAGAAGTCGAGGACGGAACGGAAGTGGGTTGGGCGGAAGAATCGTAACGGCGGAAAAGAGGAGTAGAGGTTTTCATTAGTCGGATGTTCAGCGCAGCGAAAGTAAGCAAGCAAAAGAGGATACGATAGCGGAAGCAACGAAACGAGCCGGTTGTCGAACGATAACGGTCGCATCCACATCCACAGCGTCACCACGGAACCGTCTTGCCGACCTTCTTGTGTGCGAGGCACGATCTTCGCTATTGCCCACACCTAGCGCGAGAGCACATCCAAACCGTCGAAGGGTAGCGTCATGGAACATGTTAACGGGTAACACAACCACACCATGCCCCCTCGTCCAGATCGTTGTCTTCCTCCGCCGGTACCTTGACGTGGACAAAAAATAACCATCTCCACCCGCATGCTATGCAGACTATGTTCGAGGAGAGTCAAACACTAGTCCAGGAGAGAAGACGTCTCTCCCTGCACATTCGCAAGCTCAGGTACGCCAGGATGCTAGGTCGACGCAGGGTTGATCAGACCCTCCGGACTTCGCATGGGGGCTGGAGAGTACTCGGGCGAGTGACCACGAGTCGCTATGGTTGAGGACTACGGCGACGCGAACACAAGGTGAGCGTATGGCCGATGCCTTGGAGTGCTCCTTCATTTGGAGACCACGCGACGAGGGGGGAGCCTTGACGTTGAGGGACGACGACCCAGCGCAACATGAACCAAAGAGATAGCGCAAAAACGCCCTCCGGGTCGCGGGAAAATTCCGACACCCGGTGTAGTTTCGCAAGGAATGGACAAGCCAAAGGCAAGCTAAAAGAATAGGAGGGGTGTAAAAGACGTGAAAGCAGCCGATACTAACTTCCATCGATAAGCCGGTTGTTGTACTGGTTGTAGGCCTTGGTGCCATCGCCACGCCTCTGGAATTGGACGGCCGCGACACCCTTAGAGCGACCCTGTGCATCGTAATGGAGGGTGACCTCTCTGAGGGGACCAATCATGGTGTGGAAAAGCTCCTGTTGAACATGCGATTACTACCACAAAAGGCTTCGAAAAAGTGAGGAAACAAACCTTGACTTGCGCTTCGTTCACATCCGGGGGCAAATTGGAGACGATAATTTTGTCGGCGGGTTGCTGGGCGGTAGGTGCTGCCGTGGCGCCCTTAGCCCCGTTGGTGGCGGCGGCGGCAGCGCGTGCGCGAGTCACGGGTGCGCTGGCGGGACTTCCAAGAATTTGGGACTTTCCCGTATTGATGCGGCGCGAAGAAGAGCGACGAATGCCCTTGGGGTGCGAAGAGATGATCTACGACGTGTTGAGTCAGAAAAAAAGGCGTGTGGCGTCAAGTGAAAAACGCGCCCACCTCGTCCAAAGTCTTGTCCATAGCTATTGTGTTTGTTGGATATGAGCTTGATGAAGTTGGAGACGACGACTGCGGTCTGACGGTGGACGGAACAGGGGGTGATGGTGGTAGTGGGTTACAAGCGAGGGCAAGCGCTTCGGTCCCGTTTTATCAATTTGTGGCGTCGGAGTTCCAAACCGCGTCCTCGCCAACCTTATATCGCACCTCTCCGCCCCCATTGTTCTCCGTGTCTGGCAACGCTTCTTCGCCATCGAGCTGTGAGATTATTCTGCAGACATGTCTAGAGGAGGCCGAGGCGGAGGGCGGGGAGGTGGGCGCGGTGGTTTTGGCGGGAGAGGCGGTTTCGGAGGCAGCAACCTGCCCCCGATGGGGCTCACGTTTGCAGACATCCAGTCCATGTCCCGCGAAGCAACAGCCTTGTATCCAGTGCGAGTTCTTGCCAAAAAAAATACGTTTGCGTATGAACCTAATAACTAATTTTCCTACCAGCCATTAGACCCGCTACCCGTCCTCACCGAGTACACCGAAGAGGAACGGCGCATTTGTGAGCTTCAGACCGGATTCGCGACGCGTCTCCGGTCTTCCGCGTACTACCTCGTCGAGTCCACGAAATCCACAGGTGAGCGTGTATGCGGTACGCAGACACTCCCCGCGCTGATCGAGACGAAGTGTAGAACTCCCGCGATATTCGGATAAATACCGTCCCTCGCCTGCATCACAGCCTACGCTCAAGCGGAAAGACCTACATCAGCCCTTTTTTCCGCAAGAGGTATTCGAAGGCTACTTCAATCCAAAAAAGAGGAAGGCCTGTTCGTTACTCAAGCCATTTACTTCTTAATCCTCCCTAATACGCACTTGTAGCTGAGAAGAAGGGACCTAGAAAGCGTCTAAACCTCGATGAAATGGTTGAAGACGCCGAAGAGGTTCGCCGAACCCAGTTTACCTATATTGCAACACAATTCATTTTTCTGCAGGAAAAATCGGGCGACGAACGCTCCGACGTCGGATCGCAAGCCGCTGAAGAGGACTACGATGTTGACGAAGAGTACGACAACGACTACGCCGAAAATTACTTCGATAACGGTGAGGGAGACGACATGGAAGATTTGGGCGGCGGTGGGGGCGACGAAGGCGGGGGCGGTACGTTCCCAATGCTTGACTCGTTTTGATCTGCGCGGTGCTTATTTTATTCAATGGCAGGTTATGACTATGATTGAGAAGTCAGTCTGCGATGTCGCTCTGTTGCTTCACGAATGCTTTCCTCGCTGTATCACTCCGTTGGTTCGGTGTTGTCATCTGCATTATTATTATGATCTGTTCCTAGTTATACTGTTCGTCGCTCCACATCGACATCTTGGACTGGCTAGACGATCTGGCCGTCCGCCCAAAAAATTCACCCCTGGCTCGATTCCTTCGTTGTGTTCCGCCGTTGGTCTGAACGTCACCACAGCCGCCCGTGACCGCCGCCGAACTCAGACCTACGTGCAAGAAGTACTCCTCACTTCTAGCAGTGAATTGGGGACGCAAGATCAGTTTGAGCTTGATGTGCATGGCCTAGCTCTGTGTAACACTCGACGACAGCGAGAAACCGTGCGGTCGTTACGAGTGGTACGAACGGCCATTGATCGCTCGTTGCGCTTACTGGGGACGGCAAACCACGCACCCTCATGCAGATCTGGTAATGTCTATTTGTTATTGATCACGGACATCAGCTATTATTCAATGTTGAGAGAGATCTGACAAGTTCAGGATTGTCTGCACGACAGAATTTGCTGAACCGAAGTAGTGGTGCTAATAGCGCCTGGCACTTTGCTTCTGTTCAAATTCTTCATAGTTTGGCCCGGGATTGAGATCTGAACGGATGGCGTAGCCGTTACCCGGGAATGAATAAGGTGTGAAAAAAAGATTTTCCTTGTTTTCCAGTGACACGATGCTCACCATACCAAGGCAGAGCGAACTACTTGTTCACCAATTGCAAGTAGTTAAAAGCGCACAACGTCGCGCTCTATCCCTTCGGGAGTAGGAGAGCCGTGCCCCGCAGCCATACCCTGGCTCAAGAACGAGAAGTGCATGTTCCGGTTCTATGTCAATGGAAGTGGAGACCAAGAATAGGCTGTATACCTTGGCGGCTGGCGTGCCTCCGGTCAGCAACACATGAGGATCTCGATAGTGCTCGTTCTAGTGAGCGGTTTGTCTGTCTTTGTTGACATATATACATGGCATTGGTGAATGACAATCTATTGAATAGTAAGATCTGTCGTCAGAAGTCTACTGAATCCATGAGTATTCAACCACCCACTGAAGAACACAACGACCACGCCACTGACGACCCCACAGGGCCACACGTCGGATCTCTGAGATGTTCCAACCGTCCTGATAACTGAACGACTGCGGTAGATCTCCCCGCTTGGAGCGAGATCGCGGTGCACACATACGCCCACAACAACGACACGAGGCGGCTAAGCGGGAATGGACAAGGACCGACGCATTCCACGCCATTCGCAACTATTGCGGAGCTCTGGTGCCTCCAGATGCACACACTTGCGTCCTCCCGTCAACATCCCGGATCCGCAAGCGCCCTCCAGTAGTTCCCTCCAGCATGAGTGGCATCCACATGGCCCGATCGTGTCATTGCTGTGCAAGAGGCGCATTCCGCCTCTGGCTTTCTACGAAACGAGATACGTGGCTCCGGGTCCGTGCACGCGTCCTTCGTGCCGGCCGTGGTTGGTTCGGTGGCCACCATCGTGCTAAGGTACCCCACCCACCTATGGAGAATACCGTGTAATCACGGCCAATGGGCGCACTGAGCACACCCATGCTGCAGCCACTCGCTGAAGTGAACCAACCCCCAAATCTGCACGCACGCACACCAAACGCTAGCTCAAACACTTTCGTATTGTTGATAACACTCATCATACAGATGGTACTCGGTAAGTACATATATCGCAAGCAAGCAGTCTGGGCAGTGCGACCACGTCCCCAACGACAGCGACCCAGCCTCTTCGCCCCGCTCCCCACCCGTCTTGCTCCGGCTCCGCACGTCCGCGTCGAGCATCGAACGACCTTGTCGCGCCAGCCCAGAAACACCGCCTGTATCACGGACACGAACACGAGCACGCGCGCTAAATTGGTGTGCGATAGTGTAGGATAGGCATAAGGCAGGGCATAGTGGGTGCCGCACAAAGCAGCGCGGTGAGTATTGATAAGTCGTGGTACCAGAGGCGGCGTCAGGGCAGAACGGGTAGTCGATACAGCGGCATAAGACGCGAGCAGAAATGTATGATGAATGCGGCAGAAGGCGACGGGGAAAGAACCCACAAGAGAGCACAGGGAACCGGAACGGGAAGTAAAGATCGGAGGGAGGGAGCGTGTTGCGCACTAGCGTGCAGCTAAGCGTGGGGCGAGGTTTGTCGGACGCGCGAGGTATCGTGTATGTACAACGGCTGACCAGAGGGGTGCAACCGCGAACCTCACTGCCAGTCACTGCCTGCAACTGATGCTCGGAGAGTACAGCAGAAATTAGACAAGACAGGTGTGGAGGTTCCGCGCGTCAAACGAAACGTGTGCGACGACAGCTAGTTGACCTACGATGAGAACTGTCAGCCTCACCGACTAAAACTAGAACATTTGAGGACAACACTCACAACACAACCGCCAACGTCATCGAAACCCCCCAAAAGGAGTCGCGGACAGGTAGTCGCAATCAGTCAGACAAGAAAAAAACTCAACTTATGAAACGATGATTCGGTGAATGGGGAAGGGATGGGATGAGAAACAATAGGCGGGAATAGGGAGCAGAACATATCGTATAATATACGGCACCGCACGAGAATCGCGATGATCCCGGCGGTGGCGGAGCAAGTACTACTGCACAATAGGAATGGGAAGGGGGGGTGGTGCGATATTGATACAGAGCGCGTGTGCGCATCAATAGAAAGACAAATGGGGAGAGTCGTCAGGAGACGTGCAACGTGAAGGGGCCGGAGCCGAAAAATATAGCACAGGGTGCGAAGGAAGAAGAATAAAAATGGCCAACAACAGACCCAGAAGTATACGCTAACCCGCACGCCGCTCCGCTCATGAGCGGTGTGGCGCACGGACCCTATGGATAGAAGCGTGAAGTGGGTAAAAAGAAAAAAGAGGCGTAAAAAGGCGTTGAAGTCCCAAATCCAAGAACCCATGGCGGATGCGAGCCGGGAACGGGGTGTGAAGATAATAACCCACGCGGGCACCATCCGGGTGGGTTGAGCTAGTTATAAATACGATTTTACTTGTTTTCTTCTTCTTTATCTTCTCCAGGATCGGAAGCGTCTATCGGTCATTCTGTACAACGCGCAGGGCGCGTGAGCGGGATGCGATGCAGGGCGAGGGTGCAGACAGCATGCACGTGTGAGTTCGGGTCGGTGTGATAGTGATGTACTGTTGTGGTGGTAGTGACACATTGAGTCGGAATAGACTAGGAAGGGGATAGGACAATATAGAAACACACGAAGATAGAAACGGAAGCGGCGCCGCCACCGACGATAGGTGCTGGGCGGCGCAGCCGAGAGCGACCGGGGTATGAATACCGGCGCAGACGGCGGACCCAGCAGAGGCAGGGTATCTAGATAACGAGTCGAAAAGCCGCGAGGATGTCCTATACGAGGAGCCAGACCGTTTTGAAAACCAGGGTAAATGCGAAGGCAAACCGCCGTAAGTGTAGAGTCGGGAGATCGGAGCCGTCCCAAGAGCGCTGCAAAACCAAGAGATGATAGTACGAAAAGGTCCAAAAACCGGCCGTCGAATGATCGAATAATGATATCTAAGAAGCGGTGCGAAGGGTGGAAGTGGGGGGTGGGCTACCGCGCGAGAGAAGTCGATGGTTTTTAGGTGGACGACATTAGCCGGTCGGAAGGCGGGTTCGGGGGTATACTTCGTAATATCAGCGATGATAAATGAGAGCATCTAATAGGAGGTCCAATGACCCAAACTGCCAAAATGTCAGTAAATCGCGGAAATCTGAAAACAAGTATACCAACCTCTACGCTTGGAATTCTAACGCATGTACAAATACATTTACGGGTGGAATGAAGGCACGGGAAGATCATCAGGACTAGGAGAATTTTGGAACATGGAACCGGCGAAGAAGGCCGCCTCTGGTGACGAGGAGATCGCAGCATCGGCGGGTCGATGCTCCGCGGCTGACTGTGCACGACGCTTCGGGAGAACAATTGGGGAGCGACGATGGGGCTCAAGCGACTCTGACGCAGACGAATCTTCGTCCATAGACATGTGGAACACGCCATCGCTGGGCACACGACGGTGCACACGTCGACGGTGAGTTGGAGTCGCTATCCGATCTGGGCTCGACTGGCGGAAAGGGAAGCCAAACGTCGACGAGAAAGGGGCTGTGTGGGGCGCATCGCCGAAAGTATCGTTGCGCTGCCACGCAGCACCCTTCTTCGCTGGGACGCTCGCGAGCTCTCGGATCGGGGTCGTCGGAGGCGTATCGTCGCTGTCGTCCGCCATATCGCTTGAGTCATCGCAGACGGGGAACGAGTCCCAATCCGGGAGACTGGTGCTAACCGGGGTGTCCTTAGGACGAAGAACCATCGGGATAAGAGCTGGTTCCGAGCGAGACAACAGATCTCTTTCCCGAGCCTTGTGACGGGGAACAGGAACCGCCTTGGAGGGCGTCGGCGTCGATGGGACAGATGTCAGCTGGCGACGGCGGGCAAGTTTGCCCGTAGGATGCGACGCCAGTCGAGGCGGAGAGTGGAAATTCGGGACAATAGAGCCGGCCTTGGACAGGCCGCTGTCCTTGGGGACCATCTTTCTGGGGTTGTTAGACGTAGTGACAACGAAAGGGTCGAACAAGTTCAACGTATGCTGGGGAAAGCGGGAGGGCTCAGCGCTTGCGAGTTTACGAGGATGGGAAGAAACCTCCGCCTGCGAGGGTATCCTAGTAGAGGGAGGGGGAGACGGTTGATGTAGAGGTCGTCGTGCGTTGCCTCGGGAGGTAGATAGGGAAGTGTTCCTGAAAGGGCGGGAGGGGCTGACATCAATACGTTGGAAAATTGACCGCTATTGTTTTTTTAATTGGCTGACCTTTGATGCGCCTTGTCTTTGGCCGACTGGCGTCCCCGAGCAGACTTGTCGGGGGTCGATGTCGTAGCGGTCACCGGCTTGGGCTTCTCTGAAGGGGTGTCGGTTTTAGGGGCTGACACCGCCTTCTTGGCGTCCTCTGTTGCTTGCGCTGTCGCATGGGATGGTTGGGGGGACCTCTGATGAGGCTTACCTTTGGGCGACGAGCGCTGCTGCCGCGGCTGTTGTGATTGCTGCGGGCGAGGTGGGGGCTTGGAGAGAGAGAGAAGCCCGGGTGTATGCGTAGGGCGAACGACTACCGGCGCTGACGGGTGACGGCAGTGATTGGGGCGGGACACCACGGACGAGAAAAAATGCGATGGTGGTCTCTGAACGGCGAGCATGGTAGCGGCGAGGGCTGGTGGAAGATGGTGAAGGGGGGAACGAGGGCGACGACGAGGTCGGGGTGCTGGCGGACGAAAAATGAGGCAGAGATGGGTTGGACTGTTGACTCCGGCATCGGTCAGCAGCTTTCTATTTCATCAGTCTCACCAGGAGCACAATTGAAACTCCGCCCGAATTCCCCCCACTTCCGGTGAGAGGCGATGATCTAAGATTGAAACTCAGCGGCCCCCCGAAGACTGGGTGGCCCACCGGACCCCTCCGAAAAGGGGCGGAATGGGCCACTCCAGTCCCCTCTCGATCTTCACCTGCTCGATTGGGAGTAGCCGCTCGTACCCGTCAGCCACGAGGCTACCCTTCTGATGGGCCACCTATGGCCACCCTTGATTCGTCCCGTTTCCACCCTTCCCATCCTTCTTACGGCGTCTTGTCCTCCCACTCCACCAAAGATAAGCTCCGCCGACGGCCACCTGACTCTCCGCCGTACTTTTCACTTTTAGCCTCCGTCCGTCTTATCCAGTCTCGTAGTGTAACGTCGCACCCGTATCTGTCAACCAGAAAATAGATGCTGTACTTGTTCATCATCCCGCTCCTCTGATTCCAGCAACACCTGCCATTCGACCAGGTGAATCCCTCGTGCATTGTGCCACATTGTGCCGCTTTGCCATCTTGGACTGCCGGCTATCACCCAGTACTACACACGTCGCGCTCAGTGTCAGGGTGGTACCGAATACGCATGCTGGCAGCTCTCGTCCTAGGATGATCCCCCGCGCAGACCTCGAATTTCCGCATACTTGCCTGCCTCTACTATCTGCTGCGGTTCCGTCTACTCGTCTGCACCTGCACTCACACGCGAGGATAGCGCTGTGGGCATCGATATGGCGTTGTGGTGCCCTGTCACCGATGTGCCATATCCAGCAAGCTTCGTATTTCCTCCTTTTCCGTCCGCCTTCGTATAGCCTCCACACTAAAGCCTCCCCCGTGCCAGACTGTCCCAGAACGAGCGCAACTCATAAGTTTATCCACCATCCCAACGCAGTCCTTTTCTTGCACGCTCCCGTACATTAATCCCGTACCTTATCACCGTCGTCATACCACCAGTTCACACATTTCACATTAAATGCGAGAGAAGGTAGAAACGCCTCGACTGCCGCACACGTTCCGGATCCGAATCCGAATCAGAGTTCGCAGCAAGACCTGCGACGATCCCCTTCGCTCTCAATCAGTCAAACTATATGTGCTCGTTCCACCAGCCGCAGTAAGTACTTGACGACGTGCCTGCAGCGGGGAGAGCCACCAACAATCAAGAAGAACAAAAAATGCGTGAGATCAGAACGGGACTACGATAAGTACGAATGTATGGAGATTCTAATAGCGAAATGAACAGCAGCAGCTTCTCTTCCGACCGGCAACACGCGCGAGCGGCGTGATCACGCCAGGAGCATCTTCCTCGGGTCTTCGAGATAGTCTCTCACTTTCACTTATCGTCCAGGACAATAAGTCAGCAGAGGACACGGACAAAGCACAAGGACAATACACACCGAGGAAGGTGACAGCTTCCCGGCCGTCGAGCAGTCTGTGGTCGTACGTGAGGGCGACGACCATGATGGGGCGGATCACGATCTGGCCATTCACGACCACCGGTCTCTCCTTGATGGTGTGCATGCCTGTTAAGAGTATGGCGAGGTCAGCACCGAGTTCGCTCGATCAAGATGGGGGCCAGACAAAAATTGAGGGGAGGTGAATTATAAACGATCGGCATGATGCGACGGGGCTTGGGCAATAACACCCAGCGAGCGGGGGTCACAGAACACTCACCCAGAACAGCGGCCTGCGGGACATTAATGATGGGTGTGCCGTAGAGCGAGCCGAAAACCCCGCCGTTAGAGCTGTATCATATGACGAATTTTAGTGGAAGATGACGAAGATCCCATTGTTTCACATACATGGTAAATGTACCACCGGCCATGTCCTCCATTGTCAGTTTACCGTCTCTCGCCTACACCACCACCATCCCAATGAGAAAGGCTGGAGTAGATCATGAAAAGGCGACGCACCTTCCTGCCCAACGCAGCAATCTCCCTTTCAATTTCAACAAAGCTCATGCTCTCCGCGTTTCTCACCACGGGTGTGACAAGACCCTTGGAGGTAGCAACAGCGACACTGAGGTCGACGTAGTCGCGATAGACGATCTCCTCGCCGTCAATCGACGCATTCGCCCCCGGTATCTCCTTGAGTGCCAGACAGCTCGCGTGCGCGAACGCGCTCATGTACCCGAGCTTGACGTCGTGCGTCTTCAGGATCTCCTCCTTGTACTTCTTCCGCATCTCCATGAGCGCTGACATATCGATCTCGTTGAACGTCGTCAGCGACGCCGCGGCGTTCTGTGACTCTTTCAGCCGCTCCGCAATGCGCAGCCGCATCCTGTTCATCTTTATGCGTGTCTCCCCACGGGCGCCCGCCACGCGCGGCGGCGCGGGTTCTGGCGCTGTCTTGCCCTTGCCCTTGCCCTTCTCCGCTTTGTGTGTCTCCTTCACCTCCTTCTTCGCCTCACCACCGTGCACACCCGCCTTATCCTTGGCGTGCGTGTCCTCACGCGCAGGCGGAGGTGGCGGAGATGGCAGAGGTGTAGCCTTCGCTACGTGCTGTTCCTTCGGCTCCTCCTTGTCCGCCGTCGCCTTCTCCTGTGTCTGAGCCTCAGGCTCCTTCGTCGGGGGTGGCGCCGCGGCGACCTCACCAGGCTCGAAGCGGAATAGGTCTTGGCCCACCGTCACCGTGTCCTCCTCGGCTGCGAGCAGCTCCGTGATCGTCCCTGCCGAGGGCGCGTTCACGGACACATCGATCTGGTGATAGGTACGTTAGCGCCAAGTGTGCGACACACGATGCAAACATGCGGAGGGCGTGTGTGGTGTACAGACGGCGAATGAGATGCGCTTGGACACTTGCTGGATCGGGCAGGTGTTGTGGTTATCGATGGTTTCAGAACGGGTAGCAGAAGGGTCACCGCCTATATCTAGACACGCCGCGATGCAACTCACGAGAAGTCAACACGTCCCACCACTGCAGCGACCAAAAATGAATGAGACTCCCCAATTCCAACGCACATAGTCGCAATCGCCTGCCTCGCCAAAAATCCGCCCTCGGTTTCTGACCACACTGAGCTGTCACTGTAGCCATTGACACGAGGACATGATCAGGGTGGAAATGTAGGCGTTCCCGCAAGACAATGCAAACGCCAGACTTCCCGACATGTGATGGAGGACTGACTTCCACGCCGTTACGCGAGTAATGTATGGGACATTCGGACTCCGGCCACAAGTGATTGACCCTGTCCGAGCGCATCTATCACACCAAGCAGGGCATTACAAGTCTCGTAGACTTGACCCTCATACCAACACGACAGAAACCGCCATAAACCACGCTTTGACTCTAGTAGCACCGCAAACGCGTAGAAATTACAAGGAGCCCACGCACCTTATCAGTCTCGATAGTCGCCACCTCCTCGTCCTCCTGAACAGACTCTCCAGGTTGTTTTAGCCATGACTTTAGTGTTCCCTCTGAGATGGACTCCGCCATCTGCGGCACCTTCACCGTCTCCGCTACAGAACGTGTGCTTGTGAGTATAATGACATCCGAAACGGTCGTGACACATACCTAGTAAGAGGTTAGTCGAGTGGAATTTTGCTCTCCGTGTATATGAGCTTGCGACCTTCCTACATGAACGTCCCAAAATCAGTCATCTGCCCGTCGGGGCGCCCTCCGCGAGCCAGCGGGAACGGAAGCACTCACCACCCCCGTGTCATGGACGAAACATCAGCGCGCAGCACGCCGCGCCCGCGAGCGACAGTAACTAATCGTCTCGAGAGCATCGTAGATGACGAGTAGAGTGCCAGCGGAGCAGAAGGCCGTTGGAATCTAAGAAACTTGTTGGCACTCACGACGCACGGAGATGATGATGTAGTGGGCCTGCGGTGTTCCGGGTCCGTCAATCCGAACAAGTCCGAAAAAAATGCGAAATCCGGCTTACTTGGGGCTGCTGGCTCTCACAGGCGTGCACAACACAAGCTGTGAAGATAATTGGCTTGTTTCCGAGTGGCTTATGGAAGGATGGACGGTGTGGTGAACGCTGGATGTTGTTGTCGAGCTTCCTTACAGTGTCGCCTGGTTTCCGGGGTACTTCAGTAATCTGACGTCGACGCGGTCAGACTCACCTGGCGACGAGATTCAACAGACTCATCTTGACCCCATTCACGGCGAGACCTGGCGAGACATGCCCTTCTGCGACACAGTAAGGCGGTTTGAGGGGCGGATATGAGCTCCAGGGTGCTCGACGCTCCGGGTGAAGAACGCTTTCCTATTCTCTCTTTCCGGATTACCACGATATGGCTAGGATCTGTGATCTAGCCTCTTCCCGGCAGTCCGTATCTTTTTCGGACTCGTACTTTAGTGACTTACACGTAGCGAATTCGACCGCTGTCTTCTAACGTGAACTTATCAGTGGAGGCTTTTCGACATTACTGCAAAGACATTACTGCCAAATTTGCCTCTTGTCTAATGTCATGATCTAGCACGCCGAAAGTCCAGGCGACTTGGGATTGTGCACTCGTCAGACTCGTCTATTCGATATTTGCTCTCTATACGATTGGCTGGCAGGGGTGCACTTGATCTAATTGTTCGCAAGCAGGCGTGTTTGCACAATTGTTTGGCCGTACCCACTGAACTGAATTATTCTGTGAGCAATATGCCCATAGCTCGGTCTACCACATGTAGTCATCTGGCACTGTGTCCCCAGTAACAGACTTCTCGCTCATTGGCTATAATACGTGAAGTTTCTTTTTTCCATGCACCTTAAGTACTGTACATTTTCGACCAACCCGGCGGGTCACGGGTCACAAGGCCAATGGCCTGCCGGATTTCGGACATGTGTCACAGGTCACAAAGAGTCTCGCCGCCGACCCCAGACGAATGGAAAAGAGGCATTTTTTCCCGGCCTGCGGCGCCAAAATCGCACGGTCCTTGTTCTCCGCTTTCCAGTCACAAGCAGCAGCCACCGGCTATAGAACAGCTCCATCCGGCAGCTACACTCGCTGTACGCCGGCGCCTCCTACGCCACTGCCCCGCCGCCTTGCCGCTAGAAACTGTACAGTATTGGGGCTACAAGATTCCCGGCCGCCGCCACCTGCCAATTTTTTCTGTTGCTGAGTTTAATAACAATTCGACATGGCAACCTAATTCTACAGCTGCATTTGGTGAGGAAGTTCAAAACTTACATGCCTTCACTGGGAATTGATGGGCACCTGTTCAGAGTGTGGGATCGATGCTGCACTCAAACTTCGTTGCGGAAGGAGTTGAGCAAGGCCACGGGTGGCCGGTGACCCTCCTGACTACGGAATCAAAACGCTGACATGCCTGCGATTGTGACGTATGCGTACACGCCGCATCGCAGGAGTCTACGGTCTTCTTGCACGACAGATACTTCTCGACGCCGGCCGCATTGTGCGTTGTTTTTGGGGTTCTTCTTGCACGCGTAGTAAAGATGAAATTGACGCAACGAAATCGGTGCGTTCCCAGCGCTCACGGAGACGACTTGGAAGGGCAGGTGTCATCGTATCGATTGGTAAGAGACATGCCTGCATTAGAATGTAGCTCTGCCTGTGGTATTGGTGATAGAATATTGTTGAGCCGCTGGTCACTCTTTTGCTGGCCAATCCTCGGCGCCGAAGGGAGAAACAATTCCGCGTCGCGATCCTGTGACGAGAGATACATACCACGTGATCACGACACGGTCTTCGTCTCCAGCTCAGAGTCGAAGTTGAACCATCACCGCGACCGCGACGTCCATCGCAGAGACAGGATTTCGACACTCATATCTTTACACTGTCTGTCCTTCTGGAGCTATGCGCTGTATACCGTTCTTTTCTTTTCTTTTCGCAGTGCCGGTCACTGTCTTCGCGTGCGAAGGAGAATGCATCGTCGGTATCACGAACGCATTTCTCACTAACTACTCCGACCCCATTCATGCTGTGATGAACAACGTAGTAAGTGTTGAATAAATATTGTCTGCTACGAACGTCCTCACCGAATGGCAGGCAACCCAAATCTCGGCAATCCTACCCAGCAACCCAAGCCCGTCCACCTCGCTCGGATACCTCTCCCCTATCTTCTCCGCGTACAAGAAGCAGGCTTACAACGGGATGGAAACTGCGATATTCCCCGACTACTTCCACGGCAAATGCCAGCAGAACGGCGTCGACCCCGCCGGGTGCCCCAATCCCGACTGCCCCGTCGTCTGCGGCACGCCCGGCTCAATGGTCCACTTCTACCCCGTCCTCCGCTTCCTCGCGTTCAACTACACCCGCACCGCACTCCAGGAACTCTCCATGCCAGGGAGTCCTACGAACCAGCAAGTTGAAGCTTCCGTGATGAACGCCGCGCGAGAGCACACTCGCCGAATCAGCAGAGTGTTCCCCCGCAGCCTCATGAAGTCTATGGCGAAGTCGGCTGTCGCATCACCTACTGCTACTCTCCCAAATTCAGGAGAAGGCGACGAGACGATCGTTCCGCTGTTCCTCAAGAAGCGCACGCAGGACATTAGCTCGGCACTCCAGAAAATACTCGCCAAGATCCCGGGGTTGCTGGTAGATGCGTGCGGCGGGTCGGCAGATACGGACCCGAGCGGCCTGCCTGACTGCAGCTGGGAGGAACGGATGAAAGAGTATATTCTGACATTCCCTTAGGACTCAGACGCGGAGGCCGACACACTGTATCGAGCACACTGTATCACTATCACTGTTGTAGCATTTTGATTTGTCGCACTGGAAGAGACTAATAGAATGTCGTGAAAAGCTCACGGAGGCCATGAAGTGGATGCACTGCCGCCACGAACCAAAGCATACAACTTGTCCTTGTCTCCGCTCCCGTCAACGAGCGCCCGGAACATGCCCATGTCTTTTTTCAACAATTCCCGGGGCGTGTCGAATTCAACCTGAACATATCATGAGCCAACGCGCAAATGCGGAGATTCGTTCAAGACATACAACACGACCGGCATCAAGAACCATCTACAGATGGCGGAAATATTTAGCCACCACAATAGCAGTTACAAAATATGCGGCACTGACTATCCTGTCGGCGTCCATGATGGTTTGGAGCCGATGTGCGATCGTGAGCAGGGTCACATCTTTGCCAAGCTCCTTACGCAGCGACATCTGAATGACCGTATCAGTTTCATAGTCTAACGAGTTTTCATCTGTCAATCAAGATATTATAGAGATATTCGACGTTGAACCTCACCGATTGCAGATGTAGCTATTCACCGATTCCACAAAATTGGTAAGTCAGAAGCTGCTCGGGACGGCGTCAAGACGCACCCTCGTCCAAGATTAGTAGCTTGCTCCGCCGCACAATCGCTCTGGCCAACGCGAGGATCTGGCGTTGACCAACCGACAAATTGCCGCCTGCGCTGCTGATCTCGCTGTCCAGCGTGATCCTCCCTTCGTCCGTCTCGCTCTGCACAGAGAACAGCCCTGCGGCACGTAGCGCGTCGTTCAACTCGGCATCGTCGTGCTCCTCGAACGGGTCCAGGTTCTGTCGCAAGCTCCCGCTCAGCAACTCAGGCTATACAGTGGCGGGATTATCAGCTGAGGTGCCAGCATGGAACGGAATGGCCATCATGCGTACCATTTGCGGAATGATGGTGATGTTCGATCGCAGAGCATCTAGGTTAATTGAGTCAGTCGGAACGCCATCGTAGTAGACTTTCCCCTCGGTGATGATGCAGCGCAGAAGCGCAAGAGTTAAGGAACTCTATAAATCCGGTGAGCAACTCTGGAACATGGATGACTATTCCGGGCAAACCTTTCCACTTCCGGTACGTCCAACTATTGTCCACTTGTTAGAAGATGGCCAATCAATCACATTCCAGACTAACCAATGCCAATGTGTTCTCCAGAGTTGATGTCAAACGAGATATCTTGCAGAACCCGCGGACCATTCTGCTGAAGCATAAGTCATGGAAAGACCTCCGACACGTGCATGAACATACAGAAGAGTAGCGAGCGGCGAGTCCTTCGACTTTCAGGGATCCGCTCGTGGGCCAGTACGCTGGAGGCGCACCAGCGTCGGTCGCTTTCGGCTCGTGCTCGACGACTGTGTATTGATGAATACGCTCCAGGCTGCGCAAGGTCGTTTCAAGCAGATGAAATCGTCTGAAATATTTTACCTACCTATTGGCTGGAGTGCCGTTCAGTAAGGATGGAGGTTCGACTAACAGGGACTTACTACTTACCGCTGATCTCGGTTTGGTTTCCCATTAAAGTCCACCAAAGAATCAAAGTAGAGAATTCAACTAGATACCACTATCAGACTGGTGACAGAAAGACGGTAGCAGCAACCACAAACCTGCCATGTTCAACGTATAGCCAAGGTCCGAGGCGTCGAACGACGTCGCGTATACCAGATATGTCGCCAAGCAGGTGGAGAACACTGCTCCAAGTATTTCTATGCGGGTAGATACCCATCTAATAGTTTACCAGTTAGTGGACTATGCACGACATGGCAGTGCATTTTTTCGGAGCGCACCGATGGAGATTGGACAGAGTTCGCTTTGACCTTATGTAGGTGTCCATGCGATGGTAACCCTGTTTCCTGAACAGGTCCTGAGCACCATATGCGCGAATAGATGCTAGCAATGGCGTCAGCATCTGCCGTACGAGAACCTAGGTAAGCACAAACTTAGGCCCGAAATTGCAGAGCCGAAATTTTCCAGAACGGGCGCATGAGCAACACCCATTTCACGCTTGACAGACAATTGCGCTTTCACATATAGTTGGCCGCACCATCCACCGATCATCGCAAGGACTACTGAAGGAACAGTGAAAATCGGGGACATCACCAAAACTGCGACCAGTCGCATGATCAGCGCTGCCGTTATCGACATCAAGTACAGGGTGTAGTCTGAAAAAGTCCCATCCACTGCAATTCTCGTTAGCGTACAGAGTCAGCGAGCGGTTGATCTGCTATACCAGTATTCACGTCCTCAGTGCAGCGAGAGACAATGCGTGAGGTCGGAGTCACATCAAGCCATCTGAATGAAAGTAAGTCGGGCTTGAGAAAGACCACGCGAACAAATTCACCTCAAGGTTGCGCCTAGTACGGAGTTCATCAGCCTCTTGTGAATGATCCGCGCAGCTCGTAAGGTCCCGTAGAGGAACACGACGTATGAAATGCTATACGCCGCTACATTTGCCAGCACCAAGAGAGAGTAGCTACTCATATAGCTGCAAGCACATGTGAATACCAAGACAGCGCATATGCGAAGACAACGACGCTGCTTACTATGTTATTGACACCTCTGAAGACGGATGATCTTCGTACTGACGTGCCCATACACCGAGGAACCACGGTTGGAGAACCTCGCAGACTTCATCTACGAATAACATGCCAATGGTTACGAACCAGAAAATGGCAGGGAACCTTCCTCCCACAGTATTCACAAACATACTGACTGCATAACCCGAATCTTCAGCGCCCAACGATTCTCGGCGTGAACAGCAAATACTTACTCGCGGGCCAGCCGACATGCCCTTGGGCAATTTCTTCCGACACGAACAACTTCCCGTCTGATTGCTGGGCTTTCGCGTCTGTGTGTTCATCGATAATCTCCTCTTCCACCTTGAGCTCTTCTACAAATTTTGCAGATAGTTCTTGATCTTCCTCGAGAGCTTTGGATAGTGAGCCTTGACTGTGGATGCGGCCATCCAACCCCAAAGACACTGCAAACTCGGATATGGGGCTTGCCAGAGCGACATTGTGAGTCTTTCATGCACTGATCAGCGGGAAAGAGACTAACTGGCAGTGTATAACTTACGACCAATATCACAGTGCGTCCACGAATCAGGTCGCCCTTGAAACATTTTTCGACGATCCACTTGGCAGTGTGTACATCGAGAGCAGCGAGAACCTAAATACAATTCAGCCAAGAGTAATCTCAAGAATGGCACTCAGCTTACATCATCCAGGAGGAGGACTTCCGCGGAAGAATACACGGCACGGGCAAGGGTTATGCGAGCCTAATAAAGCATGAGTGCACGTCAAGAAAGTAGAGAAAGTATCAGACGACAGTCTACCTTCTGGCCGCCACTGATTCAAAATTCATTTAATTCATATACAGTCAGTTACCAGTTATCCAACACTAATGTCAGGACTACCTCAAGGTGAGTCCTTTCTCTCCGACTTGTGTCTTGTCCCCAGCATCGAACAGGCTGAGGTCCCGTTGGAGACCACATTGCTCGATAACTGCAAGAACTTCAGTACAAGAATTTGCTGCTGACAATGGACAGAAATCACCCTTATTGTATCGCTCTTCGTCAAATGGTGCCCCAAACAGGATGTTGTCCTGGATGACATGAATCAGAAAACAGCTCCCACTATGTTGAAGTACCTTACGCGGATCGTTTCACTCAGGACCCACGACTCCTGTGCGGCATAAGCAATACCGCCAGCACGAGGAAGGAGGACGTATGAATCCGGACCTGAGGGTATGTAATGCATCTCGCCTGCCAATGATGAGCGCTCTGCGTTGTATGAAAGATAGCAGCCATACTCACCCAGCAGGGCCATCAACACAGACGTCTTCCCGGATCCCGTGGGGCCGATAATGAGATTAATATGGCCGCGCTTGAACGTGAGCTCGTCATCTATGTGGAGGACAAAATTCCGCCGTCGAGGCCCAGGTGTCAACGTCCCATCATTGCTGTTCGCCCAAGTGAACGACGCATTGCGTATTCCGATGACATCCTCGTCGTCTTCACGGAAAAGGCTGTTGACTGGCGCGGCGTCTGCACCGTCGGAGAAGGCATCAAGAAGCTCCGTCTATGCAAGGGATGAAAACTCAACGGCAATCAAATTTGGCAACAGTCGGGACAACAAACCTCATACAAGAAATTGTTCACACGATCGAGTGATACCTTGCCTGTTTTGATCATCATGTTATGCGTCACTCCGAAGAAGCATGATAACCCACCTGCTATTATCTGCGGCAGCGTTCGGAAACTCCCGACGAGCGCACGGCGCAGCATATCAAGCACTAGTGGAAAGTAAGTACGTTTCCGCATGCAGTAGCGTGGAAACTCACGAGCGATAGACGAAAAGACAAGGGCAGCTAAGACGGTGTCAGAATGGCAAAGAACTTACAGGCAAGCGCATGGTCATACCGGTAAGCTCCTGATGCATTAAGGCGGTCTATAAACGGATCTTAGAATGAATGCTTGGGGATGATCCACAGTAAACTTACATATGCAACGAAGACCACAACTATGGTGAGGATCGGAACGATGTGTCTGCAGGCTATCAGCAGACATTTGAGTGTATCCCACTTCTGACGTACGTCATATAGTTGTTGAAGAAGTTGAACAATTTGAACTTCAGTTGGTATTTCAGTTCGTCATTACGTTTCTGCGCCAATTGTTCTTCGACCTGAGGTTCCCATCCAAAAAGTTTGATCATGCGCATGACGCCGAGGACTGGAGAAAAGGAAGGGACATGCTATCATGAATGGAATCGCCAAAAACATGGCATTGACGTACCGTCGGTTACAGCTTGCACGCGTGTGTCTGTCTAGTCGTACAGTACTCAGTAGTCAGTATGCGCTTGCTTCTTTGCAGGATAAGCATACCTTTTTCATTTTCTCCTTTTGATATCCTTGAATCTTGGAGGCGAAAAAAGCTTGCAAGGGGATCGCCATAACAATAACGGCCATTCCAACGAATGCACTGGATATCAACCAGGTGAGACATCATCGAACCACTCAGATACAGGGCAACGAACCTCCATCCAAGAAGAGAATATAATAGATAAATGCACAATCCGATCTTCCAAGGTACTTCAATTACTAAGGACTCGTATTAGAGCGGGACAAATTCGAAGATAATTTCCCAACGTACTGAAAAATAAGAAGTCCCGTCCCTCGGTGATATTATTGAGGTCAGTGGAGATAAGATTGGTGATTTTGCCGACCATGTCCCTCCCTTTTTCATCGGACGTAGCGGTAGCCGTCGGTTCTGGCTTCGTGCTTCCACTATCCTCTAAGCTTGCCTTCTTTTTCTGCTTGCCCTTCATGGAAGATGTGTCCACACTCAGCGTAGCTGCAGAACCTTCTTCCCCTTCCTCGGAAGAACCGCCACTATGCTCCTGAGGAATCTCAGAACTGCCAGGTTCTGTTTCAGAGACATTGTCAGGGGTAGCAACCGCCGTAGATATGCCTGTCCCAATAGATGCCTCATTGACGTCAGCCTTTACGCGAGCCCGCAGAGCATGGTCAAACACGAGCTGAGTAATTATGGCAGTGATACGAGCCACATTTCTTGTCTGTGAAACGCGTGCATCAGTGCCATCGCCACAAATTTTCAAATGAAAAGACGTACTGAGATGAAAATGTACCATTGGAAACAGATGGTGCTGATACAGGGTCCAATAAACAGAAACGATATCCACACCCATGGACGCACAACGGAGTCTTTTCCGTGGATTTCGACGTAGCTGTCGATAAATTGTTCAGACCACCGTAGAATGGGGCAGGTGCCATGATTTCTTACCTCAAAACGAGATTGATGCCGATAGGATAGCCGAAATCTGCGATTGTCTACGTAAGCGTACGATCAGAGGCTTATCCTAAATAGTAAACGTCCTAGTACTACGTACTCGCAGGAACAACATGAGACCCATAACTGAAAAGTCGGTCTCTGGGGGCATATTCATCAGATCAGTTCAAATTGTATGGCGCAATAACCTTACGGAAGACCCTGACGATGCCCCAAAACATGTGGCGTCTCCTCCTCAGCTGAAACGGATCCATGTACTGCAACATGTTGAGATATGCATGACAACTAAAGAAGGGCGTCACAGTAGACTCACAGGAAAACTGCGATGAACCAGATTCTTCGCCATGTCATAATCAGCCAACACGGGGAGTTGGTCGGTGGAAAGATGAGCTATCCGATTCGCGGTGATTATTGTATTGTCAAGCCATGTATAGAGCATCATCGATAGGATGGAAGCTGTTTGTTCTTGGCTTGGAATGGACAAGGGTTCCTGTAGGTGGACGGTTATCAACAAACGCAGCAGATGAACTAATCTGGTTCACTTACCTTAGGGTTTAGAGGGACATACTCTCGAGGTACGCAAAGAGGAATCACAACGGCCGCAAGCGTGAGCATAGAAAGCTTAGCCCATAGCAGGGGTCCTTCTTGAATGTCCGCTGGCGACAAGACGTATGTTGCCAGAGGCCACACATCACGATACAAGTACAGCGCCCACATAACGAAGAGGACCAGGTTACCATGTTGTATGAGTAGTCTGCCATGGCTCGGGTTGGCTGTAACAGACACAAGCGCCAATAAGGACGCGTAACCCTTTCGGGAAATAATCAGTGACATTCTACTGTAATGCACGGAGTACTCACAAATGCCGCGCATACTCCGTTTTGGAACCACATACTGGACTCTATGCTTTCCGGGCTGGGACCATGATCCGCCAGACGCAAGGTTATAATCGACAAGGCTAGCAATATGACTGACAACAAAAGACGGAAGACTTTGAATGCAAAAATGGTATTTCCCCCGAGCTGCTTAATGCGTTGCGCTACGGTGGATCGGATTCCGTCGATCTCTGACGCATTCGAAGTTTCTGTACCTTCATGGCCCGTTAGAATGACCGACGATTCGTTTGACGTCTTCGACTGGAGGGCGAGCTGGACCAGTAAGGTTAGGATAGACGCGCTTACGACGTAGGCAGGTATCGCGGTAGGATCAAGCAGGATCCTTGGGTTAAAATTCAGGCAAATCGCCGCGTTATTGAAGGATAAAACGCGCACCTTTGTTGACTTTGAAGCAATGTGTAAAGACCAGACGCATTGCCAGTGCGTTCTATCCCCGTTGGCCATTGTTGAGCGTATAATATGCGATGTTCACTCCCTTGTACAAGTCCCCACATTGTCGTTCTACGCAGGAGAGTGAAATCGAGAGGCGAGAGGTAGACGCGCGTACCACCAATCCTGGAGTCTTATATAGTGGCTACGAGTCGGTCATTCGGTACCGCGACTAGATTCCCATGTGTGCAGCTGCATCATATCATGCATCCGCCGCAAGCGCCTGATGATAAGTTAGCACAGTAGATCTCGATCCATCACTCGTCAGAAAGGCACCGCACCGTATATACGACGAGTTCATCAGTCACAATCTGGTTGGGAAACCGGTTGAACAACCGGTTTCGCCTCGTTCATCGAAACTGTAACTTATAAGTGAAATCGAGCGTGATTCTTTTGCGCGATTCAAGCAAAGATGACTCGGAGTCAGGAGTCAACAGAAGACCTGTTCGACCGTGATGTAACCGAAGAAGATCTGTCAAAGTGTTAACCTGTCAAGGTGGTGATGCCGGAGGCGTCGGAGAGTCTCGTCCTCGTGCTCATTTAGACGAGTCATTGCAGGACAATGCCGCATGCCAATCCTACATAATGGCCGCCGTGCAAGCTCCGCTGTGAGATGCGCAACTACAGTCTACATATATGTAGTCATCTGAACATTGTACCGCGAATTCGTCTGAGATCATTCTCCGGGAGAGCAAAAAAAAAACACGAAAGTAAACACCGCACATACATACACAACCTGAGTCTCCTATGTTTGCTCGTTCCCGAAATACTCCTCTACTAATGCCTGCTTCCGCAAGGCTAGAAGATGCGCCTCCATCTCCTCCCGAGTTGGCATTTTTGGAGGAAGCAAATTTTCTGGTGTCAAAAACGGTATGTAGGTGGCAGTTGCACGGGCATATGAAAGCGCAGTGTTTTCCGCAGTAGAAGGAACGTCCCCATTCCGCTGCTGCTGTCGTGTCTCTTTTCTTGCTCGCTTAAACTGTTCGTCTGAACCGCCACCAGAAGACATTTCGACATCACCGTCTGGTGCCTTGCGTTTCGTATCGACCGGTGGCGGGGAAAGGGCGTCTGACGCTTCGCTGGTAGAGACTTTGGTTTGCGCGTGCGATGGTCGAGGAATCTTGGGCACTGGTTCATTACTTGGTAGCTCCAAAACTGATCGAAGATGCGAATACGCATCCTCCCATTCTATCGCCACCTATATCAGTAAGACAGATCGCAAAAGGACGAGATTGGCCTACCTGATTCTTCTGCACGTAACTCGTACTCCATCAACTTACCATCCGACTCGTCTACGTCGCCGAAGTAGGCTGGTCCTTGATTTGTGAACTTCTTATAGTAATGTTGCGTCTGGTTCTCCTCGTCTTCCTCAGACTTCTTACTCTGAAAGAGCTCCTTCACGCCTGGGAGCTCCTTTGCGCGACCAAAGTATCTGCATAGTAAGGTCCATCAATGTGGTAAAGCTGAGATACCTGAGAAAACTCACTTGTATCCCTTCGTCCCTGGAACTTCCTTGCCGTCGTCGTCCAGCATGGCGACATTTCGCCTGTAATTGGCACCGCCCAACGCGACTATCTGGTTCTCCCAGTGTCGCTTCTCCCGCATTAACCTGTTAATCTCATCGTTCAAGTCTCGGACCTCATAATCTGTGAGACCAGCTGTATACGTGGCGCAGAAGAGCAAGCGTTAACATGAGCCACGAACGGGTTAGACGAACGTACCATCTTGTATCTTCGACACTTTCCGACTTATCTCACGTAGTATCTCTCCTCTCCACCGTTCACAGTCGCGTAAACTTTTGCACGCACTGGCCATCTTCGGCCTGCGGTCACTGCGTGTCCCTAAGCCTAACTCTGCCGCCTGCGCTTCGCGAAAGCGGTATAGCATAGATTGCGCCTTTTCCTCATTGCGGGCCTACAAGGATACATGAAAAATATCATGCACGATCCGAAAGACTGACTTTGCAAACACGTACCATTTTGATGCGTTACGATAGCCAAGAGTGTGCAGCTCAGTGTGTGCGGTCGGTCGAGGAGATGTGATTACGATTACGTAAGCACCAGGCATGTCCGAGTCAGGCTGTCACCGGTTCACCACTGCTTGTCGCTGCCATCATGTCTCTTTTGTGTTCGCGTTGCATCTTTAGCACCGTTTCCCCCCTTTCATCTTCGTTCCTCATTGCAACGCGACTAATCGGCACGTTCGAATAGTGCAGCGATGCAGCGATAGATAGCGCTAGATAATGGGTGATGCTCCAGTCTTTGTGTCTGTCTGGTCTCCAACTCCGCGTGCACACGTCGCAAGCAATCTAGCTTTTGTTAACAGTGAGATATCTTGAAGAGCACAATTGTCAGAACTCTTTTCTTCCCATAATCCTCGGGCGCCTGTATCTTCGCATGCTCTATTGTCACGGTCCTGGTGGTACTAAGCATATAGATGCACTTCGCTCTCGTCCCCCAACAATCAGCTTTCATTGCATCCCACCACCTTTAATTCCTCTGCGAGGACCTTCGTATGCACTGGTTCAAATCTCTTCGCTAGATAGCAGTGTTGATATCCTTTTGTTCAGATCTGTTCCGAGAACATGGCAACTTGCACCCGACGTACCATGTACGATGAATACCAACAAGTTCGCCTCAGTCCCAGCCTGAATATGGGATTGCTTCGTAACCTTTATTCTTATCCATTGGTTAATGGCGTGCATGCGTTGTTACTTGACGTATATCAGAACCAGCATGCCAAAGACCATGGTCTTGACTCCGCGGCATATCTCTGGACGAAGGACCTTGCCGATTTCTTACCTCGGTTCAATTATGTGCGAGACGTTACTATACAGAATATCGTGTGGGGCATTGTCGCGCGACCGACGCGAGAAGTCTTTCTCAACCATTTCTCAATGATCGGTCGACTCGAATTGACTCATGTAGACTTTTGGAATACCCACCAGTTCTTGCGCGTCCTGGACGCATTCCCCCGCGTTCAGTGGCTCTGCGTCACCGACATCAGTTTTCAATGGGTTAATCACACTCAGAGACAGGTATCCGGCACTGTGCCGCGCGCCTTTCATCATCTACACTACCAAGGCAAAGGCTTATCAATATTTGTGGACTGGTTATTGGGGGATGGCAGAGACGTTTTCATCGAGGAGTTGATCATCCGTTCGAACTATCCGGATCTCGAAGACCTCGTCAAGCTCTTCACGAGGCTTGCACCTCATCTGGCGAGTTTTGCCTTCGAGCAGTTCCCAGAGCGTAAGCTTTTCTCAAAATTTCTAGGTTCAATGTACTGATAGGGGTTATTTCATTGTCAGAGGAATGGAACGCGTGCCTTGATAACGAGCTTCTAACCAAAGATGAGCATCTCGTGGGGCCCTCTAGAGAAGGTACCAGCAGTAACAATTCAGACGGAGTGAAGAAGCGCATTACGGAAAGGCAAGTTATATATGACCCCGAGGATGATTACAAAGAAGATCCGGCGGAGGATTCAGGCATGCGATTGACACGTCTTGTGGAGAGACTACAACAGAACGAAAATGTGAAGAGAACGACAGCTTATACGAAGATGGAAAAGGACATAGGATACGAGCCCCCGGAGGCTCTTGCGCAGAGCTTCCGAATGGATGCATTGGAAAACATCGTGGCTCAGCTGCATTGGGGCGATATAACTCTGCTCACGATTGACATTATGGGACAGCTCGTCTCGTCCCGAACACGCCTTTTCAATCTTGAACTCACGTTTGAGGACCTAGATGACCTAATGTCGTTGCCGCAGGAGCTCGACCCCGTCCTGGACGATATCACACTTCAGGCATCACACAACTCTGACTTCACAGTGGTTTTCCGGTCAAGTATCCAAGTGAACGATGCGAAGTTTCTACAAGAGATGATCATCGCCAATTTACCCAGGGCGCGGGTCAATCCGCTCTTGAAGTTCGTGTTTGACATCAGGGAGACAGCCGGTGGCAGAACGGAGGCACACGTCTTGCAAGACGTTCTCCCGAGGATAACACCTTTCGAGTTCCATGTTCTATCGACGTTAGACGTCGGTGGTGCTCAGCTGCAGCCATCCGCGGGTCCGATGCGTCTCCCCGAATCGCATCCACAGCCGGTTGCAGGTGCGTTGCACTATTCCCAGGTGCTGCCTTCTCAATCGTCTGACGTCCACTTCGTTTAGGATCTCCTCAATATAGTTCCCCGCTGGCCGGCTTCGGCAGTCTGGTCATGGACGCATCGCACGTTGTCAGTTCCACACGACCTCCTCCACACGCTCAGGCTGGCGTATTGTATCAGGCTGCGGGTACGTCAGTCCTTTGCCGAACGCAGTCGTTTGTTGAACTGCTTCGTGCAGTCCCTCAACAGCGTCATTTCCACCCCGCTGATGACCATTGTAACATAGCTGGCTCATCTGGGGTCGTATTCTCCCCCCAGCTTGATACATATGCTGGTGTATCGTACCCACAGCAGGCTGGAGGTGTGTCAATCCCTTCTGTGATGCAGTCTTGTACATTCCGACTGACTCTTCATGTAGGATCGTTCCAACACCGCTCTAGCCCAGGCGATGTGTTCGGCTTGTCTTTCGACCCACCGCAGTTTTCTGGTCTATCGCAGCCGCATGCAGTTGCCGAAGGAATGAGTATACAGCCAGTTGCAAGTTTGTCTGCACCCTTTCGATATGATTCACTTACACCCACACAAATTTCTCACACAGGGATCTTACAATGTCAACCTCAGCCAGATTATGTCCCTTCCACGGGAGAGCAGCGTGAACGTATGGTAGATTGCATAGTGCATAGATCTCCAGGGAGAGGCAAAGGCACCACCCGGGAGGCATAGCGTACTGATCGCGTGCCGAGAGGAATGTCAGTAATGTCAGTAAATTGGCTGCTTGCGACTGTACTTACTATCATTGACCCTGAAGTGCAAAGTGACCTAGAAGTGCAAGATGCCCTCTCCTGGGAATTCTACTTCACCAAAATTCACCAAAAAATCTGTAGTAGTTGAAATTGTCCCTGGCATCTTAGACATATAATTTGAGTGCAAACTTCCGTGGGGAACAGTACGTGGTCCACAACTTGCGAGGTGGACGTGATTTAGGCATGACAATGAAGCGCTGTATTTTGAACTCCGACTAGGGGACAGACAAAGGAACGGCATGTCGGCAATTGTGACGATCTGTGACCGATTGGGCGCTCTTGCTTGCAAATGAGTCTCTTCCTTGCGCAAGTTCTCAAGGTGACACAACATCAAGAAAAAATTATGGGAGGTGTTGAAGGCATGCTTTATATGTTAAAGATTATGTAGGAAAAATTCTGAGGTCAAATGGGCTCAGTCCAGATGCATGGTGACAGAAGTGCAAGACACCTTGCATAGTCATGGTCATACGACCACGGTGGTCGTATGGAAAGGTGCGTGCTGTGCCCTCGCGATGCACTCAAAGCGTGGCGATCCAAGCTAAGAGAGGAAATGTTTTTTTCTGCGTTGCTACGTGGCAACTCACCACTTCGTCAAAGCAACAACGATGTTCATTGTTCCGCATTGTTTGTAATAAGCAGCTGCAGTGACCTCATCGCTTTCTTTCCGCCTTATCACGTCAACAGTTTTGCTTTTGTGTAGACACTCTCGTTGCCACGTTTCAATTGTCCATCCTGGGAACGTGGTTCAGTCCACGCCAGGATATAAGGCTAGTGCAAGATACAAAATTCCTCCCACATCCTATCACCCTGGTCCTTGTGTCGTGTAAAATTCTCAAGCTCTTGGCATTTAGGTATGTGCTTCTGTGTACATTATGTCGTGCGTAGACTGACGGACTGGATTACGTCGATTCTCCCAGAAATCATGGCAGGTTGCTCCTGGATCGACAACATTAAGAACCCGTACGAGATCACACTCGACCCTAACACCGTTATTTCCGATCTGGATGATTACACCTCTGAAAGTCTCGCGAACATCCGAACGGTAATCTTAAATGGAGGCGTTGACCCCCGGGACTCGAAGAGCGAGCCTCGGCGTCGGTGGACATTTGCGATTGCTCCATTTTTGGGAAAATTAACTGACATTCAGGCCCTGCAGCTCAAGTTTATAGACTTGGAGTGGGTGGCGAAGCCGACAAGAAAAATTCTCAGCTCATGGGAACACAGTATCACCACGCTGGACTTGGTTTATGCCTACTTCTTCGAAGCCAGAGATCTTTTGAAAACTCTGGAGTCATTCCCTCATCTCACGATCCTACGGCTAGGACGCGTGTACGCTGACGGGCGTCATCCGACTCATGCTCAATTGACCCGTACCAAAGCCCTCAACTTCCAGCGGTTACACTTATCAGGCACTGAGCGTCTATGGATGAAGTGGCTGCTGGGAAACCGAGTGGTGTTGACGGTAAAGGAACTCTATGTGGAATACTCCCAGCGGGACCTTGCTCCTACTGTTGATTTTCTCCGGGTGATAGCACCCTCTCTGGAGCAATTGGCTTTTGAGTTACATCGTGAGCCTTACAGATTTTGTGCACACTTTGTCGAAACTGACCCGAGGTATCACAGAGGGTGAGGATATTGACACGAGGATAATGAATGCGAGCGCAAGCAGAGGCGACAATAATGCGGATCCAGGAAATGAGCACTGGGAGGTACGTCGGGAGGCGGTTTCAAGAGGCTGCTCGAATGCAGCAAATGACGTTAATGCACAAGATAACATGCACGGAGGCGACAAGACGGACACAGACAACGACATGGACGCAGACGACAAGACGGACACAGACAATGACATGGACGCAGACGACAAGACGGACACAGACAATGACATGGACGCAGACGACAAGACAGACACAGACAACGACATGGACGCAGACGACAAGACGGACACAGACAACGACATGGACGCAGTCGACAAGACGGACACAGACAACGACATGGATGCAGACGACAAAAGCGATAACGGAGAATTCATCAAGTCATTGTCATCTCGTGACGGCGAAGACGAAGATGAAGACGAAGACGAAGACGAAGACGAAGACGAAGACGAAGACGAAGACGAAGACGAAGACGAAGACGAAGACGAAGACGAAGACGAGGATGCCACTGATCCCGCATGGGTCAAAGAGAAGGAGCTGATAGAACGTCGATGGTTGTCTGCTGAGCAGGCATGCCAGGAGCTTGAAGATGCTTTGAAAGGAGAACCAATTTCACAGGCTCCGAATCTGAGGGTGCTGCATGCTATCGTCTGTCCGTCACTCCCGGGCCTCGCAATACTCGTGCTGCGCATGATTTTTTCCTTGGTGTCTCCTTCCACGACCGATTTCTACCTAGAGCTGCATTTCGACGCCACGACTATGGATCTGATTGATTGGCCGCAGCTCGATGCGCTGATTTGCGAACTTCCGCTCGTTCGCTCCGAAGGCTGCAAGTTCTGCCTCGGGATCCTTTATTTGCAGGACGAGGACAACCCTGACCAGTTTATCAAGTCCAGAGTCTGGCAGAAATTGCCAGGAGTAGTGGGGAGAAAAGTCATTCAGATTGTCTTCGGGGAGTGTTAGTCTCTGAAGTCCAATAATACGGTCTGCATGGTATAAATGGGGTGATTGATGCGCGTAGCCACTCTCTTTAAATTTGGTCGTAGTATATGCTCATTTGTTCGGTCATCGATGTTCACCTGTAATGCCCTATCTGAGATTTTTTTCGCTATCCGAAATGTCATGTCTTTTCACTACTCCGTAGACCTCCAACGACCCACCCCCGGCGCGGAAGGAGGCGGACAAAGTGGACTCGCGCAATCGACAAGGTACTTCAGCTCCACGCTTGATAACTTGAAGCTGTATAGACACCACAAGCGAGCCATCTCTTGCAGTCGCGCGTATGCATTTACACTGTACTGATCATGAACGCTGCGCCTCGTCTGGCCCCAGACACTTGCGCTCGGGCTAGTGTGGCCCCGCTGCGATAATGCTGGAGAATGAACCTGACCAAAATACAGACTGTGAACACGAATGCAGAAAACCTATCACGTTGTCATCATGCGAAACTGCTGCAATCTGGACGAATTGGTTACATTAGTACGGAGCACCTGCAACATTATCGTCTCTTGCTCGATATCACACACCCCATTTTTCACTTTGCTTGAGACCAAACAATGCACAGACAGCGCAACCATGGCGAGACGCATGTGATGAGAGAAAAGGCTGCCCACTTGGGTTCTGGGGATCGGCGTAACTTACAAACTGTTCGAGAATCGACGGGACAGCCGGACCATAGCGTACGGAGAGAGACAAAATATCGCACACCTAATCTGTCCGTAAATATTAGGTTTCTCGCCCTCAGCAAGCGGTCGACCCTATATGGCTGCACTATTGAGAAGGCGGTTGATGAGCACCTTTGTGGCGAACGGTAATGCGCATCAGGTACGCAAATTAACTGCGGGAATGCTTACTACATGCTAGCCGAGAATAATGAAGGTCGTGTCGTTCGCCGTGTGCTCTCGGAACGCAATGACGCTTGTGATCCATCCAAGCGAATCCGACGGAAAGGATTGTCGAATGATGTTAGGTTGTGAAACATAATGCACTCACCTGAGGAACAGAAATGCCCGCTCGGAAGGACTCCATCCCTCCAGTTACAGCGGACCGGGGACTGCTGCGCACACTTGTGGCACCTGAGCGTCATATCCCGGACACCACACTTAAACTTCTGGGACTGGATGGTTATCCGAATTATCGTCCATCGCAGAAATCAGGACTGCCGAGAGAATGGAGGGCAGTTTCATGTTGGGACCGCTGCTGAACTCGTTAAGTCAGACACTTAATGTACGGGTTGGGAAATCCGTCCGTGGAAACCAGCAATTCGTTCGCGAGTTCGCGCAGCCAACGATGGCGCCTCAGAGTCTTTGCATCGAGGGGCGGGCGAGGCTTGGGATGATAAACGCAACTAATTTGCAAGGAGTTCACTGAGTCAGAACCCCGCCTTTAATTCCTCGGTATTTGCTGGCTCCGATGCGCCTGCAAAAGAGGTTCATGATGTTGATTGATTTTCTATATCGACAATGGGAAAACCGAGATACTCACGTCTCAAGAGATCCTTGTGCCTTTCTGCACATGTCTTGGCGAATCTGGGGGAGGCTCTATGCGGGAACCTTGTCTCTTTGGGAGCCTCCTTCAGCTTGCGACCTCGAGAAGCCTCGAAGCCGTCACATTAGCGATGCCGAGCTTGAGTGGGGCAGCCTCCAGTGCGCATCAAGGTGGCGGACGAGAGGCCATGGCGTCGGTGCTGAGGTTGGCCATAGTCATCCGCGACCTGGACGTTCAAAATCTAAAACAACACCATACATCTCACCGACCCCAGGGCGCGACAGTCGAGAGAGCTAGCGATGGACAGATTCATTAATTGCAGCAATACCGATGCACCGATGGACACATTGCGCACAAATACGAACGAAAAAGAAAAAGGAAAAAAAAAAGAAAAGATGCAGCACAAAACGAGAATATAACGAGGATAAAGTCACACAGATGGGGAGGAGAGTGTATAATACTGTATATGGATGCGCCGGGACCACAGAACGTCGAACCACTAGGCCTTGTGTAGGTATGCAAAGACGCCAATACGATAAGCTTATAACGCGAACCCTGGGTGACAACGACACGCACAAAGTCTCGAACAATGAAAAAAAAATGCACACCGATGTAGAACCCCCATTTTTACGATCCTTCTTGCCCCAAATTACTGGGAGCTTGTAGCCAGTGGAGCCGCGCCGTCCGCCGCCGCACGGAACGGGTCCGAGTCCGCTCGCTGCAGCTGCCCCGGCGACGGCGTTTGCATAGCAGGAGCTTGGGACGCCACGGCAGAGTACGCGCGCGGCTTCGCACCAGCGCACATCGCCGCAGCCGGCCCCAGAGCGACCATTTCGTCATCTACAGCAAGCCCACGCACGTCCTTCGCGAGGTCCTCGGACGTCCACGACGTGCCCCGCGAGCTGGGTGTCCTCCCCGTCATGCCCGTGTCCGCGCCCGTCCGCGTCCCCTCGCTCGTCGACGACGTCCTCCGCCCCGCCAGCCCCAACGTCGGAAACTCGCCACCCCGCAGACTCCCGCCGCCGCTCCCGCTCCCGCTGCCAGCAGCAGCGCTCCCGTCCTCCCCCACGGCCTCGCTCCCCAGCGCGCTCGCACAAGGCGGGACGAGGGGGAAATACCCCGGCGGCTCGCGCGGCTCCGAGCCCGCCTGCGCCATCGCCATCGCCATCGACACCCGCACGGGCGGGAAGTAGCCCTGCTCGCGGCCCGCCCCGGCGTCCTCGTCGTCCGGCGTGCGCGCCTCCTCCCCGCGCGCGTAGTACATCGAGTCGAGCGGGCGCGAGTGCACGGGCGCGCCGACGGCGGGGTTGATGAACGGGTTCGCGGCCGCGCCCGGGCGGCCCCAGAACGCGCCGGGGGACATCCCGGGGGAGAGCGTCGCGCCCGGGGAGAACGCGCCCCCGGCGGAGCCGAAGGGCGAGAGCATGTGTCCGTGCAGCGCCGCGCGCCGCGCGCTCTCCAAGTCGTACGCGGCGCCGTTCGAGCCGGAGTTGCTCGTGCTCGTGCCGGACGAGGAGGGTTCCGGCGCGGCCCCTGAGGAGGGCTGTGGGAGGAACGTGAACGAGGGCATGCTCGGCGTGATTGGCGGGAGCCCGTGCGGCGTCATGGACACCATTGGCATGCCCATCATTGCGGGGTGGTGGAGGGGGCTCATTGCGGGATGTATTGGGGAGAGCGCGACGGGGTAGGGCGGGGAGAGGGTGTGCGCTGGGGGGATGGGAAAGGCGGTGACGGCCGGCGGCGGGGGAAGCGCGATGGGCCCTGGGTGGGCGGGGTGTTGGTGTGTGTGCGTAGCCGTGTGTCGCAGCTGCTGGTGCGCGCCATGCGAATGCGCGTGGTTATTTTGGGTAGAGTGTGAGCGCAAGTGCGCATGCGGGTATGAATGAAGATGGGATAGGGATCGTGTATGTGAATGCGAGTGCGGCAACGCATCCGGCGACTCGTCGTTCGACACCGTGTGCATCTGCGGCGACGTCGACGGTCGCGATAGTGCCTGCCTAGAACTGAGTGACGAACGGTCCTCCGACAGCGATGGTGGCTGCTGCTGCTGCTGCCGCTGTTCGAGACTCCCGAAGAACGACCGTCCGCCCGCCTCCCCGTACATCTCGTACGGGCTGTTCGGTCCCGAGCTGAGAAACTCGAAGTCGTACGCCGTCCGATACGGCATCCCAATGTGCCCCGGGGCCTCCCGTTGGGGCTCCCATTCACGGCTGTCGAACGCGTATCCCGGATCCACGCTCCGCACGAACGGCTGCACCGGCGTCCGCTGGGTCTGCGCCTGCTCGTGTTGCTGCTGCAGGATCTGATGCGCGAACGACGCGCCGTGCGAGAGCGGCAGCCCATGCGCATGCGAGAGCACGGGCGAGTGCGCCAACGCGAACGCGACGCCCATGGGCGAGTGCGGAACGGGCACGGCCACCTGCGCCGAGGACGACGACGGGGCGGCGAACTTGTCAAAGTGCACGTTGAGCGGGCGCCCGTTGAATTCGTACCTGCGCGCGTGTCGGCCACGATCTATCCGTCAACTCCAGCCACCCGCCCACGAGCCAGCCACGCACCCGTTGAACATCCGCACCCCGCGCTCCGCGTCCGCCTCCGTCGCGAACGCCACCGTGCCGAACCCCCGCGACCGCCCGTCCGCCCCGAGCGCGACGTCTGCGCGCGCCACTGCGCCTGCCTGTCGGAAGAGGTCTTTCAGGTCTTGCCACTGGATGTGGAACGGGAGCTGTGCGGAGGGTCGCAATGGGATGCGGAAGCCAACACTTGAGCCGGGGTGCGTTCACGACGCAGAGTGGGAGGTACTCACGTTTCCGACGAATAAATTTCGACTTGGCCCTCCGATAGCCGGAGAGGGACCTGCGCCCGTGCTTGGCCTCGACATGGGTGTGGCACCGTTCACAACCAGGCCGTCCTCGCCTACGCCCACTCCGAACGTGCTGGGATATCTCCCCAGCGGTGATGGCAGAGTAGACGCACCCGTGCTCGAATTAAGAGAAGGCGTGTGCATACCGAGTCCAATGCCCGCCAAATGGTTCCCCACGCCCAACCCACCGTTGATGGAAAACCCACCGACCGCGAGCTCCTCCCCCAGCCTGTCCGGCCTCACCTCCAGCGTCCGCGTCTGCCAACAGTACCCGTTGAACATGTCCACCGCCCGACCCGCGTCTTCCGCGGTGGCGAGCATGACGGTGCCGTACCCCCGCGACCGATTGTCTGGCCCGAGGGAGACGTCGGCGCGCAAGACGGTGCCCGCGCGGCGGAACAGGTCCTTGAGGTCCTGCCAGCGCACGCGGTACGGGAGGTTCCCCACGAACAGCTGCGTGCGCGTGTCGCGCGGGGGATTGTTTGTGCGCGGGGCTGCGGCGGAGGAGGAGGAGGCCATGGCCATCTTGATCACCGCCTCGATGTCGTCATTCGTCGGCGCCGCCGGCGGGGCGGGAGACGCGGCGGTCGCTGCGGAGGGCTGCGGCGCGGCGACGGCGCCGGCGGAAGAAGACGGGCGTGGGGAGCTGTCTCGAGGTTGGGAGGCGGGACCGCCGAGCGCGGGGCCGGCGAGTGATCTGTGCAGCCCAGGAATGGCCATCGCGAGCGATCGCAGCTGTGGCTATCCAACTGCCTCGCACAAGTGCCAGGGCAAGGAATGTAAGTAGTCGTCGACAGGCTTGCCCAGAAGAGTAAGGAACGTCGAGGGACAGGGAATTCAGAGGAATGTGAGAGTGGAAGACAGCGAGAGCGTTGGCGGTGTCTCCACGACATCGCGCTCCACTCTTCCCGGCGAACCGGCCCACACGTGTGGCAGACGTCATACGTCCGCCGCTCGCTGGCGGCGGCCTCCCGCTGTCGTTGCGACGCGCTGGGGTACCTGCATCTCGGTGGGATGCTCCACCGCCCTTTAGTTGTGCCCAGCACGCGCACCTATCGCGGCCGCGGGATATGCTCTCTGCGTGGACGTGCACTCAGCGCTGACGTCACCGCTGTCACCGATAGGCTTCTCGCTGCTCAGCCGTCCTCGACCTGACGCGCTCTCTGTGTAATACAGCCCTCGACACTCGACGACCTCCTCCCAGTCTACACTCAGCACGTCTCCCCAAGCTTGTCATCTTGCTCGCGTGCTCCCTTAGGCCTTAGCTCCAGCGTCTATCCTCGTCCCATCGACTCCCACACGCTGCCAACGCCCGTATGCACCCCTTGAGTCGTCGTCGCCTCGTGTACTCCCTAGGCCCACTGTTCTCTACCCTCTCACGTCTGAGCCTACGCATTTCCCGTCCACTCGCCTTCTCCTGCCATTCGAACACTGGTGCGACGCGCTCTCCCTCCCTCTCTTCTCACCTCCGCATCACAAGACCTACGCGAAACGAGATGGAGGGTGACCTTGCTGCGATCACTCTAGACGGTATGACAATCGCGCATCATCTCTCTCCTGCTTTGCGCGTGCAAACAACGTCGGGCCCTCCCTCACCCGTTCTGAGCTGCCAACGCGATCTCTGGTCCAACGGCGCTGCCGCTTGACTACGCGAACGCTGCCTGTGGATACGCGCTGCCTTTCTTCGGCGCTGACTTCCTCTCCTGCGCTTGCATCTATCGACGTACCTACCATGACCAGAACCACAAGGTGTGCACGTCAACAACTCCCCCGAGCACTGCGTGCTCTGCTCGCAGCGTTTTCCCCGCGTCGGTCTTCATGTGCTGGGATAGAGTGTAGGTGAGTCTCCTACTACAAGTGACAGCAGAAGTTTACTTACTCAGACAGCGCACAACGCAGATGCTGCATCCCACCCAGAAGGTCGCAGGAATGCACGAGGAACAACGCGCGGGTCAAAGGTGAGCGAACCGATACCTTCAGAACGAGCTCGACACTTATATACCCCATCCCCCGCCGCGCCTCGTACGATACTCACGCACGGACTCACGCTCAACGCGTTTCAGGCTCCCGCACCCCGCTCGCGTGCAGCCATCAGAATACAGCAAGAAGCGTGACTGCACGGAAGCGAGACGCGGTGCACCGATCGTGATCGCGCTGCCAGGGCTTCCTCTCCGTCTTCGTCTTCGCCTTCCCCGCTTCGATTTCTCCGTGGAGACTGCGCACGGGCCAACTGCGTCTGCGCCGCGCCCGAGGACTCGCGGTGCGCTTCGCATTGCATCTGGGGGCGAGATGCGACTTCGAGCACCTTCGTTGACTCAACGCCACGACATATTCCGTGGACGAGGGTCACCGCGCCCACTGGAAGTACGCGGAACCACCATCTTTGTGCGAGCGTCCCGTCGAGACGACTCGGTGGTTGACCGCCCCTGCAGTACCCGTACTTCCGTTCAGTCTGAGATCCCTTATTGTGCGTACTGGACAGTTCTGCGCCGTGTCCACCCATGCCGTACTACGCATACATCGAGACTTTCTACGACGGTCGCCCTCCCACCTGGAGAGGCGGCGCATACGCCAACTTTCGGCAGAAACTTGACCATACGATCGGTTTTCGCGTTGGGCGAACGGTGCCCCTTCGCTTGGCGGCGGACTGGACTTCAGCAGGCGCTTATTGCGGCTGGGACAAGTTTACGAGCACACACAAGGTGGCAGGCAGGCACCTCAGACCCTGGTGCAACTCCCAAACCAACCTCCGAACTTACCCGAGTACACGGTTGAATCGGACGACGGAGATTGAGACCATGGGTCTGGGAGTCGAAGGGGGGTGGCAAGCCCTACGCACCCCACTCCCGAACGGTACTTGTGAACTCTATTTTTTTGCCACAAAATTACCAGGCTTCAAGCTTCGTGCACATGCGTCATGCATTCATGTCCCACCGTAAGTTAACAGGAAGTTCAGTGTTTCTCGGTCTAAATAGTGCACTGTTGCGGACCGTAGTTCAAGCTGTCGTCATACGAAGTGCTTCCAAGCCATAGGGTGTTTGTCTCTCATGAGAATGATATCCAGCTGTGTCCTGTTGCACGTACGTTTGTGCTAGGTATCACATTTTAGACAACATTCGCCATGAGAGTATTAGCAGGAATAGATGATACTTGCACAATTGTCCTCTGTTGGTGTTACGGCATGAGACTACGCCTCAACGTACCGTGAGTCGTATCGCTGATCATTTTCCTAACTTCTTGGTACATACACCTGCTCAATGTCCGTTGCAACGAGACGGTGCAGTACAATCTGGCACGAGTAGTTGTGAAACAACATGGGGTAAAATCCATCGTGATGAGTCTCATTCAACTCTTTTCATATCTGCACTCTCAGAATCGTTAACCGCCCTACTTGACCCTGACTCGTCGGCCGAAGCTTTGCGCGACCGCTTCCACGCCATGAACTCTCTGACCAACGCAGCGACGAGCGGAGCAGCTACCGAAGCGAAGAGCGGGGTATATACAGCGTACTTGTGTTCTGCAGGGAAATACAGCAGCGCCAGCATCCCGGGGTTGAAGAACGCACGAGAGGCGAGGGTGAACGCTTTGCTGGAGTAGCTGAGAGCGAGCGCGGACGATGACGCCGCCGCCGCCGCCGAGTACATCTACAGAGGACGTCAAAGTCACGAATCGATTGCAGGAATTTAAAGAAGAATCGACCTCATCCAAAGCAGAGATCGCCCCTTGCACATCGCCCTTGACATCCTGGCCCACAGGCATATTCTCGATCTGTGCGACCAGGCTGATGATGCTCTTCAGCGTCTCCTTGCTGCCTTTCTCGTTTTCGACGGCGCGTCTGCGGAGCAGAGCGTCGAGCTGCCAGTCCGAGAATGTCTCGGAATCGTTGCAGTGGATGTGCGCCGGCAGCGGAGGCACGCCCAGCAGAGTCGTCAGCTGGTAGCGAAAGATGGCGAAGACGCTGTCGAGGGTGGATGCTGGCAGGTGGGACGGTCCTGGAGTTGAGGATGGCAGATTCATGATGACGATGCCGCCCCATTGTGGGAGGATGAAGGCGTTCGAAGCTGAGATAGATCCTACGCTTCAATGGTAAGGAGACGGCACGCGTATTGCCCTGATCGGACTGACCGTCACGGCTGAGAATATGCAACGGTGTGCTGGTCGCGGAAGGAATAAATAAGATAAGGTGTAACACTGGGTCATTGGACACACTCGAGGCTGCAGAGAAAATTATTGCGAGTCCTCGCGATGATAGCACAGGTACGTACACAGAGTCCATTCTGCCGAGTTGATGAAGACAGTGAGATCCTCTTGTGTCAATGCAAATTCTTCCTTGTCGTCTACGAGCACAGATCGCGGTCGAAAGGCCAGAGGAGCGTGGAACTGTATTTGGCTTTCCACGGTGAAGTTATGCAATAAAGAGAGTTTCTCCAAAGTGGGGGCAATGTGTTCTGAAAATTACACGTCCCAGTCAATTTGACACCACATTCAAGCCTTGATACGAACTAGATATCGATTCACGAACATCCCAGCTTAGAGCACCTATCCCGGTTGCGGCGTCCTGGTTCAACAAAGTGAATGCAAGACGGTATCGAGGTGAATATTTCACGATGTGCTCCGCCTCATGCCGGGGACTGCGTAGAGTGGTGTACGGTACTAACAGCGTTGCCAGTGTATCGGCCAATTGCATGGCCGCGAGACTTGCTGATGGAAGGACTCAATAAACTCCTGCTCTTGCTGCTTGAGAGGTAACCTCACTCACACATTGTCTCAGGTATCTCATACAACAGTCGCCTACCTTCCACAGTGGGATCTTCATTTCCATGTCGAAGTACTACCTGGTACGCACCATCACTCAACCACAGAGTGCCGTGAATCCTTCACAAGCGAGATACAAGCACTAAAATATCGACTTACGAGTGTTTCTCTGGATTGATGTGGATACAAAGTCCTCCCGACTGCTGTACATCTAATTCCCGCAGCAGCTGCTGTACGCCTTGTTTTAACGCTGTAGAGTTGACGTTCTTGTCAAAAGCGGACAAGTCGAGTTGTACATCCACAGGAAAGACCAGCTAATAATTGTATCAGATGTGCAGGTCCAGACTTTACGGAGCAGTTTGTGGCACCTCGCGGCTCTGCTGGGCGACGACACGCGAAGCCGGTAAAGACAATCTGTCGATACTTGTTGTTGTCCACCAGAGAGGCAATGCCAGGAGAACGACAAGCCAGTAAGATGCAATGATACACCGCCGAGTGAAGACGGACTGGAAAACAAGCTGCGAAGGCTTCAGGTTGTCCATAGAGACGCGGTCACGCGGAGCGCCACCGCTCTGCCAGATTTTCAAGCGGCGCTTCAATGGATGGCACCAACTTTTGGAAAGGAAATGAGTTAGCTTTCTTCGTCTCCAAGACTCTCCTGTTCGCTCCCAAGTGTGTTCGGGAGCTCTTGGTTATACCCTGATCATATTCTAGCTATTCAACCACGCAAACGGTAACGTTCACTATAAACGCGCGATTTCACACGCTCTGCGCCTCTTTGCTCTGCTGATTTCTGTGCGCACGACTTTTCTTTGCTTTCGCTATCAATGTCTACAAAAAGTGATCCTCGAAGCGCACCCAACAATCTGCCTCTAACCTACGACGTTAGGTCCTAATCATTTTATTACAAAGAGTAAGACTAACTCCTCATTGAGCAGCGACCACCCCATCTTGCAGACCGTCGACCTTCGCCGTCTCCTGGTCCATCCAATGGATTACCTTTCTATGATAGATATGCGCCTGCGCGTTCTTCTTCAGCCTACCAAGATAACTACGCGAGCGGATACACGGCAAATTCTTGGCGGCCAGAACGTTCCTTCTACAGTGGGACGCCGTCTCCCGAGTGTCATGGGCAACAAAGAGACTTGCAAGCAGAAGGATGGGCCCACCCTCCGTCTTGGACCCCTTCTGACTCAATGACGTGGGCAGAACGGAGGGAACCCATAGGCTCCATGTACGATAGTCCGGCGCCCAGAGGGCGTCGTGAGACGATGGCTGAAAGGATGTTTGAACCTTCTGACTCTTGGAAGCAAACTCACATCGATTCCAGCATCGATTCTGACGGGTATGTGCATTCTGCACCTTTAACGTATGTACTGACACATCGCCACAGGGCACGAGACCGCCCTGGGGATCAGGATTGGAATATGCGATCACCTCAAAGAACTGTGCCCGACCATTATTCTCCTCCCCGTAATCATTACTCTCCATCACAGGATCATTATTCTCCATCTCGTAATCACTATTCGCCGCCGCGCAATCACTATTCACCTCCTCGAGATCTCTACTCCCCTACTCACGACCAATACTCCCCTACTCGCAATCATTACTCACCTCCTCGAGATCATTATTCTCCGCCTATGTTTGAAAGTGACCATTACAGGCCGCATTCGCCCAGTCCTCCCTACACACCTCGATATCCGTACATGAACCCCGGCTCTGATTCATACCGACCCCATTACGAGAATGACAGAGGTCCCTGGAGTGTTCGCCCCCCAGAGCCCAGGCCGAAAGGGAAGGGTCGCAAGCGAAATCGTAGACGTTTCATCAGCCGCGACCGCTCAATCAGTATCAATTCTGTTCGCGCTCTACCTTTGTCTTCTCTCGTAACTTCTCGAGGAATCTTCCCGCCGCAGAACTCAAGCGCAACCTTACGTCCGGCGAACGGCGACGGAGCGTTTGCATTTCTCAGGCCAGCAAGTCCATCGGGCGCGGAACAACCTCCCTGTAAAAAATATCGGTCGTGCTCCCCTATTCCCCCACCAAATATTGGCAGTCGGCAAATGTCCGAAGTTGTCGCCGAGCGTAATGGTGTTATCTCCCATCCTGATGACTACGATAGCCTTGCATCGACTCCTCATGACGATTCTCGTACGCTCGACTTTCCGGCTCCAGTTTCTGTGTCGTTCAAGCAGGAGATATTGGAGGATCTTCCTGCACCTGAGCCTGTCGCATCGTCCGGTACCGATCGTAGCGGAAGACATGCAGAGACAAAGATTAAGGCTGGTATGTGTGTTCCAGATGTCTCAATAGCTCAGCTAGTGACATTATTCCTTTCTCACAGAGGATCTGCCTGCTTCTCGATCTCTGAAGATCGATACGTGCAACATGAAGATTCCGGCAGAGATGCGTCCGGAAGCCACTTTATCTAGGCCATCGGTAAATGGTCTCGAGATTTCGTCAGAGAAGCAGGTGACTTCAGTGTCGGCTGAAGACACCTCTTCCGTGGCAGATGGCTCTGACATGGAAATGTCCTTACCAGCATCTCCAACCGGTGGCTCTGCGCGGGAAGAACAATATTCTTCTCCGCATTTGTCACCAGTCCCCGCTGTTCCATTTGAGAAGGGTGTACCAATCGCTGACGATAATAGGTAAGGTAAACCCTGACTTCCAATGCCTGTCATATTCAAGGTTGTATTATTCGCAGACTTTCCCTGGCTGAGGATTCGGATATGGAAATGTCGCCTCCTCCTTCACCCTCTGATCGATTCTCAGCTGAGAGTGGCACTAGGACACCTTCCGGTCGACATGGAAAGGTTCGCGAGCGTTCACCCTCGCCCATACTCCGGCAGCTCGTTGTATCAGAAGCGGAGAAAGACAAGCAGATTAAGAAGCCGGATGGGACGCTTCAAGTTGCTGTACGCCTGGAAGCGATGGAAAGCAGCGGAACACACGATTTTATGGAGGAATCTGATGTGGATATGGAGATATCTACGCCCGCAACCCCTGCTCATCCTGCTGACCTGCGTGCTCCTAGCGTCGGAAGCTCCACTGCCGTTGACGAGGAGATTCCAGGCCTACAGGCCATTCTTCCCAGCTCAGAAGTCGTGAGTAACGACCTTGCTATGGAGCGGCCGAAGTTACCTTTGCAGGTACCCTCTCTTACTATGCAGACCGTCGATGGCAAGATCCCGTTCGTTGATGCTTCCCCTCTGGTTATGTCCCCGCGCACACCACCTGGGTTGGACGCAGCTCCCACTGTTTCACTTGAGCCTCCTGGTGGCACTGGTGATAAAGCTCCTTCTGCCCTTGATGGACCGGAACGGGCCGGAGAAGACGAGGCCCGCACTCAGGTTCAGCCTAGTACTACCACGCCTGCGATGCTTGCTGCACCTGTTACGCCCGCTGTTACGCCCGCAACACTGGCTGCTGTCCAAAATCAACAGACTAAGGAGGGATCTGGTGTACTCCAAGAGGCAGAGCAGGGCACAACGAATGCTCAACGTCCCAAACCACTTTCTGAAGGACTGCGGCTGGTTGTGATGACGAGGCTTCGGTGCGATCGGCAGACAAGGGAGGAGCGCGTGAATCCAGTGCTTCATACCAACTTGTCCATCGTCGAAGCCCTGCCACCACAGTCATCGTCATCGTCCTCTCCGGATGCTGTGATCCGGACGCTCTATGGCGGAGAACGCGGACGAGCCAGAGAGGCTGCTTTTGCTAGGATGAGGCCTTCTCTTCAGCAGCGATTTGCTCAACGGCAGGCTGCGCTGACAGAGAAAGTGCGGACTCTGCGTGAAGAGTATATTTCTCTGCACGAACGCTGGATGGCTCACTGCGCGAAACTGGATGAGGTCACGAAGACGGCTGCTCTTGAGGAAGCTGCGGCTACCGCTGGGCGAACGACTAGGCGTACTGCGGCCCTCACGGACGCTGTACGCTCTGACTTGGAGATGGAGCAAATCATCGCGAGCTTGGGCAACGAAGAGCTGACTGATGCCAATCACTTGGGAAGTCGGAATGCCGCGACTATCCCCGATATGATCTCGGTGACGACAGGTAGCGTGGACTTGCTGTATGACGACACGAACAACCGCGTGGACGATCCTTCTGAGTTCTACGCTCCTCAAACTGGCATGGACGACTGGTCGGAGGAGGAGAAGGCTATTTTCCTGGAGAAGTGGGTTGAGCATCCCAAGCAATTCGGTCTCATTGCCGACTATCTACCACACAAGACTGCGGCGCAATGTGTTACTTATTATTATTTGCACAAGCACACGCTGATCGACTTCCGGAAAGTCTTGTCTCGTCATACATCGAGCAAGCGCAAGCGTGGTGGTAAACGGGCGGACAAGAAGAAGGGCAACGCTCTTTTGACGGACATCCGCAAACACGACGCCGAGGTGTCTCGGGATTCCACTCCGGGCGCACCGACTACGCGGCGCAAGAGAGGCGCGCCGGCCGTCAATAATGAACTGAAGAGGGCAGCCTCTCGGAGGGGTTCTGCTCAGGTGGAGCAGTCCCCCATTTCGACGCCGACACCTGGTCCTGATCCGGAACCAAGACGACGAAAGCGTCAACCAAAACCTACCGCCCGCGCCATTGCTCTGATGGAACAGGAGAGCGCTGAGGTATCCGTGGTAAGTGATGACACAATTCATTTCGCGTCGATGCTGAGCAGGTTTGATCTGCAGGAACCTGAGCCCAGACCTCGGAGAGGACGGAAGAGTCGCAAAGTCGTGAAATCGGCGGAGATTGTCGTTTCTCCTGGTCCAGACGAAGAAATGCCTACCGTCATGAGCGGGACCAAGTTCATCGATCAGACCGACTTCACCACGCGGAAGAAGCCTATGCCCGGCGGCGTCATCTGGTCTGAAGAGGACAAAGGTCGGTCCGCCTAGATGGCAGTGGACTTCATCGCATGCTCATTCTCCATGCAATAGTCCTCTTCCTCAAATTGTTGGCTCAGTATGGAGATGACTTCAAGCGAATAGCTGCATCAATGCCAAATAAGGTGTGCTTGAAGGCGTGATTTCACCTTAGTAGTCTCATTGTCAGCGCAGACAACGATTCAAGTGAGCCAATTCTACAAGGCCAATCTCGCCGAGTGGGCCCTTGAGAAGGTGGCGGCAGGCGCTCCAAAACGGTCACCTACTCCTGACAGATCTCAAGACATGTGGAAAGAAACGAGCATCCCGGGATCTGGTGTCATCACACCCAGTACCAACTGCTCAACTCCAGATATTCAAGCACCAATGCAAGGCCTTCCTCCCGTTGCAATCGAGACTCGCTTCAGGGTGAATGGGCATGGCTCGCCATCTCGCAAGCTACATATCCAGGAGATGTTCACGAGCGCTGAGCGGGACCAGAGGCAAGTGGTTGAGTCGTCTACTGCAGGGCAGTCTTCCGGATATCAGTTCCGTTCCACGTCTATCGAGAGCATGCGTGCCCAGTACGGGCCGACGGATAATATGCCCGCGCGCGGGTATGTCCCCATCCAACCACGAACCTCCCCGTACGCCAATATCGCCCCGCCGATACGCTCAACCAATGGGTCACTGATGGATAACACGATCAATGGTGCCAGCCAGGCACCTCCGGCGACGCTGACGATGACCTTTCAGTCTAACTTTGCATACTCGAACCTGTCGCCCTCGCACTTTGCGAACGACCAGCGACCAGCTCAGCGGATGGCCACGCGTAACGTCTCGCCGCCGGGTGCGACGTCGAGCGCGACAATGACGTTCGATGCGTCGATGTTCCCGCAGCAGACGTGGACGCATCGGTCACTGCATACCCCTACGCCCGCGCTACCGGCGACGCTGCAGACGACGGAGGATTTGGTGGCGTACTTGGAGCATCGGACTCGTCAGACAGCGCAGCAGCTGGACTTCCAATAGTACTGATTCGGTGGACTGGGTAGGGCTTCCAGTGGTGTGGGCGATATTTGTTTCTGCAATATGGACCGATCTGTATAGATCTTGGTTCCTACTTCCCATATACAAATCGTTGCTTCTTCGTTTTTGGTGTCAATGCTGTGCGATCGAAAGGTCACGGTGCGAGAATTCTGAGCAACTCACTAACGTGCAAGGCGATAGCCGAGCCAAGTTCCAGTCGTCGATGCTCCCAATGTCAATCCTTTCTTGTTGTCTACAGTGGCTGTGAACTGACGAATACACGCATCAAGCAACAGCTCAGTGTATAGCAGCAACACATCCAGGCATTCGTAGTCAGAGATGCTGTACGTCACGGGTAACATCACAACAAACAAATATTATCGGCGGCCCTCGACCATGATGATATGGTATCCAAAATTGGTCTTCACCAGCGGGGAAAGGATGGGCTTATCCACGGATGACGGCTCGAGGGCGAATGCCACATCCTGGAAAAGACCCTGTAGAGCCGAAATGAGGGGGGAAATGGAGGGCGGGCGACCCCAAAGAAGATACATACCACCATGGATCCTCGAGCCATCCACCCCAGACTACCGCCAGCTAGTACACGTCAGTTCAGGCGCATGTTACAATGACAAAGATTGAATGTCAACCTTTGGCCTTATCTTCTGAGTATTCCTGAGCCACTTTATCGAATCGCTGGCCCTCCTACACCCCGTGGTTACTACCTCCTTGGAGAAACCTCAAATTGTAGTCGATGTGAACTTGAACATACCTGGATCTTCTGCAGGGCTTCGGTCGCCTTGGAGTGTTTCTCACAGAGAATATGACGAACATTTATTGCAGTAGCTGGCTTCAACCCTCCTTTGCCCTGTTCAGAGCATTTGTCGCCGCGCAAACGGAGCTCGCCAGATGCAATGTAGTCCACCCACCTTGGACTTCTCTCCGGCTTCCTCGCCCTTCGCTGCACCTTTGCCTGCTTTCTTATCGGCAGACTTCTTCTCTGCTGCAGCGTTTCCCTTCTTCGGCATGGTGATGTGGAGTCGTTAGATGAAAGTGATCAGGTTCCAGAGGGTTCCAGTTGCAGAAGTCAGAATTCGCGCGGAAAGAATGCGGTCACGGTCTGACACGTCGTCGGGCAAAATCTCACAGAATAAACGACATGAAAAATCGCAGCATTTTCTCTGCAGGTGCTGCTAGAATATGTTGGCTAAGTTTAAGCCAGTACGAGCATGCGAGATCCGAGTCGTTCAGAACTCGAAAACAAATCGAGGAGCGTTAGATCTTATCTTGACTAGATCATCCACACGTGGCGGATATCGTAAATTTCGAGCACCCGGCCTGCCTCACATCCGCCGCAACTATACACACTTCCTTCTCTCTGCTCTCGTCGCCGCCCTAGCCATGTCTGCGGACAAGATCACCCGTATTGCCATCGTCGATGCCAACCGTTGCAAGCCGAAGCGATGCGCGCAAGAGTGCAAGAAGGTTCGTACCTCTCCGATCTGCGATGTGCGATCGGGTGTTCACAGATGGCGAGCAGTCGTGTCCTGTTGTAAAAATGGGTACGTCTGCGAGTACATCATAAGTGCTGTACGGTGCTGATGTGACGATGTTTTAGGCAAGCTCTGTATAGAGGTCAAGCCCACAGACAAGATCGCTTTCATCTCTGAGTTTCTTTGCATAGGTTGTGGTATTTGTGTGAAGAAGTGCGTGCCAGAAACGTCTCTGTGCCAGTATTGCAATCTCAGCTGTTTTTCAGATGCCCGTTTGAGGCTATTGCAATTATCAACCTCCCGACCAACCTCAACACCGAGGTAACACACCGCTACACCGCAAACGCCTTCAAGCTCCACCGTCTCCCCACACCACGACCAGGTCAAGTGCTCGGTCTCGTCGGCACGAACGGTATCGGCAAGAGCACGGCGCTCAAGGTCCTTGCGGGGAAGCTGAAGCCCAACCTCGGCCGTTACGACGTTCGTCGTGTGCGGCCCCTCTGACCGTTCCCGTAGCTGATCATCCCACAGGACCCACCGGACTGGCAGGAGATCCTCAAGTACTTCCGCGGCTCGGAGCTGCAGAACTACTTCACGAAGGTCCTCGAGGATAACCTCAAGGCTCTCATTAAACCTCAATACGTCGACCACATCCCCCGCGCGATCAAGGGCAAATTGACCGTGTCCCAGATGCTCGACTCGAAGGTCGAGCGGGATAACAAGCAGAAGATGTGTGATGACTTGGAGCTGAATGAGGTACTGGAGCGAGAGGTGTCGCAGCTATCCGGTGGAGAGCTGCAGCGCTTCGCCATCGCGATGACCTGCATCCAGCAAGCAGATGTGTACGTGTTCATATCTTTTTTCTGCATGCACATGAGGGGCTCAGGTGAAATATAGATATATGTTCGACGAACCCTCTAGTTACTTGGATATCAGGCAACGATTGAGGGCAGCCGAAGTTATTCGCGAGCTGCTCACACCAGATAATTATGTCGTAGCAGTCGAGCACGATTTGTCCGTGCTCGATTACCTTTCCGATTTCATTTGCTGTCTATACGGGAAGCCTTCGATGTACGGTGTCGTAACGATGCCTTACTCAGTGCGTGAAGGTTCGTGTCCGCCCAGCTATCCGCCCAGCTGACGGATTCTGTGTACTCATCGCGGCTCTCGATAGGAATCAACATCTTCCTGGACGGTTTCATCCCCACAGAGAACTTGCGATTCCGTGAGGACTCGCTCTCCTTCAAAATGGTCGAGACGGCGGAGGAGCTCGTCGTCGACAAGACGCGACAGTACTCGTACCCGACGATGACGAAGACGCTCGGAGGCTTCAAGCTGACCGTGGAGGGCGGGAGCTTCACGGACTCGGAGATCATCGTCATGCTCGGCGAGAACGGTACAGGCAAGACGACGTTCGTGCGGCTACTCGCAGGCGACATGCCCGACGAGGAGACAGACAAGCAAACGCTGTCGGTATCCCTCAAGCCGCAGACGATATCGCCCACGTTCCCCGGCACCGTGCGCATACTCCTCCTCAAGCGGATCAAGGCGGCGTTCATGCATCCGCAGTTCAACACGGATGTCATCAAGCCGATGAATTTGGAACCTATATTGGACCAAGAAGTGAAAACGCTCTCTGGCGGTGAGCTGCAGCGCGTAGCAATCGTGTTGGCGCTCGGCAAGCCCAACGTATCAGTGTACCTGATCGACGAACCCAGCTCGTACGATTTGTTGGCTCTCAATTTCCGGTTTGTGTGGCTGCTGAGACATGCGTCCATTTAGTTTCCTCGACTCCGAGCAACGTATCATTGCGAGCAAGGTCATCAAGCGGTAGGCGGGACACTGCGAACTTACTTCCCTTGCTCACATGCGCGTGCGTGTTCAGATTCATCCTCCACGCCAAGAAGACCGCCTTCATCATTGAGCACGACTTCATCATGGCCACCTACCTCGCCGACCGAGTCATCGTCTTCCAGGGAAAGCCTGCCGTAGCAGCCACCGCTACACCGTACGTACTGTATATTGTACTCTTCGGTGGCACTGCTGATCCTTTCGCGCTCTCAGTCCGCAGTCGCTACTGACCGGTATGAACAAGTTCCTCGCGTCCCTCGAGATCACCTTCAGGCGCGACCCGACGAACTTCCGGCCACGCGTTAACAAGATGAACAGTGTCAAGGATCGAGAGCAGAAGGGTGTGTTTTACCAGTGTTTCATCCTATGCCCGTGCGTGTGCTGATACTCTGTGGCGCAGCGTCGGGGAACTACTTCTTCCTAGAAGAATAAGCTATTGCTCACATGTATTGCATATACGTGTGCAGCTGGACATGGGTCTCCGCGGTGTAGGACAACTGCTGTAGCGTTACGCAGAGTTGCCGGCGTGTATTTGTGTGGGGAGCTGTCTATCAAGCAGGAAGTGTGACATTGCTAGCTGGAGCTTCTTGTTCTAGGTGTCATTGTCTAGTCTAGTCTTCTGGCAAACATTTCGATGTCACTGTAAAGACTGGTGTTACCTTTTCTGACGATCCCGGAAACACCCGGACAAGTGCGAGGCTGTTCTAGTAAGCAACCAAACAGCGACAAAAGCCAAACAGCCGCAATTGTATGCTCCTTACCCTTGTCTCTCGACCATCTCCTCCCTCTCGTCTTTGCCTCGTCGCTGTAAGTCATTTATTTTTCCCCCTTGTTACATTTCGTGTCGTGCTCATCGTTGCTACGTTTTGTACTCGTTCCCGGTGTTGTTGCTGCGATTCCATACTTCTGACGCATCCGACGACTCTCATCCGATCTTCGCGATCTCGTGCGATCTCTCGTTTGGCACCCTCTTCCAACAGTTACGACCCTCGCACCTCATATTAGACTCATACACCAATGGCTCTCAAGCGCATCAACAAGGTGCGTGTCTTCGTCAAAGTCGGCGCCGACGCCCCGCGTGCAGCGTCAATTCGCTAGAGAGGGCGCTGAAGCAGACGGGCGGCTGGCAGTGCAACGTACGGCGATGCTAATCGTGATGGTTTGGTTAGGAATTGATTGACCTCGGCCGCGACCCACCCTCTTCCTGCAGCGCAGGTCCGACGGGCGATAACATGTTCCAGTGGCAAGCAACTATCATGGGCCCAGTACGTATTTTCCCCTCATAATTCTGCGCCTGAAGCCCGGTTTGAGCGATGTTTCACAAATCTTGTGCATTTACTGATGTGCTCGTGTGATTTGTGCAGGGGGACTCACCTTACGCAGGCGGCGTGTTCTTCCTATCTATCACGTTCCCTACAGACTACCCCTTCAAGCCTCCCAAGGTTAGCTTCACAACGAAGATCTACCACCCGAACATCAATGCGAATGGCTCGATCTGTCTCGATATCTTGAGGGACCAGTGGTCCCCGGCATTAACGATTTCGAAAGGTGTGTTTTTACTTACGGATTGGCCTCATCAATTGCTGTCCATCGATGTGGCCATCGTTGTAGCGAGCTGTGTGTTGACTTGGTTTATGACATGTAGTGCTACTTTCGATCTGTTCGATGTTGACGGACCCGAACCCTGATGACCCTCTCGTGCCCGACATTGCGCATCTGTACAAGACAGATCGCACTCGTTACGAGGCAACCGCCCGGGAGTGGACACGGAAGTGCGTACCAGACTATCTCCATCTTACTGTGTTGAGCTGACGATATTCGCCGCATCGCAGGTACGCCATGTAACGGCGCTTACTGGACCAGATATGCCTTGACGAGCGTTGGTGTACGATGTCCTCCTGTGTTATCCTGCGGTCGGTCTGTTATCAATGCATTGTGTTGTAATCCATTACATTTCGCAGTCAATACATGAGCAGGTTGTGTAAATCGGACTTTTGCGTGGTGTGCGTATCGCAGTACTCGGAAGCTGGTGCTAGGCGTGTCCAGCCCGTTATCCCCTGTCCCGCCAACGGCCTTCAAGCACCGAGGATTTGGCGGGCATGACTTCATACTGAGGTCAGAGGACGTGCGGAGGCTCCAACACGGCCGCACTAACGACGTAGCCCCTTGCAGACATCTTGGCTCCGCCCCTCATAGCGAGAACCTGTACAAACCAGTAGAAACGTTCAATCGCACAGCATGAATAAGCCCTCACCGCCCAACCAGCAGCGTCTGGTGCGTAGACAAAATCAGGGAATCTCAACGATACATCGTCGCTAATGCCGAGTGCTGACGCATTGATTCGCTGCCGCGGGCCCGCTGCAGATGATCCTCGGCGGCTCTGCCGTTGCTCTCGCCGTCGCTGCGATGTATTACATGCGGTCGGAGAAGACTGCCACTGCCAGTACGTCCCTCAAGGCATGTCGGCGTGCCAGTTGTTGACCCGATTGCTACCTGTTTGTAGAAAAGGAGGATGCGAATCCGGTGGCGAAGTCTGACGTCCGGCAGAAGGCCGGCTCCTCAGAATCTAAATGAGCGTGGAGCCGTTGATGTATGTTCAGCATTTTGAAGCTGTGGAATAAGTGAAAGTCATGTTGGTTCTGTGGCAACTGATGAGGGGAAGGTTGTAGCCTTGACAATATATGGACGTGAACAACTATCTTCGATCTCCTCTGGAGGTTTATGCGTGATTCTTTACACCTAAGACCTCAACGATATCTGTGTGCAATAGCGCTAGACCACTCAGTGCCACATCCATGTTCAAAATCTCATCCAACCGTCGTTGCCTCACATGTTATGCTGTGTGCTCATGTAATACAAACATGCAGCCTGCCCAAACCTGCGATGTCGAGCACCCTGTAGTTCTTTAACTCTTCCTTACCAACGCGTGCAACGACCAGCTTCTTCACGTACTCACAGGTTGGACGAAAGTCTCCCTCTCCCGCATGGGCCTGCCCTGCAAGAATTCGCACGGCGACGCCGACGCCCATTGTCCCCGCCTTGAGTGGGGCGGCAAAGAGTAGGCCGCTGAAGGTGTAGTTCCTGACACTCGTGCGCTCGGATACTGTGTCAATGTCGGTAACACTGTAGCACGATTCGCCCATAGCGTCTCGGAGGTACCATTTCTCTCCTTGACGAAAAGTGGATTCTGAATCGTTCAGGTATATTCAATAGTAGGTGGCGACCAAGCCCTCTAGCGTACAAAGTGCATCATACGCATTCGTTCCGAGAGAGCTTCCTTGCGAAACCCTCATTGTCCTCGGAGCCCAGCGAAAGCCCGGCTGCTCCAGCTTTGAGCCAGACATGAATAGGCTGTCCGATGGCAGCTCGCGCACGCGCAACAGCAGCGTCCTCATGCGCTCCCCCGGGGATAGACTCACAGCTCGAACGCATCGACATTCAACTGGCTAGCGACCGCGAACGTCTCGTCCTCCCGCAACCGGTCGGGCCTTCTTCGATGTGAAGCCCTCGCTTGGACAGCCGAAAGAGTTCCGCGGCTAGATTTGTCTTGGGCACGTCGAGCAAGTCTTCACCGACAGAAATCAGTCCTCTCAGAGAAGTTGTCCCGTCCGCATACTCAAAAGACCAGCTGGTGGGCGAGGATCGCCTCCTGCAGCGTCCACAGCCGCTGCATCCACCCGGAGAGAGTACGCGCAGCAACTTCTCGTGCGGTGCGCGAAGGGAGCAGGATCGGATCCCCGCGTCGACGACGAGTACAGCAGCGGCGTCCCTGTATGTCTGATCCATCAGGCATATCCCCCTCTTGCGCATGTCTTTGCGCGCGGGAACGCAGATGGCGTCTATCCAGAACGCGCCGCCGGGAACGACCTGCCGAGTAGGAAGCCCGGTTTCTGTCGTGCTCCCTAGCCGTCCACCCAAACGTGCGAGACGGCGACGTATGGCGTGTCGGTGACGGTACTGCAGATCATCTTCGGCACATCGACAGTAAGGTTGAGGTACGAAATTGCAATGACTGGTATTTGTCCATTGGAGAGCGCTGAGACAGCAGCGTCCAGCGATGGCCTAGAATACTGACATGTGCACCCCGCTGTGGTATACCGATTAATATACGACGCCGCATCGATCGTGTTCACCATATACGCTCCCGTAGTGCACTGGCTGTGTCCCTGTGCCCCGTTCTCGCGGATGTACAGCTTGCAAGTACTCACGTATCCTAGTACGCACACGCTCTGCCCGAGAATGCGAACAGTAAACGCTTTCGACAATGCGGTTAAGGATGAACCTCCAATCGAGCCCCTTCATTATAGGCAACAGGAACTGGCGCCTTGAAGACGTCACCGCCTCGCCGATCGCAGCGACGGCGTATATGATCCCGGAGACCACATCGCGCTGCACCCCAGCTATGCGGAAGGGACTGCGGTCTGGCCGCGGAATCTTGATCATCAGCAACGCCTGTGCTTGCTCCAACGTAGCTTGCACCCGCTCAGACCACCGTTGGAGTGCACCAATATCCTGTTTCCTCATCTCCGGGATATGACTCCACCATTTCCTCAGAATAAGAGAAAGGTTGTGGCTGCTGACGACAAGAGCGCCAGCTGTGGTGTGTCGGAGAAGTACGCGTTCTGGTATCTTTTCTTCTGTTGTGGCCTCCAGGAGACCGAAGATCAGGTGGCTCTGGTAGAGTGGAGCATAATCGATCATGGTGGATCGCTGAGCCGGTCGAACTTTCATGTAGTCTTTAAAGGGAACCAGCGGGTAACCGTCGTGCTCACCACCCAGCCAAATAGCGTCTCTGAAGACAGTAGGTTTAACAGTATCTGTCCCGGAGAGGGTTTCACAATGATTGGGGCCTGGTTCGAATGCTCTATTTTCTTCTGGGTTCATCTATGCGAGACGTGATAGCACCAAAATATCAGCAGGCAAGAGGCGTGTTTGCATACTCTGTTTCCATCGTCTGCTATCACAGCCCACACCGGCATTATATCATTTACCTGACACACGAAAATGTCAACACAAAACTTACGCTGAATCGAACGCCGAGTCGGCCTCGCGGTCCAGGATGTGATTCGGTCAGTAAACCTTTTCTGCACAGAGACATACCGAGCTCGATAATTCACCGCGTCATTTGAATCATAGCTAGCCTCTTGTCTATTTGAATCCAATCCATGTATATACTTGTTGGAACATGAGAGAGCCTACAGTGCTGGCGTCCTCGAACGCGTCGCGGTTATGACTGTGAATGGGGAGACTTGCCTGTGAGCTGGACGACTCCATACAACTAATCTTTCAGTAGAAATACAGTTCAGCGGCATGAACGGCACGAAAGCAGAACCCAGAAGATATAAGTATCAGATGTAAGCAATTATCGACTTCAAAAATACGCCTGAAATTTGAGCAGGTCAACAAGACTGAATCACCAGCAATCAAGTACTGTCGATGCTGTCATCATAGTGTACTGGAAAGATTTGTGCAGATCTCGATCAAGATTCAAAACATACCTTTACTCGCTACCACGTGTATCACGCCGCGTTATGACGCGTGCGTCCTCGCAAATAATCCCGACCTGCGTCTTCGTCTTTTAACTTCAGGTTTGTAACGCAGAAATTCGTCGGGAAAACAGGAATGAGCTCTCGAGCTCGCAGTAGACCTTTGGCGCGTCGTTCTCATAGCAGCCGACAATTCTCGCACCCCTAACGACCGTGAACTTGCAGGCCATCACCACGGTGGTGGGCACGGTAGCAACACTTGGCTACATGTATGTGGCAGGAACACAGTCAAAAAGGGATCGAGCTCATGACTCCATCTTCAGTGCGTCACCCTTCTCCAGTACCTTGCGAGTCGACTCACACGAGGTCTGGCAGAGGACTCGTTCAAGCAGGCAGGGAACTTGAAACCAGGAGATAGCGACGTTCGTATGGGCTCGTCTGCGGTCAGGACAGCCATGCATGGGAACAAGAAGTCCTGAAAGCACATGCAGTGCTTCACGCGATCGAGGAACATAAAAGGTGTACATTACACGTCTGTCAGTTGCAGCAAACCTGCTTGAAACCCCATGTTCAGTGTTGACTGAGAACAAGAGAGGAAATTATCGAACACTATGCAACATCTGTCTGCTGAACACGGCTCAACACCATGCACGAAAAGTACTCGTCACAACAATAATGTTTGCAGAACCCCTTACGTCCCATCCGCTCAGTTCCAATATTACTCGAGTTTAGCGCTCAGGAATCTCCCTTCCGTCTACAGTACTAATCACACCCTGCCCTCGTTCGCATCAGTAGTCTTTATCATCTTCCGAACCTTGCTTGCAATCATCGAACATTTCAATATATCATCCAAATTGCCCCTTCAACCTGCCTCTCAAATGCCGTACGTCTCGCTGGTACAACCTGCCATCATGTGGGCTGCGTCGGGACAATGTCAGTGCCAGGTCGCGCTACAACGGACCTTGTTGCAATTCGGGCTACTCATGAAATGAATCACAGGTTGATACTCACCGATGAATATTGAACGTGGTCGCCTCCGCGCTTGCTGCATGGCTACTCTTAGACGATTCAAGCACGCACGATGGCGAATATCACCCACGAGGGATAAAGTCCATACTGGATCCGACGCTGTGACGCACTTCGAATCCCAAGTCTGCCGTCATCTAAAGCGCCTCCATCAGCCATGCTTGTTCGCACTCATGATGGATCAACGACGCGAACAAACATGATGGATCAACGCCGCGAACAAACATGATGGATCAACGTCGGACCATTTCATCACGCCGTCGTTCCGATACATGGTCGCATATGACCTCTTCCACATGCTCTGCACGGCTGCCCCTCCATTATTGACAGTACAAAGCATTCTAGTGAGATGCTACCCTCAAATCTAGGTCCCGTACAGCTGGGTGTTTGAGGACTTCGTCGTCCACGTCTTCGGGGTGGACGAGTTGCTGCTCGGGGGCTTCGGCGGACTCGTCGGACCTATCTTCTTCAAACCCATTGAACTCTTCGAATTCGTTGTCCTTGTGACCGCTCGGAGACGGCGAGCATTCGGATAGAGGTGTCCACGCAGGCCGGAGTTCTGCAACATGCACGACCTGCCAAGACAAAAAAAGCATCTGCATCCTAAAACTACTGAGTTACATACGCGCGCACCCTGTTCAATGGCGGCCCCGCAAACGTCATGGGCGCTTTCGTCGAATGCCGCCATATCTACTTGAAATTCCCCACGAACCGAAGCATCTGCGCGGAATGGGTGCACTGGCCGAATGGGCAGCTCTTAAATATATACGTTGCGAGTCGGACACTCCCTTCGTGTGCGAAGTAGCGTGGGTCTGGCGGGGTGTCGGCCCAGTTGTCGGTGGTTTCGCTTAGCATGGTGATAAATTCCTAACAAGGGGGAGGCGAATAATGACGCGAGCTCGAGCTGCGTCCTACAGATCTGAATTAGGCGTGCCGTGACCGTGAGGAGCTCGCCCCAGGCGTAAAGGAACTCGGGGCTGAGAGAGTCCGGCTCCTCCCTTCTTGCACTACCCATCACCGTTCTCAGTATGGAGATGGTGTCGTCGTCGTAGTGTCCCCAAGCTTGAAAGAACGCAAAGGTAGAGAGAGTCAGGCTGAGTAAATACATTTCGGACACAGCCAGCACTCGTAGAATAGAACTTATCTACCACTGCATCAGGAAAAACCTCCCAGCGCAATTGCGAAGAATTATATGATAATTGTGGATAATTCATGAGAATGAAAAAATTTGGAGTGCATTGTGAGGAAAGTCACTTAATTTCTCAACTTCAATGACATCAGGAAAAACCACCCAGCACAATTGTGAAGAAATGTATGATAATTGTAGATAATTCACAAGAACGAGAAAATTTGAAGTGCATCGTGCACTGAGGAAAGTCACTCAATATCTCGACTTCAATGATAATCTGATTTGAAAACCTCATAATTACATGTAAATTGTACGCTAATCAGAAACTCTACTGGGATCTTGGAAAACAGTTCCTCCAGAACACTCTTGAAGAGAGTCATCAGCTGAACCAGTGCTTACCATGATCACACAGCAAAAGCAGAAACAGCACCGGCTCAACACTCAGCAAAGATGGCTGTAAATGCAGCAGCTGGTTCGAAGCGATCCGAATGGTGTATTAGATGTTGCCGATGTGTCCAACTGAGCAGCATGGGTAAGAACGTGAGGCAGGCGAGAATGCGGGACAGCAGATGCAAGGTGTACAAAGACATGAGGCGAGAGAGATGGAGGAGGCAAGATGCAAGGGCGAGATGACATGTGGAGGCTGGACAGATGCAGTCAGCGAGGCAGGTAAGGTGGGGAGATGCCAGGCAAGGCAGGAGATATGAGCTGCGAGATAAGTGCGGGATATGGGGTATAGGTGATCAACCAGTGACGATGCAACTTGCAAGGGTGAGTTGAAGTCATCGCCCAGGAATTGCTAAGTTCAACGGCACGTGATGACGTTGATTGGACCAAACAAGAGCAAGCACTGGTTCACTGCAGCGTCCGTCTTCTCTGCTTCATATTCACGTCTTTGTTGACCCGCAACACTTATTCTATGGTACGTGCTTTCTCTGTCACCCCTCACGGATGCATTTAACAAAGCTGATATTGGCACGCAATGCTAGGCATAGTATTGTGTAGTAGCACAAGGGCAACACTCGAGGCGCGTCACTACATTCTATGTGCCTCGCTGAAAGACTAACTCGGTTACTAGTAAAATGAAAATGCAGGGCATCTATGGATGCTCCAACTCTGGCCCCCCTCAACACATCAAATTTAGTCGGACGCTGGAGTCGACCCGCACCACCCCATAAACCCCCGCAGCGGTTACCACCCCCTTGCGTACAATGACCTCGAGCCGTCATCTGCACACGAACAATCCACACCAGGAATATATGACCTCGAAGCCGTTGACTATGACTATGCACACCCGCCCCCTGGCTCCCCTCCTGGTCCATCAGATCGTGCACTGCCAAATGAGTACGGCAATTCCAATGATCTCATCTCTGCCGGTACAGATGATGCACGGAGAAGGGGCGGCTGGCTCAGGAGGTCCACGGCTGCGATTTTGCCGAGCTATTATGTCGAGAGGTTCGAGCTTTCCCCGCATGCGCCCGCTGGTATGATCGGAGGGGGCACCTCCAACGACCGTGTCTTTGTGAACGTGACTGCGAAACCCTCACGGCCTCTTAGGATATGGGATGGTATGCTGGCGATTTTTCTCCCTTATTTGCCCAGGCGGTATGCAAGTGCCCTTTCGATGACTAACATATCTCTTTAAGTATTATACTTTGTACTGTCTAATAACATGCTCATTTTCCTACTGTATTATTGAGTAAATGAGGCCTGATTCGTTGTCACAACATGTATAATAGCAAGAATTGAAGAGAAAACCCTGTAACAAATGTGTGTAATGTTAAGAAATGTTGAGAATTAATAAGTGAAATCGGCAGGGGCCGTCTATTTCATGTAATTCTCAACAATCTTGATAATCGCTGGAACACGTAGAATCTCGACTATTCTTGACAATTAACATATAATTTTGACCAATTTGCGCGGGAGGTTTTCCCTGATGTGAATGTAACCAGCACACGAGGATAATCTTATAGTATCGCCATCACTCACAGACACTCGTTCAGTTCCTTCGCCCGCCGCCTGCACGTCGCTGAACCACTCGTTCGGCCATCCGTATTGCTCCTTGAGTCTCTTGCCCACGTTACAGACGAACGGAGGGGTCATCTCGCATCAGCAAAACTCCATTTGACCTCGTTACATGTGTTACCTGCCTTTTATGAGCTTTTTTTGTCTTATTTGTCTTGAATTAAGAGGTGGATCTCATTATTTTAAGACTGGCCTGTCTTGCACTTTTTCAAAACAAGACATAATAAAAATCTATGTAGTGTATGTTTTAGAATACCTTTGCTTATGTGTATTCCCGACCTAACACCTCCAGAATTCCAGAAAATGTGTCCTCCAGAAATGTAAGAAAAGTTGCAAAAAAAGACAATTAAGACAGTAAGACAAAAAGTACAGGGGAGTTTTGCTGATGCATTGTCATGTGGACTGCATGGAAAAGCACAAGATTAGTGAGACAAATGAGCATTTCATGGATTTCTCACTGATAGATGAGGAAGGGCATCAACTTCACCCATAAGACTGTAGCACCGTGCAAGCACAACAGGACCCACTACCTGTAGGGTGAAGGAGAGGTGCAAGGAGATGAAGACATATATTCTGCACATTAGAGCATGAGAAGATATAAGTGTTACAATGCTCTTCAGTTAGGGTGCATCTTTTCTTTTTCTTTTCTTTGTTTCCTTTACTTTACCAGACTCCATGATCTACCATGTGACTTGCTGAAGTGTAACCTCTGATTCTCCATTCAGAACCTCTATTCTGGAGTTACACTGGATCTAACTCCAGGTCTTCTTCCTATCACACTTCTGGGATATGCATGTTTGTCTCATTGCTACCTTCTCCTGATACACAACTGGTTATTCTCATTAGGACTGATTATCTCTCACGATCTTACTCAGCTTTCCCATACATATTACTTCCTCGACATTACCTTGCCCAGACATTGTTTCACCTTATCTAACCAATGGACTCTCTTGTATTACCACATAGTACTGCAGATACCTTTTGTATAAGTAGTCGACCTTGTTGAGCTGGATCCTCATCTCGACCTGGTTATCATTAAACCAGCTTTTCATTTGTCTTTGACTGAGATCGATTGCTAGTAGCAGACAGCTACTGTGAGTCATAAGAATGAACTCTGATCAACCTTCAGTGTGAGGACATTGCCAGAAGTGTCTCTTGAACAGACTTATGTCTTGGACTAAGACCTTGTCTCGTGATGACTTAACTTGATGTTTGTGTTTCACTGCCATGTAACAATAAGTACATTAATGTTGTATGTACAAGTAGGCAATGGCATGGGTTACCTACGAGTTTTTGACATGTTTTTAGTAATTAGCATGCAATAGACAACTCTAGATTCAAAATAAGCCCTGGATCATGTCAAACAGATTAAAACTGACTGAGATATGATTAAAACAATATTCAGAAGGAGCTCTTTAAAGATGAGGCTATAATTTAAATAAAAATTATGCAAGTGGGCTCAAAATGGCCTTTTTGTGAGTTTTTGAGGACTTAAACTGATTATTACTTAAGTCCTGTCTTCAATTTCAATGTTTTTCAGCCAAATCTTGTTTTAATCATATCTCAGTCAGTTTTGGTCTGTTTAACTGATCCAGAACTCATTTTGAACCTAGAGTTGTCTATTGCATGCTGATTACTAAAAACATGTTAAAAACTCGTAGGTAAACCATGCCATTGTCTATGTATGAGTATAATACAATAAATTTGATAGGCAAAGCTTACATTTGAACTGGCAGAAGGTATGAGCAATACAGTAAAGCTGGCAGAAAATTTAAGTGCAATAGGTGGGATGGTTACATTGTGAATTGATCAGTCTTTGGCCTTTGCTTGGTTTATTATATTAGTCTTAACTTTCTTGGACAAAGAGGCATCAAACTTGGTGAATGCCACAGATGGGTTGGAGGAGGAGGCAGATGCATAGATGATAGAACTGAGATGGAGAATGATGCAGAACTCATCAGATTCAAAATCAGAGACATTAATGTTAGTGCCAATTTTTCCACCAAAGAATTGTACAAGATTAAGGTGAGAATTTCAAGATAATTGCCCAGAAGTGAGAAGGAAGGCACTTTAGTGCAACAAATATTAGCAAGTAGAGAGTTGGCAATAAATGTAAACAATTAATGTGAGTGATGCACGGAGTTGATATGGAGGATGCATGGCAAAAGATTTGGATGCTTAGTAAGGCTTATAAAGCATCTCACATTAGTAAAGCCTAGGAAACATTTTATAGACCTTTTTTGCAAAGTTTTGAGCAGGACCTTCAGAACTGACAGTTTTTGATAGGGCCCCTGTGTGATAAAAGATTCAGCAAGACTCACTATCAAAGGTAGTGAGAATTCTGCCAAACAAGTATAGCTCTTAGTTATGGTGTTAGTAAAAGTGATTGACAACAGGGCGCATCAGGCAGATGAATATCAGAAAAACTTAACTTTTACTTAAAGATGTCCTTCTGTGACTTAAATGCACTTATTGGCCTTAAATAAGATAAAATAAGGACAAAAAGCCCATAAGTTATATTTCCTTAGAGACTTAAAAGTTGAGAACTTATAGGCCTTAAATAAGGCAAAAAAGGACTCGGAATAAGTCTCATAAGTAAGAGTTTGATTTTTCTGATGACATGCAATAACAGATCTGCAAGTCAGAAACTTTTCAAATTCCAGTGCTGCCAATACCTGAATTAAAAGGAAAGTTAACAGGCATTCAATTGTGTCAATTAGAAATTCCTTATGAAAGTTCAGTTGCTTACCTTCTCAAAATCACTCGAAGGCATTGAACCCTTATTTCAAACCAATAACCTCTCCATTTTGGAGAAAACCTTATTCTCAACATAATAAATGTTATTTATGGCTCCTCCAGCTTCACTAAAATTACCTGGTACTGAGGTATTAGGACGCAGAGCTTTCGTTCCATTTCCTTTTTTGGCAAGGCTATTCTGGCGCCTATCACGACGTGGCAGTCCGCCTGTGTTCCGTCCGCGGACGGTTTCCAATGTCACTCATTGTGACAGGCGGTGTTGATACGTCAGAATCGGGCTGGTTTCCGCGGAGTCTTGCTGTTGAGACACTGCCCTCGTGCGATGCCCAACCCTTAAATTGTAACCTCGGTGAGATCGGGCCTCATCTGAGAAGGCTATACTGTTCTGTTTCGAGGGATACGCAGTCGGCGATGGTCGGAAGGGGTCTGTAACCACGATGTCCCCGGTTGGCAATTGAAAACGTGCTTCCATTAGCATCGCCTATCGATATATACACATTTGCCCCTGATGTGCCATGCGGTCTCTAGAGGTCTTGACTCTGTCATGAGGTTGGAGCGTGAGACGCCCCGGGACTTAACGGGCTGTGATGGACTTATCTGGGGTGAACATGTGGTTTCTAAACGCGAACTCCTGACCTCGAACTGATCACCATGTGCAGTTCTGCAGTCTCACTCATTTAGAACGATCTCGTCCGACCACCGGCGGTGCTATCACAAATGAGATATGCGATGTAAACATGCGGCTTTCCTGGCATCAGGCCGAAATTGACGTGTGAGAATCTGTAGTTCTGGACGACGTGGCAACCCAAATCATAGATTCAACGTGGATCGATATCCCGTCCACAGCCTCCGTTTCTCCACGGAGCATAGCCGGTGGCTTCCACCATCACCCCTGACATGTTTCTGGGGTCGCACCGCCTAGTTGCAGTCTAGCCACCTGGAGGATGACAACCGGAACTTGTGAATCCACTGATCGGATCCTGGAGGCTTGTTCTTTCCTCGTGTTCTTTTTTCGCATTCTTTCCTCGCGTTCTTTCCTCGCGGATGGCAATGCCGTGGAATTTCCATTCAACTAGGATTTGATATTGGCTGGTTTTTATGGAAAATTTAGACCCGACGAAAGCATCGTGGCAGTTCTTAGAACTGGGGCAGTGTGTCATGAGCGCTCAGGAATTCGATATCTCCGGAAAAGGGGTGACACTTCACGCTTCTAAAAATGGGGCACTGTAAGATCGAGTGTCCTGGAGTTTGTTTTCGCCGGATGAGTCATGACAACTCAGCGTTGAAGCACTAGATTTGATATCGCCGGAAGGACTTTGAGGGTTCTAGAAACAGGGCAGTGTGGAGCTGGGTGTCAGGAAACGAGACGACAATTTAGCTCATAGTGTCGTCAGATGGCGTCTTACTAAGTGTCGATTGAGACATGAGCATGTGTGTGACCTCTTCAGCTTGCCAGGACAGCGTAATTTTGAGCATGTCAGCGGAGAGAGCCCAGATCAGATGGAGGGGCTGGGCAAGAGGCAGTGTGTACTTGGCGGACGGATGAATGATCCATGACACGTAGCACCGCGTTGCAGTGACTTGATGCTTAGCAACCATCGTGACTTGGAGGCCCGTGTCTCTGGGGAGTCCTCATGTGTGTGTGTGTGGGGCTACTCCGCCATTCCAAGGGGGGACAAATTTTGGTCTGACTTTGGTCCAAGGACCAAAACGACCAATCCACCAATCCAACCCTAACCTCGTGCCACATCCACCAAATCAGTCCGTGAGGTCACGTGATGCCTCCGGGCAAGGAGGTGGAAGTGCCGCCTACTCGCGGTACTCGAATTTCGAGGCAGCCGTAGCTCGCGTTCATACAGAGAATGCATGGCATCAATTAGGCAGAATATTAGTATACATGCAAGGCCATAAGATAGGGAAAAACACTGCAAATGAAAGATCACCTCCCGGAACCTTCCCAGCTGCGAGTTTGACATGTTCTCGCGGTTTCAACTGTCTGAATCCCGCGCCAATAATTCAGAGGACAGCGATGGCTGTACCCTCTCCAGCATCAGCAGCCACTTCACTGTTCCCATTGCCGCTAGCCTCGCCAGCCCCAGCACCGCCAGCTGCTGGCGCGCCATGCAGGAAGTCGATCCGCAGGTACTTGCTGCCGTCACGCTCAATGATGAGTCCCGCATACATGGATGCGGATGCCATGGTGAGTGAGCTGAAGAGTTCGAAGAGCACCGCACCGTCATTGGAGACGATGGTGCACTTCGATAGAAGCACCGCGAATGCGTTGTATTCCATCGCGCGGTCCCCGCCGGTGCTGCCCTTCACCACCATGCAGTCGTAGAGCTCGCGAATCGCGGCGAGAAATTCGCCCGGATGGAAAGTGGTACCATTCGAAAAGATGCCGTGTGGCTGAGGCCAGTCAGGGGGGTGCTCCTGCATGGTTTCCGTCATGCCGCCCAGGACCTTGTCCACGGTCTTTGCCTTCTGCATCACGCCGTCCGAGCAGTAGCCTTTCTTGTGATTGTTGCCCGCACCCTCGGGACCAGGCCACATGATGGCCTTGCACCATGAGCATGTGTGTGTCTTGTGCTACAGTGAGTGTGAGTGTGGGCTGCATCAGCGCGGCATCCACAAAATCTGTTAGTGACTCACCGGAGTTTTGCTGCTTCCCTTGTCAACCTTCACAAGGCCTGGAACTGCACTGCAGTGCTCTCTCCAGAATGTCTCACCATTTGACTTTGCTGTAGGGGTCCCGACTGGTAAGCTGAGGCCGCGTGAAGTAGTTACAAACAACACTCAACATGTATAGTTTTCCGACACAATCCGAGTGATTATCTTCGGCTCGATCTCACCGAGTTTCTCCATGAGGGTGCGTGGGGTTGTCCGCACCATCAGCTGCAGCTGGCCTCTCTCGCGATGGAAGTCTTCAAGTCGGACATTGTATTCACTGGCGGCAAGCACCCATTTGCGAGGTGTCATGGAGAATGAGGCCCATTTCTTCTCAGCCCGTAGCTTCATGAACAGATGGAACTCATCATTGCTGTTGATGGACAGGGACTGAATGGGAACTCTGGTTGACACGGAGAAGAGACGTTGTGAGGCTGTGAGTCCAGTAATGTTCACGAAGGGGAGAGTGCATGCTGGGGAGGGAACTGGTGCTTTTGCAGCAGCCGCAGGACGAGTGGTATTGAAGAAGCTGATGAGAGTGGACCCTATCCCGGGTCGCAGAGGGTTCCCTATGTCAGCTGCAACAATGGTGGGTGGTTGACTTGGATGTCCTCCGAGGAGTGCAGCGCGGGGCTGTCAAATGTCAGGAAAAGCGCCAGCATCATTAATAAATGCAGGACGACTCACCTCGTCATCACAAACTGCAACCTTCGATTTTTTCTTGCCCTGCACAGCGCCTGCATGAGTCTCAGCTGACATGCTAGTGTGATCTCTGGTGCTGTCCATGTCTGCTTTGCACTTCAATGGGACTGTTGAATCAACTTCGCATGATGGGCGCCCTGCGCTGAGCCGTGCACAGGGAGTGGAACTCGGTGCACCCATACCATCCATCACTACTGGCATGACATTGCCATTATCACCCTCCTTCACTGCTGAAGCCTTGGCTGGTGCCATGACAGGTGAGTGTTTTGCTTTGGTGGTAGCTTCGGCAATGTTCTCTGTGACCATAGACTCGCAGTTTGATGTCAAAGGAGAGGGTAGTGTAGCATCTGCTGATCGCAGAGTTTTGCCGCTGCACGGCAGATTGAGCATACGTGGTGCTTGACTGGATTCTCGTGAAGGTGCAGGGAGCAGCAGGAGCGCAGGATCAATCTGCAGCTCATGGAGCATGGTGTCAAATTTCGCAGTGCCTTGGAGGGACGAGAGGTCAGTTAGGTCCTCGCGAGGCTCTTCTTTGATCTCGATGAGGTTTTGGTAGTTTTGGACACACTTCGCACTGACAAGGCCAAACTTCTCACCGCTTGCCACTAATTTGAGTTCTGGCAATCTACGGAGGCGACCCGCTTTGCTGCACGCATCGTCCGGCTGCTCCAGCAGGGTGTTCCACAGCTTTGCGATGGCATCAACCAAGCATATGTGGTGCGAGCCTTATGTCGAGGTGAGAAAATCTGATGATTGTTCGGAAGCGAAGGCAATGCGAACATTGCGGCGCAGGATGTAGTCATGGCGCAAGGCGGTTAAAACTTCGATGCTGCTCACGAATGAACGTTGCAGTCCATTCCATCCTTTGTGAGTACCTTCAATACGACTCCCATCGGATAGCACATCTTGACGCACACGCGCCAAGCAGCCTTTCTTCACATGTCCCAGCTGATCTTCGTGCACCTGTACCAGTCCATGTGAGCATCTCTACAGGTGATATGTCATCTCTCAACACCGAATTTACCTTCACAGCTGCGGCTGTTCACACCTCGCCCTTATCCAGCCATTTTTCATATGCTTCCACTAGTCTCCTCTCCTGTTCTCGCTGACCCCAATAAACAGCCATATCGTGCTTGTCAGCCCGGGTCTTGAGGATCGCATTGACAAGGTCGCTAGCTACGGCCATATACAGTGCATTTCTTGTGCCATTGATGATGCAGATCAAATATCTGATGGGAGATTTTTGTTAGAAGGGTACCGTGATACTGTAAGTATGATACAGTACCTCTTGATGAAATGCCAAACATCTAAGACAACCTGAGTATCCAGAAAGGGGCGCTGGATGAACTTGCTGACATGGCAGCAATTATCAACGACGGCCATTGATGGATCCGGCTCGCCAAGCAATTTGAGACGGCCCTTCAAGCCAACGAGTGTCTCCTCAATCTCAAGTCCCTGCTGTGTATGACAGAAGCGCTACGTCACGTCAGCATGAGATTGACCGCAAGCAGATTCTGTCAGTACATACCCAACTGATGATCTCGTTGTCCTCATTTATCACACTCAAAATCCCTCCTTTCAGCATCTTCGCCTTGTGTTTCTTGCCGTCGGTCACAGTTGCCTTACTGGCTGTCCGGAACGTGTTGTCGAGTGAGATGCAGGTAGCTAATGATGATTAGTAATCAGGCTTATTTACTTGACCTGGGAATGATATGGTCGGCCCACCGCTCAATGTGCAAAGGTAATCATTTGATTCAGCTTGTCGTGTCTTCTCGTTGAACTTATTGAATACGTCTGTGACCAGATCATCTGTGATCGATTGGTCACTGTAACTGGCACCTCCAGGCTTTGAGAATATTGCCAGTGGTTTAGGGTCGACAAGGCTCTGCCTATTGTTGATTCGAGCTTGGAAACTACGAAGGTAAGCCATTTTCTGCTTGTTGTACTCAAGCAGATGAAGCTCTGAAATGTACCATTGTCAGATGCTATGTCAGTCATTCCGATCAGAAGAACTTACGCTTGACATTCTCTGCGAGTCCAGCAGCCGTTGTCGATGGACGCAGCTCAATGATGAGGTCGAACAGGTCACGTGTGACCGTGCATCGCCTTAAGCAGAATGGTATGCCGACTGAACATCAGTTGCATTAACAAAAAATGCATCAATGATTCTATGCCGTGCACTCTTACCAGGTATGTCCCAATGTTCTCGTCTCTCCCAGAATAGGTCACCCGTTGTCGAGAAACAATATTTACCCTGTTCGTTTCCTGCACCATGTGCACCATGGTGCTTCGCACAGGACTGACATCGGAGCTGAAATCCCAGGGCTGTCTCCTCACGGAAAAGGCCATGCACTTCACGATGTCCTGTTGGCGTCCAGCCGTTCCATTGAATATCCTCGGAGTCGCACTGGGGACACTTGGCAAGTTCGGAAAAGTAAAATGGATGGATAACAGTGAGTGGCTTGAGATATGCACTGCCGGGAACAATGGCTGGTGTTGCGTCACGTATAAACAGGTCACTGTAGGATGGTGGAGTGAAATGAGGGCCATAGAGTGGAATCTCGTGCCGAAGGCTGAGATTCGTTGCAGTCTTCGAGTTGCCGTGTACTTTTGTTAACTTGTAGATGGTGTTCACATACTGAACGATGTGTGCTTCCCACTCTAGCTGTTCAGCATACTGTGATTGTGTCGGTCTCGACTTGCGCCACTGCATCCATCGGTCCTCAACCTGAGTGTTCAAAGTCGGTAAGCATGGTGACCTGTGTGCAACAGCTGTACAAGATTATGAACCTCTTTTATCCAGTCCTTCTCAAAGCTCTTCTTGCGCTCTGAGGAAGGGATCGAATTTTTGAGCTGCACAATCACTATGTGCAGGATGAAGGCAGACATGGTGAGCATGCAGCAGAAGAGCGATCACGTCAGGGATAGTTGGATTAATCCGAATTGTGCCAATATATAAAATAAAACATTGGTTCGACAGTATCATATATAACGTACAGTATAGAGTGGATACAGGCTCGGTTAATTCTGAGGATCGATTCAGCGCGGAACATCGACTTCTCATGTTTCAGCCTCAAATAATCAGAATTCTCTGCCAGCCACCTCAAATCTCCCTAACGCCAAGAAGATGGGCGAACAAGTACCTGATGCCTTCATACATGACACACTCGAGGTGGAAAAGGACATGAACAGGCTGCCCAAAGGGCACTTCTTCCTCAGAAGCAGGAACACGACGGTTTCCTGCACTATCATACAACGGGAATGTGTCCTCGACTGTCTGCATTGTCAAGCCAACATCAACCGAAAATGACAGGAGTAATCGGGGGCAGCGTCACTTACCTGTCCAGCCAACGGGCGCCAGCTGACTTGAATCTTCACCGAGTCTGTTTCCGGGTCTGCACGTATGGTATGGATGGTCTCGATAGGTGCAGGAGCTGCCACTACAATCATATCCAGACCTCGCGCCACATTCCGCCAGTGTATGAGTGAAACCATGTCAGCGCACCGTGGTTCAATCCAGCAGGAGTATGCAGTCTTGCTTTCCTCATCCTCTGGGAACAGCCACTCATCTCCGAACTTTGTCAGATAGCAGTCCTTGGCTGCAATCTGCCCAATGACCTCAAATAAGGCCAGAGAACACTTGATGTTGCCAGCTCCAGGAACAGTGCTCTGTGGAAGGTTGAGATGCATAAAGCAGGAGTCATGGTTCTCTTCAGTCGATTGGAAGAAGAGGCTGGAATATGAGTGACTCTCAGGGCACTCCAGGGAGAATATGGCTTCTTGATAAATGCAGTCGAGGTCAGACGGCATGTCGGGCATGACAGAGATCATGATCAAGTTGGTGGTTTGAGTCTAAGGCAGCGAGCAGTGCACTTGGCAGGAAATGATCGCAAGATAGGGGCAGTCTCGTTCTTGATGTCGCTCAGTGCGGAGCGCGAGCACTAATGCTTAAATGCATAATTGAGTTTCCTGACATACCTCTGATCCGTGGGGCAAACACGCTACAAACACAATCCTACAAAGAAGCACTTGCGAGATCTCATCAATCGAAGCTAGAACCCTTATTAGGAAATGTGGTTCAAATGTAAGTACTGAATATCAACGGGTTTTATGCAGTGCTGTGAGCAATTAACTGAGTGTGCGAACGCATAGTCGGGGAAGAGAGGTTGTTGATCTAAGGTTGTGTGCTTCGACGACGGAGCAGCAAGCGCTGCTCCTGCCAGGCACGGGTCAAATTCCTTGGTACTTTTTCGGCCGCTGTCCCGGACCTCCCTTGGCGCTTTCCGGCCCGCCTTCGGCGGGGAAAACCCTTGGAATGACTAATTTGCCGTGTGTGGACTATAAAAGGGGGTCTTCGCACCACGCTTTCCGCCCTACAACTCAAGAGGGGGGCGAGATTTGAACTCTCGACACCGTCCTCGCAAAAATTCGAGGACCCCGTAAACTGGGGTAGGGGGGGCCACCTTCCGCATTAAGACGTGCCGATCTCCGGCACAGGCACAATGATTCCCATATTCTGCGACTGCAAACATACGTTCATCGACAATGACATTAGCAGTAGTTACTTCCGAGTAGTATATAATACATATCCATAAGATTGCTTGTGTTTCCTCGCTGCACCCATTCGCACGTTGCCATCCGGTTGATACTGTCATTTCGTCGACGGGGAAGGACACTTTGACAGGAATTTTCTCTGTAGGTATACCGAGTCGCTCCTCCTCCTCGTGCGAAATTGTCATAGAGGATGGAGAGCACGCAAAGCGACACAGCACAAGAACGCGAGCGGCAAAGTCTGCGTTAAACAAATCGCGTTTAGTCACGTGCATCTGACGTATGCACATAGTTTCTTCTGAAGCACACACTGCGCGGAAATGTCCGGTTTGAGTGCACAGAAATGACTGTGTACATTACAGAACATAGATTTAAATTTAGAGTCAATTAACGTGAAGAACTTGAGGAGAGAGGTGGAAAATGGTGAGCACTGGGAGGAAAACGCGCGGGTGGCTGAAATTGGACCCCGTACACCAGTTTCCTATCCCCCTTGCAAACAGCTGGGTATCCCCGATTCAAATCTCGCCCCCCTCTTGCTACAACTCTCTCAACTCTCTCTGATCTCTCAACGCTCTCAACTATTCCAAGTCGCTCAAAATCTCTGTTATCATGTCTGCAAACCCGTCAAGCGAGTACTTTTTCGTTTTATTGGGTTTCTTCTATACTGACCCGCTCGTATGCCCTTCAAGACGACAATTGGCAGGACTATGTTCGTACCGATGAGTTCGACCAGCACTGTATTACTGTGCATAACCGTCGTTCGTCCAGCTGTGGATCCAGCGACTCTTCTGCGCGCCGCAAGATCTTCGAGGAGGATGACGCCTCCAGCGCCACTTCTGTCGAGTCCGCACACGACGTGCCGAAGCTCGAGAAATACTACTACTACTTCGATATCCGCAGCGACGGTTGCCTTGGCCCTCCGCTCATCTACAGAACGTCGAAGGATCAATTTACGCCTCCCACCGGTCCCGAAAACGACCCTCGCCCCATGAGGCTTCTCCAAGTCGACGACCACGCCAAACTGGGCAAGGACGATCTGTGGCCCGCAGTTCGTGACAAGGTTCGTGATCTTCTAGAAGCGTAGAATTCTGTGGACTGACATTCTTTCCAAGGTCGGCGTCTTCCTCCATGAGCGACAGATCTCTTTCACCTCCATCGATCTCGTCCGCTTTGGATGGGACGGGCCTATTGCGGATGGCGCCGTAACCAAGGTGCTCAGTGCCGTCACTATTTGGGTCGGCGTCCAGAAGAACACCACAACCAGCGACATGGCGTACGAGTCCTCCCAAGACATCCTCAGTCTCCTCAAGGAGCACGACATCGACGACGTCGACGTCGCTTTCCGCGAGTCTGAGACTCAATTCCTCGCTGGTCCCCGGCTGTTGGCTCCGGTCGACGATGAAAGCAACCTCAAGAACGTCATCCACTCGCTCACCACTGCTCTCGGCCTGCCCATCGCTGGCGAGAAGACTCCGGAGTCGCAGGGGACAATGGGCTTTTACTTCCGCCGAGGCAATGAGCTTTACGGCGTAACGGCACGTCACGTGCTGTTTGATTTGGATCATGCTAACAAAGAGTTCAACTATCCGCGTACGTCCGTTTCCTCGAGAAAATGGGCGCAATGTTGACTACTCCTACCTAGCCTTGCCTAAGACGAATGTGATCCTGATGGGTTCCAGGGCGTTCGTCGACTTCGTGGAATCCATCGAGGCGGAGATCGGTAGTCTTACCAACCACGTCACTCACCAGAAGAGGCTGATTGATCTGTACACCGGTAAGCCGCAAATGGCAGCTAAACTAGCGGCCGCCGAAGCCGAGGTGGAGACGGCAAACGCCAAGATCCACGCCCTCAAGGACTTCCTCGTCATGGTGCAGAGGGACTGGTCGGACCCGGAGAAACGGGTGATTGGTCACGTTGTATGGGCGCCGCCGATCACTGGCAACACTCCTCCCTACGGCTACACGAAAGATGTGTGCGTGATCAAGCTCGAAAAGGTCAAGTTCTGGGACAACTTCGTCGGAAACGTCATTGACTTGGGTGCGTACTGAGCCCGTCTGATTGGAGATGCCTTATCTAACTGCTCTCATTCCAGCTTATAAGATCGACGTCGGCGATTTTATGAGCATGATGTACGGCCGAGTCGACAAGGACAACGAGATCGACTTCGAATACCCCTTGGACCGACACCTCTTCAAGCTCCAGGGCATTCTCACCGCCGAGGAGATCAAGAAGCCCACCACCAAGGACTTCGACGGCATTTCCGTTCGATTCGTCATCAAGAACGGCTACAAGACGGCCACCACGATTGGTCGTATGAGTCGCTTCGAGTCCAAGACTCGCCTGTACGGCATCACCGGTATCTTCGAATCCCTCGAGGCTACTGTCTTGCCATACGGCAAGAACCAGTACTTTACCGCGTTCTCTAGGGGCGGGGACTCTGGATCCATCGTCGGCGATCCCAAGCGCAAGTTCGTTTCCCTCCTCACCGGTGGCACTGGTCCTTCGGACTCGGTCGACATCACCTACACCACCCCGATGCACTGGCTATGGGACGAGCTCATCCTGGTCAAGTTCCCTGGCGCCAACCTCTACTTCGATGAGAACTAGGTTCGTCTCTTCCTCTTGTTTCCTGTCCTCGTGTTTGTAGCTGATAGCGCTCATGTCAAGGCGTTCGCGGGAGACGTTCTCGCATCGTGTTCCCTCCCCTTCCCCCCTTACGACTGCCTCCCATCTTTCTCATACACCCCACACTCCTTTTCTTCTGCGACTCGTTCTCGTCTTTTGAGGTTTTGTAATCCATCAGTTGGGCTAGTGGCGCAGACAGATGTTTTGAGCGTCGAGTGGTAGTTCAGGTTCGTGTTTATCGTCCGCCTCGTCTTCACGCTCGTAACTAACGACTTTCTGCAGCCTTGATTTCGGCGAGCCGTCGTCTCGCATTCTGTTCCTGCAACGTCTTCCCCTTCCACTATGCCCTCGTCTCTCTTCTCCGTCTGTGGCCCCTGCGGTCTTTTTCTTGACTCCCCGTTCTGTGCTCGCTGGTCGTCGGTACAAACGTGTGTTTTCGACGGTTGGAATCGCTGTTCAAGTTCATGTTCTCTCTCTCTCTCTCTCATCTTTCATGCTAGTAACTGACGACCTCGACGTCTAGCGCTTCGCCCAGCCCACATGCTTTGTTTGCCGTCTCGGCCTCGTCTTCATTCTCTCCCCCGCTCGTAATTTATTGGTTGGTTGTTGTTGGTGTCGGACGGATGCTTGGACCGGATGAACTCGCTTGCCTTCGTGCGTTTCTCCCCCCATTCCCCATCCTTTTGTCGTACTTATACCCAACGACGTTGACGTCTAGGCCTTGGATTTGCGTGCCCTTGTCGTTCAGGTGTCTTGCTCTTCTTCCGTTCCCCGTTCCGTCCAGCTGATAGCTTTCGTTCGATGATTCAGGCCTTGGACTCGCGGGGTCGTCCTATTGATCGCTATTGCTTCTCCTCGTCGGACTCTCTCAACCCATCGTGTACTATCTACTCGCTCGTGACTTCTATATGTTTTCCCCCTCTTGTATCCCAACTCGCTTACCTCCCCAGTTGTATACATCTCCCTCCCACCACTCAGTTACTCTTTGTTTGCCAAATGGACAGTGTGTTTAATGCTTAAATCGCGCGTGATAAGTAAGCTGGATTTCGACGTGTCGATTACGGTTGAGTCAAGCGGTTGAGTCTCCAACGCTGCGCAGCACTTCAGTCTCTTTAGTCGACGTCCCCTGACACTCCACAGATCGATGTTCTCTAATGACTTCGTTTTAGAACTTCGATCGTACTTGGCCTCCGTCGAGGTTCCAAAGGCAGGCATCAAGTTTACGGTGTTTTCCTCTCAACTCTCTCGTGAGTGCTTCGTCATGTACGAGCAACAGCCAACAAGTAGAGAGAGATGTTAATTTTTCAGCAACTGTACGAGCACCTGATACGTGATGACGACTCTCCCCACGTTTCTGTGCACGTTACTGGAGATTGAAATTCACAGGACGCATCTAGTACGCATAACGACGCGTTAGAAACGATAGTGTCTCTCTGTAACGTCTGCTTCGCGTGCGTCTCTCATTCTTGTCTCCTTTCCGATACCGTTGCTGACTACCCATCAGGGATACATCCCGACGCACAGAATATTCGAGATTGTGCGTATCCCGCCATCATCAATCTGTTCTCTGCAGTTTTGCGCATACGGTTCGTGCTCTCGTTTTCTGCGATCGCTGACACGAAAATAGATGTCTGTGGAGCTAAGCGCTCGCAATTCAAAGGGCGCTACATTGAGGGGCTGAAGAGTGCGTTTGCTTTTAAATTCGTCTTACAATTGCCCGTCTAGCCGCCTGGGGTTGGACGTCTTCGGCTGAGTCAGAAACCGTCTTTATATAAATAGGAGTTGAAGGATAGTCTCCTGGGTGGCGAACAAAAGATGAGTAAACCCATCAATTCAGCCTCAAAATTCGAAGCCCAAGTGACCACATATTTGCCATCTGATGGCCTTTTTTCTGGCTCTGGTCAAGATGTGATCGCGATGTCGGGGAGGCCGCCAGTGTGGTGCTGTGGACGGTTCAAGAAGATGACTGTCGTCGTTGTGGGTGGTGAAACGATTGCGACACGGGAACTGGAGTGAGGAACTTGTCGCATTTGTTCTTATATCCTCAGTACTGATGGAGCGGCGACGGTTTTACACCTGCCTAGCAATTCATGTATGATCATCAAGTAGAAGAATAGAACAAATGGGTAGGCTGCAGCCAGGATACGAGGTTTATTCTGTTCATTTGCGTTCTCGGACGAAAGGAGTGAGTTGTATTAGTTTTCTTTATATTGCGACATTCATCTAAGATATGATTGATTGTAGAAATAAATGACGTTTACTACACCGCCAATGAGCCTAGTCCTATACTGAGAGTTGCTAACCAGACTAAGCACATGATCGACAGCAAGTAGGGCTTATACGCTGCCCGTTAGAGCGCAAGAGTTCAAGCATACGCCTTCCCGTAACTAGTCGTCACTTCTACTATGTACCGAGAAGTATTCGCTAACGACGGAACCTCTAGTCACATTAGTGTGTTTGATCTCGACGACGTGGCCACCAAACCCCTCCTATAATCCAGCCATACTCGGAGGGAGACTAGTACGGCAGGTCGACTATGTCCAGTGTCAGATGGGCACCGGATATAGGCCTTAGACGAGTCTGAGAGCAGGACCAGTACACCGTGTACAGGTGCAGACTAGTCTGTGAACTGGACTACTTTGCTGTGCACAGAAGCAGACTAGTCCGTCGGGCGGACCAGTCGTAAATAGCAGATTAGTCTGTTGGACAGACCAGTTCGTTGGGACAGACCTGCACTCTACCTTCTCTAAAAACCATGCCATTCAGCGCCAATCATCAATCCGGCGAGGAACAGTCCTCGAAGCCACCAGTGCTCCAGTTTTATGGACCACCTGTACCACCAGCACCGCTCACCGCTGAGAAGGAGAAGTCTATCCAGGATGCGGAGAAGTTCCTGGAGGAGCAGAAACGAGTCGGGGGGTACATGGGCGAGCAGGGCCTCTGGAGTATTCTCCGCGCCAAATGTGCCGCTGTACGCACCAAAGAGGACCAGCAAGAAGCCTCCCGGTTGGCGATGATTCATTTCACTTTCTACCCTTTTCGCCGAACCCATCCTTTGTCGTGGGATCCCAATAGAGCGGAAGATACTCAGTCAGGAGGACTACCCACAGAGCAAGGGGACGAGCCAAAAATGTCCCACAGCGAGGACAACCATGCTTGCGAACCGCTTGTAATGGTGTGGATAGATGGAGATCAGGCTCGAGAGCCATCTGAAACTCGCTAGCGTGGCCCATGAGGCCCTTACTCGGTTTGCTGTGAGTGGCCGCTGCGAAAACTCGTCGACCATGTCTAATTCGCTTACTTAGAAGATGAAACGAAACTTTGCTGCTGCACCAGGCGAGGTTGCATGATGGCAAAACACCGCATCTTTCTACGTAGGGAATAGCGCTTGGGGTTTAAAGCTGTCTTTGTACTCGCTTGAAGCTATCAAACTCTGGAAAAGAGGACAACATCTGTACCACCTATTAGTTTAATTACCAATAGAGCCCCTGAAACCGATAGATGCTTTTAGACTCTGCGTGCATCTTGCTATACCATCCCCCCATGACTGTAGGCTTGAAGCCCCTTCAACCGCGGCGGGAGCGGTCCAACTTCTGAATATTATGTCCTTGTTTACCATCTAAAGTGGTCTCCGTTGGTGCCGCAGGAGTCTACATAATAGATTTTAATTCCCTGGGAGCAAAAATGGGACTTGTCGGCACGTTTGTGCTCATTTAATATACCCTGCGCAGCTAGAATCTTGATGTCGAAGCGCTAGGCGCATGGTCCAAGCTCCGTATGATAGTGATACTTGATGAAAACGAGTGCCCAGAGCGCGGTATTTAGACCCCTCTAAATACTCAGTAAACTGTCAGGTGGATGGAAGTGTTAGCTACAAGGTCTTTGGACTGCTCTCAGCATTTTCGGCACTTAATGTTATGGAAAACCCAACCAGCCAGCCAGCCAGCCGCACAGGGAGGAGACCAAGGCGGCCCTGCTGCTCCTATTCGGATAATCATTAATCCTTCCGCTCAACAGGAGTGTTAGGGCATCTACGAATAATATATACCGTTGCTATTCTCCTGCTGATGCGAGCTCATAGATCAAGATCCATATGGCGAAAGCAGTTGATTACCAAGTTAAAGAAGAAACTAACTAGGTGCCCGCCAGCGCGCAGAAGAAAAACATCGCGCGTTCTCAGCCGTAAAATCCACAAGCCACCTCCGGTATGCACTGCCACCCTTCTATTCTCACTCCACAACACCTGCATTCGGCACCAGAAGCTGAAATAGCATTGCTTTTGCCTACAGGTGATTTTATGTTATATATTCCTCCTGATGCCACGCAATAGAGAGAGATTTAACGCAACAACCTTCCATCGCGCATGGAGATGGATTAAAAGTGAGAAAAGCGAGTCAACTGATGCTCATTATGTGAATCTCCGGTACCAACCAGCTAACAAGATGCTATAGAAGCGCAAGCCCAGAGAAACCGCCATCATTCCGCAGACAGGAGTTTAGGCGACCATCAGTCTCGTTACAGAAACGAAAACAACCGAACTCACTATAGAGCTTCGCCCTATGACTCCAGGCGTCATAGCTACGAAGAAAGAAGCCGTGACAATACGCTTGACGCTCATGGAGAAAGGCATAATGTTTCTATGAACAATCGTCGTCTTAGTAGAGACGATAGCCGGGAGTACAGTGCAGCAATTCCTATCAGGATAGGACGTGAGCAGAGTCGTGGGCGTACCAGGAGACCGAGGCGCAGCGGACTTGGCGAGAGCAACACTGAAGATTATTATACCAGCGGGAGAGATGATAGTAGGAAACGCAACCACAGGCGCCGACACCGGCGCCATAGACAGTGTCGTGGATAGTATGAAAGCGCACCTAGTCCTCCAGGATGGCCCCGGCGGCTCGCAGCGGCTGCGGCCGGGTTAATGTTCGGTGAAGGTTCGGCATCCTTCGGCTTTAAAGTTGAAGCCGAACGACCATCATTCTTGCATGTGCAGGCACATGTGACGCGAGGCAAACGGGAGGCATTAGCAAGGCAATACACATTCAAGTTCGCATAAGTGCAAAGGAATTGATCTCCAATACAGATGATACTAGATCTTACATATGTAGATACCACACCCTTGAAGTGTTATGGAGTGAGAATAGAAGGGTGGCGGTGCATACCGGAGGTGGCTTGTGGCTTGTGAGTTTTAGGGCTGAGAGCTCGCGATGTTTTTCTTCTGCGCGCTGGCGCGCACTTAGTTAGTTTCTTCTTTAACTTGGTAATCAACTGCTTTCGCCACATGAACCTTAATCTGTAAGCTCGCATCATGAAGGTCGTCTTATACCTCATCTATCTAAAACAGAGCAAAAACATTTACTGTTTCTGCCCCTCTACTCTTCCCTTTCAGTACAATATAGGCTGTCCACGAAACCCAAGCAACCCAAGCTGACCCGACCCGAGTGGACAGCCTAGTACAATATTAAGTCTTTCTATTTTTTAGACTAAGACGTCCCTCCGATCCTTATAACAATGAATTTTACTGCGTTGATACCCTAATATTTCCCCGAAGCTCTTGGAAAACACATTCAACGTAGCCAGACACATCCGACATTTGAGTCCACGGCTAGTCCTCCAGTTTGGGCGCTTTAACTGCAGGCATCAGCACTTAGTGTCATAAATAGCGGAATTATAAAAAAGGTTGTGGATAAAGCTGCAGATACGGCTTTCGAAGCTAATAAGTGCCCCTTGCCCTGATTCAACTGTTTTTCTCGTTAGCGTAAGCTAGCACAATGACTTGCATGTTTAGAAATTCGCACCAAATTTCAAAAATATTGGAAAGAAATACCGAAACCCCTAGCATACAGGACAAGAAAATAACAAATATGCCTCTCACGGACTCAGAAAGTAGCTGTTTCTAGTCCATCTAACTGAAAAATTCAAAGCGTAGACCAGCAACGTTTAATTTTGTTGATTTCAATGGACTTTGCGATTGAAATAGGATTTCTCCTAGGTACCCGCGCATTTTTTAGCGGCATGAAAAGCGTCGTTCACAGTACATCTGTGGACAAAAAATAAAGACTGCAAATTAATATTGTCGAAAAGAAAATGACAAGCCAGCCAGCCAGCCAGCCAGGGGGTTGGGGAGAGAAGGCTTTATAGGCTGTTCGGAACAACAAATACCCCATTTTTAGGGTACTGTCAGGGGCCACTGTCGTACTACGACCGTTCGGTCATAGTGGCTTGGCAGCGGATGTAAAACTTCGCAGCGGAGGCCCTCGAGTTCGAGGACCTCAGCGATTAGTCTCCATCAGAGAATGAACCGATTACTGAGAGCTTCATCGCCAATTACTTGTATTGAGAGTGCTAGACACCCCGTCTCTGTTTACCTAGGCTACGGCTGATGTACGACACCTGTGTCGTACGTTCGCTTCGCGTCAGCCCCTTACAGGTACATCTTATTGGGCACTGTATTCATGGCATCAAATGGACATTCGAATGTCTTTGGTGCATTCCGGTCGAGCTTAGCAAGACCCATGCCCTGGACTTAATTTTGTCTGCAAAGGATTATTCCATGGTGGCCGCTAGGGCTGCACGGCGTACAGGGATCGATCAGTCAGCCAACAGGCCACGGTAGGTCCACACCATATATCTCTGTAGCTTGAGGCCGCTGCTTTTAATGTGCGGAGAACTTTTACCCGGCCTGTCGGCAATACAAACATTTCGTGCCGCCCCTTGTATATGCGAAATTTTTTTCTCGAATATAGTAGCGGCTAGAATCCGCTGTCATAGATCCATTTAGCGGTATTAGACAACTAATTGTCATACTATACATACTTTGTATCAACAGTAAGGATTATTATAGAAGAAATGCAATATGCTAATCAGCGCCTCAGACCCCACATGCAATTCTCAGCCCAGTTCTATAGGTTTTTAGATAGCTGGCCATGGGCTCGGCTAAATAGGAACGTTATATTATGCTATGCACCAGAATCGCACCAGAAGCGCACCAGCAGAAACTCTAGAGGTGATAATTTACAAACGTTTCTTTCCCCCCTCGACAACTAACATTTACTGAGGCTTTTCAATAGTAGATTGAAAAACGAGCACTTAGGATTAGCGATTGCGTGGCTAAAACATCAGCTCAACATTCAAGAGAGGTCTAAGACAGTAAACGCCAGTCTTCCTAATCAAGTCAATTAACTCAAATGAAGGTGTCTCTCTCAAAAGAAGCCCTTAGGCACATAAAAGTAGATGGTACAGGCAAGCAGAGACTATTGTTAACTTTGATGTAAGGAAAATACACAATTATTGAGGTCCAAATATCTTCCGACTGCATGATGAGAGACAAGAGTAGAGTATCTAGAAAGTATTTTCTTTCTCGCCATAGTTTGATGCGACGACTATATTATTTTCAGTCACCAATTAGTACTAAAAACACATACGGACTGGAAATAGGTGTTTGGCGGGTTTCGGTTATTACGGAGCTTTGAGTTAGGGCCATTGTTAGCTGTGCGGTATCTAGCGCGAAACTCGAACAGAAACCTACATGGAATCATGATTGGTGTGTATTGGAAGTTGCCACGATAGACAGCTTTTCAGTGACTGGGGTGCGCATTGTTAGTGAGCAGGTTTTTGAAACTGAGAACCTCGTAGCACTAAAGATTCATGGTGATCTTACTAATTTCCGAGTATTCGTTAGTTTCACTGGTCCTTGCTGAGTATCGTCGGACGTAATCCTCGAGCGTGCCCGAAAACGCTTCTACCAGCAGCAGAAACCTTTGGTCAAATTCAATGCGTCTGTGTAGTTTCCAAGACCAGCAATTCTGGCATGCCTTGAATCTTGTCCCATCTTTCAAATTTTTATCGAGTGGTCGAACCATTATTCGTAGATCTGCGAGATAGTTTTCCATCTGCTTCATATGCGACAAGCCAAACTCCCACTCAGAAAGTAGGGCCATGAGGGACTGCAGTTGCTTAAGGGACTCTAGGTGGGTTCCTTGTTCTCTCATCAGCATCGCTGAGTGGAAATAGTCGACAGCTTTTGGAACTGGTTCCGGCAGCTCAGTAAGCCGCTTTTCCCAAAGGCTGCAGCCAGATTGGGTCTGGGACTGGTCCCAGCCCACAAGCCCCGCAAGGTGTTGAAGCGGATGGAAATGGAAGGCCATGGATGCGGTACTCGTTTTCGCAAGGGTAATGTTATCGAAAAATGCCAGCCAGACAGTCAGCCAGCTGGAGGGGTCTTCCTTTAAGTACCTATCTTAAATCCGAACTCGGCCAATTCCGCGCTCAACAACAATGGCCAGGTTGCGATACCTCCATAAAACATGGCGGTCAATGGCGTAACAACCTAGGGTAAAGAGACAGCGAAATTTAGCGCGAGACACCTACAAATTAGAGACCCATCCAGATGCCGCTACTCATGAGTCCATGTCTATCCAGGGCTTGGCATCCAAGACGTTGGAACAGAAGTATCCCATTGTCCTTCTGCATGTGGTAGTACATCGGGAGTGCTGCATGGTAAAGCACCCTGCATGGATAGTGTAGAGCAACATGGCTCTGTATTTCTGCACTGTACAGGTATAAGGAGCGGTATGATGCATTAAACGACCTAAGAATAACTGTCAAATTCCGATGCATTATGTCACGCCAAACTCAATTGCCATCGAGTGTCATTAGACAGAGGTTTAGCCAAAGGCTAGACAGCTGCGGGACTGTACCAACAATACACCTAGCTCGATCGGACAAAATCGCATTGCTAGAGTCACGGGCTTGACCAAGTCTTTTGTATCGAACAAGCCTTAGCTGCATATTGCACCATCTTCGGGTTGTAAGTCTGGAATAACTTTTCTGGACGGAAACGTATAAATATTGGAATAAATCATATTCTGTGATATTAAAATAACCGCTGCTCTTCAGTTCATGGCAGCATGAATCAACCTATCACCCCTGGTTCTGCACCTTTGAAATTTGATACAGGCACTGGTCTTTAATTTCACGTCAAGTAACGTTTATTTCATACATGCTCTAATGTGAACGAAAAAACACCTTGCACTATCCCAAGAAAGAAGCGAAGTCAAGAAAGAAACCTGGCCTCCCGCTTAAGATGAGTAAGGACATCGCTGCGATCCACATCAAGTTTAGAGAAGGGTGATTTCTACCAGAGATTAAAACTCATCGCAGTGGTAGAGTTAATCTGCAAAAATGAAGAAGCATTGCCAATATCGACTGTGAATTGTAGCGTACTAGAAATGCTTGTTGCCGTCGAACAAAGACTGTCATGTTGCGAACTGATCGTCGAGTGCATGGCTAAGACTAGGTTCTGACTGGCTACATCGAAACTGTGATGGGAAATGCCAGCAGGTGCAGTGAGCGCTATGGCTTGATCTTCTGGCACGACAGTTATAGCCGGCGTACTCGTTCTGTCTCCTTCGTCTCGTATTTGTTGCTTCAGGGCATCCCATCCGCAATGAAAATGAATGCGACGTTCGGTTTCTATTCTATTGCGATGCTTCTGTCGTATTTCTGCCAGGCGATCTGCTGTATCACCCTGTTTTGCCGTAGTGGAAGTGATTTGAGGTATTTTGTTGTTAGATCGTGATTTCATTCGGCCAGACCGTCTTCGTGAATGATGATCTTTCTTTGAATGCAAAGGCCTCGATACGACTGATCAATCGTGTAGTTTAGATTCCTGGACGTGTGATTTCAACGAAAGAAGAGGACTGCTGCTTCCTCTCGCATGACTAGACATGTATTGCAGACTTTGCTCATGCCTGTTGATCTGTAACGCAAAAGAAAGCGAAGGACGACTCGAGAGTGGTAGCGGAGGCAGCCACAGCCCGTGGTTTATGTCTGCCATCAGGTCGAAAAAGATAGACCCTGCCTTACGTGTCGCAGCTTAGATACGTAGATCATAATCATGAAGACAATCACAACGATGACAAAAATAACTGCAGTGAGCCCAACGAAAATCCCGCGATAGTTTTGCGTTAGGTAGTGCTCAGATGGCATTGTAAGATACGAGAGGCGGCGCTGCAGATTGATCGGTTGCAAATTTTTCACAAGTATAATGTTATTGAAATCCAACCAGCCAGCCAGCCAGCCAGTTTAAGTACCTGGTAGGTGCTCGGGAAGTACATTCTCTGCCGTGGTTAGGATCGACTATGCCGACTGCGCTTACATGTGCTGGGACGAGCCCTATGATTACCTAACCTTGTATTAGGGAACAAGATCTCAGCCTGCATCATGTGGCGCACATTTTTATGTTTAGCGTAAGTAGCAGCGCTGTGCCACGTACATCAATTATGGTGAAGGATTAGTCAAAGATTGCCCATTTTATTCAGCTTTGAACATAGGGTGGCCTTGTTAGATATAATTTGGTTGTCATCTTTACATTAAGATACCTAGAATCAACCACAGGCCAAGTGCGGCACCCGCTTGTAAATGTCATTCCCGTGTTCGGTGAGTCGAAGAGCATGCCCCCATCGGCGCGTAGCAGTCGACCCCCAACATTAGCTAGAGCTGTTTTGCGAGGAGACTGTTTGATCACGGCTCGATCAAACAATGGACGAGCTAGACAGTGTGCGCCTGCAGCAAGCCGTGTTACGGCTGCGGCAACACCAGTACCATCTCCAACGAGGACGCTTGTCGTGGCGCCTATACACACCGCAGCCGCCATTCGCTGACCCGTTGACGACGATGGCAGCTGGAACAGTGATGCGGAGGTCAGTTCCATCGATTTCTTCGTTTTGCTGATCTGGCTTGCAAAGACATTGCTCCACCGCATACCCGAGGTGCAGTACTTTTTGCTGTAGATGGACGAGTCCCTTGCGTGGCTAGAGTGGCAGGCGGGCCAGCCGTCAGTGTTGATCGACAACGACCGTATCGCATTCGTAAACCTTCAGCGGGCGCTAGACGAGGGCCTACAGTAGATGTATAAATAGGAGGTTGAGAGTAGGCTTGGGTCTTTCTTGAGGGAAAGGGTCTAGTGTAGAATACACCAAGAGCATGTGGTTTATTGCAAGGCTTGCCCTGTGGTTAACAAAAGCGTCGTGTAGCTACCTAGCCTTTATCACGACTATCGCCCGACAGGAGCATCCGGCTCACAGATCATTGGTTCATTGTAAAAGGATAGGATTAGCCGAGTACTATATTCAATACCGTACCTGGGCCATTATGTTGGTGGTATTTAGAGATTGAGCTCTCAAATGGCCCATCTTCAACTGCGAAGGGGATTATGTAGATTATGCTTTGAAATGTAGGATGCAGGCTGTCTTGTACTCTAGGGCTACACTTGATATGCATGTTCTTGGACTAGCGTTGTCAGCGAGTTAGAGGCACGTGCCGAAAAGAGAAGTAGCGGAGCAGTAGCACTCTGCCGCCATATCAAGTGGGCGGCGCTGCGGGCACTGATGGTACATTAACCACCCTAGCCACTAATCCTAAGATGTCTTAGTAGAACGATATGCATGCTTGCTTTTATATGATGCTTCTACTCAATTTAACGATCAAAAACCTGTGATTCTATCTAGGAAAGCTTCCTGGCGGTGTGCTGTAAACTCAAAGGATCACTCCTGCGCGTTTATTGCGCCTGTCCAAGAGCATTCCTACTAGTCTATACATTCTGACGAGGCCGAGCTCCGCCACCGTGAGCACGTCATACCCCTGCAGCATAGCCGACTCCACCTGAGACCACAACACAGTGTGGATATATCGAATATAGGAGGTGCTGATAATTATATCTTTTTTAAATACTTTACGCGAGCGAACAGTCACACCCTTACTCAAACAAATATCAAAAACAGGGGAGCGTGGTGACAAACGTGGTATAAGAGTTATAATCTATTTTCGAATTCAAAAAGCACCAGTGACAAACAAATGTTATGAAAAAACAAACACCAACCGAATTATCCAATCAAAGTCTACCCAAGCAGGCTGCCACCCGGGGAAGCCCGCGTTATTGTACCGACCGCTAGAGATTAAATCTCTTCTATCTCGTGGTCCACTATAGCATCCCCTGCGGCTCATTCCTCGCCGTTGGTCTTATACTGCACCGGCGACCGGTGACTCGTACGTTTTGTAGTCCATGGCCTGCGCAGAGATTCTGTTCTGCCACCCAATGACCATGTGCATGTTGTGCACAATGAAGTCAATGCGGTTGCGCTTGCTTTCATTCCACGCTAAGATCTCGGCTCCGCGTGTTGCGACGAGCGAAGCCAGCCGCGCCTGTGGCTGGAACTTAGCGCCGTGATCGGCTGGGAGGACACCCTCGGCAAGGCAGAGATAGTGAAAGGTTCCCTCCTCGATGCACCTCTCGAGCCTGCTCGCCGCCGGCCAGAATCGGGGGCAACTCTTTTTGCCATTTTCTGTAATCTCGTCGTCAAATTGTATGAGGTTGTCGAACAATGCGAGGAACTCGTCCTTTTCCAGCTGCGCGACGTGTCCTCGCAGCGTGTGGATGCTGGATTGGGCAGCGGCGTGTGCCTCTGGTGACAACGCGGGCTGCTGTCCTGCCCCTTGCTGCTTTGCCGCTACGAGGCGAGCTAGGATGGCGCGCGGGTCTTTGGGCGCCCCTTCCTCTGCATCTAGGAGCCAGCAGACGGCACTCGCGAGGGCACCCGCGTGGTGCGGGTGCGCCCCATGCACAATGCCACTGGACGCATATTCAAGGAGGTCTTCTGGAGTATTGTCGCCGGACAGCTTGGTGATGAGCAGCGGGCTGTAGACATTGGCAGTGTGCAGAATAACCTCCTGGGCGGCCGCCCGGACGTCGTCCAGCGGTCGGCGCTCCTGCTGGATCCAGTGCACCACGCGGCCTTCGAGCGCAGCGAGGTGCTCTACTAGCCGAGTGTTTCGCAGCACACGGACGTGCTTGCTCGTGCTCAGCTGCTCCTCTAGCCACACGAGCACTTGGGCGCCATCATCGCAGCCAAACCTAGAAGACTCATTCACGGAAGGCCCTAGCGCCCGGTAATTGTCCAGTAGCAGCCGCATGGCCTCGGCTACAGACAGTGGCTCCGCTCGCTCGCCGTTCGCTGGCGGGAAGATGCCTCGGCCGGCGATGGCTGCCTTGAGGTACTTGAGTGCCCGTGTGGCAAGGTTGGTCTCCACCTCCGTCGCTGCCTTGAATAGGTGCGCCTGCTCGGTATGCCTGGTATGGCAGAAGGCTTCACTGACCTCGGCGGCTCAGGTCTGCTGGCGATTCAGTAAGTCGATGCATTCCATGAGCGTACCGCGTGCCTTGGTGCCGGCCTCGTCGGCTGGAGCGCCAACTCGTTCCTCGGGGCGGCCCGCGAGAAAAAAGGGCCTCATCATCTGGCTGAATACATTCTTCCGTAGCCGGCGGAGCTCGTCACTGACGTGCTGCGTGACCATACCGCAGGTCGTCGGACCCCGACGCGCTTTTACTTGCTTCTGAGTGGAGTCGGTTGCTCCTCCACAGGTATCTGCATCGGCAGCTCCCTCAGCCTCCCTCATGCAGTCCCTTAGTCTGGCCTCAGCCATTGCCGCTTCGGCCTGGCGGGCCAACTGTTCCACAGCCTGGATGAAGGCGGCAATCTGGTCGATGTGGTCTCCCTGACTCGCTTGCTCTTCTTGTGGAAAAGCCGTGGCCAGCCAGGCATAGTCGGCCTTTACTAACGGGTCCTCATCGTCCCCATCGTCCGATGTGGTGTCTTCGTCTTCATCCTCATCCGAGTCAGAAACCTTCTTTTCGATCCTGATCTTTGGTCGGACGGACCCTCTTGCGCGGCTGACTGTCTCGTGTAGGTCATTGGCGACGGTCTCACTTTCCCATGCACGCGGATGGCTCACATTTGGTACCCAGTCACGGAAGAAGGTGCCTCCAGCCACAGCGTCGATGCATGCGTCCAGATAACCTTGCAGCGTCGACTCCGTGGCCGGCTGGGTCGCAGTAGCACTCAGACCATCCTCATTGGTCGGTGTAGACTCGTGAACCTCGCGCTTGTCACGCGTAAGCTGCTCCATTGGCGCAGCAAAAGCTTCTTCACCCACAAGCATCAGTAGGGTGAGGTAGACGGCTGCATCGATCTGCTTCTTAGTCCATCCCTCCATCTCCCAGCGCTTCATCTGCACAAGCGTCAGCTCAGCGAGATGGCCATACAGCACAGTCGGCCAGGACATGCGACGCTTCGTGCGCTTCTCACGCGCTAAGCGTAGGGTTACCCCTCCAGTCTGTGCATCTGTACGTAGGCGGGCAATCCATTCGATGCCAGAAGGCATGGCGGCTGATGCCGAGGCCGAGTTTGCAGCCTGTTGTTTCCGCCCGACAGCGAACCTCTCCGCATCGCCCAACAGTGCCTTAACCGATAATGCACAAGAGGCACCGACATCCTCGAGGGCTAGGGCAATCTGTTCCGCGATTTGCACGTTCGGAACCAGCCAATCTCCACTAGTCAGCTTGTTAGCCTCATTGGTGATGGTACGGACCCGTGACGCGAGGCTCTGAGCATCGATCTGCCCGCTCTGGTCCACAGCGGCTACGGCTAGGGCGTTATGGAAACGGACAAGCGCCTCAAAATGGCCGAGGTGCTTCTGCCATAGGTGCTGTTTGACCTTGGCAGCTACGTCGAGATAATAGCTCAGCAAATCAGCGCAGCAATTATCTAGGGATAGTGCCTCCGCCGCAGCGCTCAGGGCGTCGACCAGAGCACGTGCATCAGTGCCTGCGACATGCGCGTAACCTTCTGCCTTGCCGAGCTTTTGCAACTCAAAGATGACTTTGACGGCGATCTGCTTGTCCGCAAAGCCACGTTCCTCGGCCCATCGGGCATGGTCGGCCAGTGCGCGGATTTGTTGTAGGGTCTGTGGGAGCGATCCTCTTGCATACGCTGGGATGTCCTCCATGTCGATCAGAGGTGCAGGTATGTAGGCACCGAGGCTAAGATTTGGAGATTGCAAAAAATGTAAAGTAATACTGATACTTCTAGGTCATATGCGGTCCTTGTAGTGCCTTTGAAGACTCAATTCAGTCGACGGACAACGGCGCTCTTATACGTGTATAGCGGTCGGTTGCCTCGCAATCTTGAGGCGCTTCGATTCTGCCTCGCGCTTCCAGCCCGGTCGAGTCCACCTTGCTTCGCCCGTAGTGCACGGCTGTGCTGGGGCTTTGCTCAAATAGTCAACAGGGATGGTGCACTTGGCTTTGGCTCGAAATAGCTTTTGCTGCACCAACCATTATCTTCTTTGACGTGGCTGCGATGCTAGCATGGGCGACAACTGCTCCTAGCCGCTCGGTTGTCGGTCTTGGCGCAGCCACCTTCCGTCTAAGCCGCTCTCAGAGGCCTGCAGCCACCGCACGACACCACATCTGCAGAGACACCAGTCCTCGATGGACTTGGGCAACAGCCCGAGCCCCCAGGGCTACGCAACGAGATTCAAGTCGCACCCGCACCTCGGCGCTAGTGGGTCCTCGAGTCCGACAGGTGCTCACTCTCAGCGGTAGAGTACCACGCCTACATGTGAGCATGAACCTCGTATAGTACTCTGCAGTGGAGTTTGTCCATTTCAATGGCTTGTACATACTCTGCAGTCGTATGTGGCCCTCGCTCTCGGTCTGATGCAACATCCCATTTGGTACGTACCCTGGTAATGTGACCATGGGCAGTCGCGGTGCTGGCGCCGAGCACAGCTGCACATTACCCTTCCCGAAGTGAAATATTGTGAGAGTGGCTCAGCTGCCTGGGATGTGAGTGACCATGCGGCGGCGCAGCGCTCGTGACTACCATTCCTACAGTCAGGCAGACCCCTGCGCGCCCCGGGTAGCTATTCTTCACGCGTGGCGTCGCTGAACATGACTGCGTAATGAGGTCGACACGCAACTCTGCTTGTAAGAAGGCCGGGTTCGTTCATCCGGAGAGGAAGTGGACAGCGTGCTCGGCGTCAATCTCACGCATCGCGCTCGTGTCGGGCACACCTACGTAGCACATCACAAAAAAAAACGCCGTGCGGCCCAGCAACGTAGGTAGCTAAACGAGCGAATGGTTTTCTATCATGAGATGGTAGGGGATTAGCGAATGAATATCTCATCTATCCTAATGATGACTAGCACGAATATGACCTTGCGAACCCTTATATCTAAATCCGTGGCACAAACGCCCAGCCCAACCGCTCGAGCCGCACCAGGCATCCATGCCGCAGAGACTCCCGATCTGACCGCGAAAATTGGAACGAGTTTCCCGCAATCGAAGGTCTATTCCCGCCCCTATCCCGTAAACCACGGCACCTCCAGCCCCCACGTCCGAGCCTGGATAGCCCAGTACGCCCTTAGGGGACTACTGTCGGGGATGTTTTCAAAGTTGACCGCGTGAAACTGCCTGTCGAATTTATCCATTATCGCGGAGGACGGAAGCCCGAACTCTTCCATGAAAGCCTCGAGCTCCTTGAGTGTCGCCGCGAGATTCTCCAACCGAAAGGCGGTCTCGTGTGCGATCGGAATCTTGTCCTTCTTCACCCAGTATCGGTCTTTCAGGATGACATCCTTTACCCTCTCCAAGAGATCCCTCTTAGCAACATTGGAGCACAGCTTGAGCTCCGCATCTAGATCCCGCCACAATTTGCCCAGTCGGGCGACTTCGGAGTCCGGTCCTTCTCCCATGAGCTTCACCGTATTCTCGATCATGTCAGCATCGTCCCGGTCCCAGTCATATTCCATTTTGCCGGTCGGGAAGATCTCTTCGCCCGTTTGGGCGGCCGACGCCACTCCATAGTGCACAATGATGGACAGGAATTCCTTGACCTTCGCGAGCTGGAGACCGCCCATGTTCTTGGCGCCAAAATCACGGACCCCGTGGTCTCGCACGTGATAGCTGGGGTCATCCGTGTGAAGGACCCCAAGCTCCTCCAGTAGTCCGTCGGGGTAGATCCCGAGCAAGCCTGCATAGGCATTGTAGGCTGGGACCTTGGCTAGGCTCACCATATCGGACAGAGGCATCTTCCGGCTCCGGATCGCCGCCAAGGTCCGTTCAAACTCCGCGGTTCCCTCGGTCATGCCGCATCGGATCTTAAGAAACCATGGAACGTCCAGGTGGGGCATATACTCCCACCCGTAGTAGGGGTCGAACGCAAACTTGCTGAATAGGCGCAGGAGGACCTCACGGTAGTGCGCGCCCATGGGGCCGGGCAGGTCGGCCAGCATCTTGAGATCCAGCGCAGCGGCCATGGTGACTGAGTTGGACACGGCATCGTAGAGGATCTGGAACTGGTAGACATAGTCCCAGAACCACTGCGCCGCCTCCTTATCCCACTTGTTGTTGGCCAATACCCAGTGCGATACGACCTTGGCGTCCGATGCGTGGTACTCGCAGGCGCCGCCCTGGAAGACGATCTTTTTGATAGCGGCGCACACGAAGCGACCGGCTTCCTTTAGGCCCTTGATGCGGACCACGTCGTCCAGGAACTCGGCAATGTCGCGGAGGGATGACTGCAACATCACGATGAGCAGCCGCTCCGTCTCGACGGCCATGCTAAAAACCCTCCAGGCTGCCTGCAGGCCGCTGCCGACGTTGGCCTCATCCCGCACCATGCGCCCATACTCGGCAAAGGTTCAGTTGCGGAGCTCAAAGTTGTGCTTCTTGCACTTTTCAGTGGTGCCCTCGGTGCCAATCGCGACCGGGACGTTCATGCCGAGGCCCGCGGACACGGCTTGTTCCTGGTCGCCGCGCTCGATGGCCCACAGACCGTTGGCAACGATCAGCACCAGCTCGATGCTGCCCAATTTAGTGCCTGCGGACTGCGAGAACTTGTTGGTAAAGTCGTTGATCTCGACCTCGTGGTCGGTGTATGCCATCAGCGGCATCGGGCCATGCTTTTCTGCATAGGCTTGGAGCGCGGCAATGACGCGCTTGTAGACTTGCTTGCTAATACCTGTGTGTTCTTGGAACTTGGTGAGGTCTTCATCGCTCACATCGAAGCTAGCTGTGGCGGCGCTGCATGTAACGACGGCCATTTTAAGCAAATCGCTGGGGGTCGGTACAAGTCAGTAAAGAGTCTGCGTGAATAGTTGCACTAATCAGGAGCTAAATATTTTTAAAAAAAAATAAGCAAGCAGATTGGTAGAATCAGATATGCTGTGTAGTCTGTATGTGTAGTCTGTATGTGTATGCAGTACTGTACGAACAGACCACCATTCTGACTTTATACCTGGAGTTGCCCTCCTAAATCTGCCCGCACTTACGCAGTTGCTTGGGGCATGCGACAAACCAGGGTAGCCTTGTCACATTCTGTGACTCAACCTTTTTTCAGTACAGTCACTGTGATTATGTTGTACACCGCTGAAAAGTGGGGAGGCGGCAGTGCCATGGCGATTCCTGCCACACCCGGCCGCTCAGGCGCGTGCTCACCTTAATCCGCTACGGCGAGGCTCTCTTCTTGGGTGCACGGGCTTTCATTGTCCAATCATGGTGTCGAGCGTTGCGGCCGCACTGCAGGGGAGGCCCTGGCGCCTTATCTACCGCGCCTTGCTGCCCGCGGCATGCCCTCACGCTGGCCCCACTGCGGCGGAGCGGACTTTGCAGCCGCATTCAGATTCGCTATCCAGTCACCACCCTAGAAATATATCTCATGAGGCAGCAGTGTAGCACAGTCACGTCTAGTCAAGGGCGCAGACCGATCTCGGGCAGCTGTGGCGATCACGGAGCTTGCTCGGCATCACAGTCTCGTCTGCATGTGCCCATCACCTAACACCAAAGCGAGGCCCCTGCCACGCTAGCGTAGTGTGCTGTTCATATGATGGAACAGGATACAGCATCCACAGCGCCTCGTATTACCTACGGTCTACTCGCGTGCCCACTGCATCATGGCGCAGCGCGTAGTGATGAGGCTAAGATCTCTGTTACGTGCCTAGGGCACGGAAAATATTCGCATCTGCGCCACGCTGCTGGAAGGACTATGTCTTTGGCCACCTTTGCTCTCCTCTCCACAATGCACTGCCATATTCCACCTTGATAAGGCGCTAGCTTAGCGCCTTTACTGCCACATAGTAATGCAGCCTAGCATGTAGATCCTGTCTAGCTCCCTCTCACTAGGCACTTTCGTATCACACCGCCTCTTGCTCAGAGGAGCATTGGTCGCTGAGGTGTCCAATCCCGCCTGGTCTCGGCTTCGCGTAAGGAGGTCATGTGGCGGCAGACTCTGACATCCTGGCTCTCCATTCATGAAGGAGTCAAGCACGGACAACCATGCGGTTCTGGTTTCAGGCGGCTTTGCACGAGGCTCTGGTGATATGGCGCAGCGCGACTGTCAGGCGCAGCCACTGCACAGCCAGCGGGGGCGCACGGCCGTTAGCGGTGGACCCCGGGTCTCGATGTATTCGCGACGAGCAGGTCAGTACGGACCCGACGCCAGGACCCCGAGCAGGTGTAAAGGCCGACCTAGCAGAATCTTTCTTTCAAGCCCGCATCGCAGTCCACAATTCAGACCTTCATCATAAAACACCAGCTCTACGCACAAAGACCACTCCTAAATCACCATGTCGACCATCCCGAACATATACCTTGACTCAGGAGCACATCTTGTCGGCAATCCCCAAGAGCTCGAGGCGACCAACTTCCTCGGGCTCTCCAAGGACACGGTCCTCGATTCCAACACATGGAAGGCAAAGAAGGCCATCGACGCCGGTGAGAGCCACCTACATATGACTACGACATTGCGATCCGCAGTCGCAATCCTGCGGCGGTAAAGGCGTACCAGCAGTGCACTGGCACGCTGCCACCCAATGCCGTCCTCGGCATCGCCAGCTGCGGCGACTACGTCCTCCTTACGCGCCAGTATCGCCTGCCCACAGACGACGATGACCATAAGGGCTACGACATCAAATTCTTCGCGGGCCTTCTAGAGCCCGAAATCGATAGTAGCCCCACCGATGTCACCCGCCGCGAGGGCAAGCAGGAGACGCCGACCCGCCCATACCGTGGCACTGATGTCTGTGTCTCGCGTCAGCTTCTCCTCTACTGGCGCAACGAGCGAGGCTGTTGGGTGTGTCAAATACGAAGTGGAGCTCAAACAGGGTACCACGGTTTTGCACGAAGATGCGGACGAGGGCTACAAGGTCATCCTGGGTCCGGCTGACCAAACTGAGAACGAGGCCATAACCTCGTACCTCGTGCATATGGACAAACTTTATGACTTCTTGGCCAAGCGCAATGCTACCCGCGATGCCCTCTGCGCCCAGCTACTCGGTTACGCTCTCTGCGCGAAGCATGCCAGCGCGCGTGCCGCCGAGCAGCTGAATGCGATTACGACCGAGTTAAAAGCGGCTGAAGCGGCAGCTGTCCAGCTGAAGAAAGTTAAGCAGGCATTCGCTGCCGGCGATTATGACCGGCTCGGCCAGCTACTAGACTAGCGATATGGAGGCTGATGACGGTTAGGTGGAAATGATAGTTTATGTAGTATCGGAGTATCCGGATTCGCTCAGATCGGCTTGGGGGTTCATACGCACTCGTCGTTATGTCACTCATTCGCCTGTCCACAGGGTTGTCAAGCGCAGTTTTAGTCATCCACTTACTATACCACCAAATATTATTATTTTTCAGCAACGGACATCTGGCACCACATGTTATGGAGCGTGAGGAGTGAGATAGCTAGTACTATGGCAGTGTATGGATATGGCGGCTTGTTGGATTTCTTCTTTGCGCAGGCACGCACGTAGTTAGTTTCTTTCCTCAACTTGATACTCAACTGCCTTAGCCATGTCAATTTTTTCTATGCACCTGCATGACCACACCTAATTGCACATAGACATGTAGCACGTCGCCCACTCCCCCACGAGCCACAGTACTTGCGAGCGACGTCCCCAGTGCGGTTCGTCACTTGTATTGTTCTGAAGTTTTGCGGCTAAACCTGCTTTAGCACAGTATCACTCATATGCACTCCAGAATAGTCGTCACTGAAGAGCACCAGTCTACCAAGCGGTAAAAGGCTGGCCAGCACAACCTCGCAGTTGCGCAGCTCGCTAGCTGGCTCTGTGATTTGTTTGCCAAAATTAATTATATTATAGAGTCCCGTATGGGGTAATGCGACATATGGGGTAATGCGACACGAGTTGCCGGCATTATGCATGTGATCGCGTTCTACACCCTATATAATCGTCTAATTCTAGAATAGAATCTTCAGATGAGGTTTCTAATATCGTAGTTTCTTCCTGATTCTCGATTTCTTCGATACGAACTTTGCGTGGGTGTCCACGAGGACGTTTTGCGACTGGTGTTACCTCTGTCTCGTGGGCGATTCGCAGGATATTCGCCTGATTATAGACCGATACCCCTTCTAATTCGACTCTTTTACCTTTAGAACTTCTCTTTCGCTTTCGAAGAAGCTCTAATTATTTAGCGAGCTGCTTAGTTATAATTGCGAGGGTTGTATTCTAGGTTTCGCATATACGGGTTATTCACTCCGCATACCGTTTTACTGACGAAACGACGTCGGTATACCTGCGTAATATTTCTATAAACTGTTGATTTGATTACGATAGTTTTATTGGCTCTAAAAGAGAACTTTTTAGTAAGGAAAGATCTAATCCTTCTTGTTCGGGTGGTGTATGTGGTAGTGTTTGGATAGTAGTTACTTTAGACAGTAGATCTTTTAGAACTTGCCAGCTATTTCGTGGCGATAATCCGGTGCCACGCCATCTAGTAAGTATATTCTCTTTTATAATAGTCTTTATACGTACTCAAGTAAAAAGTTCGATCCATTCTCGGCGAGGAATACATTGAGAACTGAGCTATAAGATCGCATCTATCTCGGTAGTATATCGATGTTTAAACGCTGAGAACACGCCTACGTCGAGTAGTTGAAGAATATACGAGCAATACGGTAGTAGAATAAGTAGGTCGATCTGATTCTCCATATAATAGACAATAAAATCGGCGCGTATATGGCTACTATACCCATCTGCGATAAGAAGACGCTGGCGACCCACTGCTTTTTCGCAGGTTAAAGATCCAAAAACCTTAATTAATTATTGTAAACCAAACTCATTCGATGTCCAGCCGTTCTTACTAGTTGCAAAATGCCAATCTAAAGGCGTCTCCGTTAATATCCAGCGTGTATTTAGGTGTTTACCTTTAAAGATCAGAAGAGATAGCAGTGCTTCACCGGCGGTATTAATACATTCGATATCGGTTATCCACTCCTATTTCCCTCTAATAATCTTTTGTCTTTGTGTCTTATTAAGGTAGATAAGTACCTTTATCGCCTGCTCTTCGCCGACTCCGAAACCCGACTTATTTATGTTCTATACGTTCGAAAGATCGTAGGTATGTTCGGTAAACTTCTCTTTGACGGCGTCAAACTAGCGTTTAACCAGCTCTTTCGTGGCGCCTTTAAAACGACTATACTCTATTTAATAAGTAAAGACCGTACGAACTTGTGAATGTCGGTTTAGGAAGCGATAAACCTATTCGTGGCCGATAGGATCAGGTTGAGCGACGGTGGGTCGCTGGTGAGACGTGTGCCGAATGCGTGTGATCCGTAAATGTTGCGTAAGTTCTATTAATAATACAGGGGTTAGAGGAGTTCCAGCAATTGTATATCGTTTAATCCATCGAATTAGAGTCGATTCTTCTGCGTTAGTTAAGATCTGTTGTATTTGATGGGCTTGAGTACACGAAACGCCGTCGTTTAGTCGACGAGTTAATGTATCGTGCGAAACTTCGAATGCGCGGGCAGTAGCACGAATCGAGGAATATTTCTTTAATTTATATACAGAAATAGCGTTTTGTATTTGAATTTCATATTCTATCGATTTTTTAGAGTTTTTATAGCCTATTATTGAAACTAACGCGTGTTGAATGCGAAGTGCCGGCAACTCGTGTCGCATTACCCCATATGTCGCATTACCCCATACGGGACTCTACTATAGAAAGCTTTAATTAACTTACATAGAAAACCTACCTCTTGGCATTCACCAAGCAGTTGTTTTATAGAGGACATGGCCGAGAAACCCCATCAAACATGTCAGCGACACACGAGTCGAACAGCCTCGTACTAGGATATTACTGCAGACCTGCTGTGGTCACCGGCGACAGCACACTTCCGAGTGGGTGATACGCGAGTCGAACTGCCTCGTGCTGGAACGTGACTGTGGAGCTGCTGCGATCACCTGCGACAGCATACTTCCGAGGGAGCAAAGTTAAATTTGGACTACCCCGTGATGTGTTTCACCATGAATTTGGGGCGGTGCCGTCCGGCACCTGGTACATATCAGCCTGCTAAGCGCTATTACTTTTGTCCTCGTGGTCCTCGGATGTTTCCAATCCTGAATGATCACGTCCAAGTCCCATATACGCTCTTAATGAGTAAACAGCGCCCATGGAGTGTGATGCAAGCTCGCAGACAAAGTCGATACAGTGAGGGCAGTTGATTATCAAGTTGAAGAAAGAAACTAACTACGTGTGCGCCTGCGCGCAGAAGAAAAACATTCGATGCTCTCAGCCCTAAAATCTCACAAGCCACCTCATGCATACACCGCCACCGCACTAGCCACTTTCCTTCTCACACTCCACAACAGAGTGCGCGATTAATCGAGCACAGCCAGAGCAGAGAAACTTGCGCGTCAGTCTGCGTAAACAGCGCCCATGCACCACGATCACTGATGGGAAACCCGGATACAGCTATACCATAGCAACATGCCTATATGTTTTCACATAAATACGACGCGGCTATTGACTGCAATGTTTGATGCAGCGCAGTCATGATAGAGCAGCGTGCGCCTCTGTCAGTGGAAAACAGCGCCCCTGGACTACGCACGGTCGCAGATTCTCAATAGTAAACAAGCGACATGGCTCCATATTACCGGTAGAATTCATAGCATCATTCTAGTCGAGCCTTTAGAAGCAACCCCACAAGTTCGTATTTACTCCCGGTATGCCACCGAAGTTCTTCCTTAGATGGAAGTAGCGAAGCATTGCACGATTTTGCTAGCGATTAGACCGTCTGGTCGACCGACAAGCCCATTATTATGTGCAGCATACCACCTGGTGTTCCGTTACGAGCCAGCACCAGATGCTTCGGATCTTTCAATAGTTCGGTGAAACATGCGCCCAACGTCAGATGAACCCTTGATCCGTACAGCTTTCATGCTGCGCAGTACCCAAGGAGAGCGAAAATGAATAGGTCGTGGGATGTTTAAAGCAGATTTGGAACAGTGAAAACGCAGCCGTGAGGCTGCGCAGCAGGGGGAGCATGTGGCAACCGCAGCGCCAACTGCGCACGGATAAGATCCGGTTGGTAAGATTGGAGATCTTGAGAGCCACAGACCAGAAATGGAAGTCAACACTCACGTGACCACATGGCTGGGGCCGTGAACATCGGTGATAGAAGCACACCGAAGGCTGTCCGCCACAGGTATATAAAGTAGGTCAGTACGAAGAGCAACCTCATCACTCAACCCCTCATCGATACTCCATTGACATCGTCTCACAACTCAAATACCATACCAGTGAGCGATGACCGAGCTCCCCTCGGTTGCCGACTGACCTTTGGCCCGTAGTGTCTGGCTTCAACAACTGGGTTTCCACCAACGTGCAGGTCATCATCACCGAGATTGGAACGGCAACTACAGCTAGCAACAGCTTCAACTTCGTCATGAAGAGCGACCAGGGTGCTATCTGGTTCGTGAGCGGCAAGACTGGCAAGGCCTCGCACAACTGGGGCTTGGACCCAAGCGTGGGGCTGCCTGCCTTCACCACGCTCGCGAATGCCTGCTATATCAGTGAAATCACTGCCACGCTCAACTGGACTGGTGATGCTAACTGGGCGTAAGTATAGCCTCCATTCATGCCGCATTCATGCTAATGCTCTCCCTCAGGGTGAACTGGAAGGCCAAGCTTGCCAATGGAGGTGTCCATTTCGCATGAGTGACTACCTGGGGAGGGGAACATTCTGGTACGTCGCTCAGCTGGGTGTGGTGCAATGGAGCAAGACAAACTGACGAAGTCAGCTGTATTTCAGATAACCACATTTGCGGACCAGACGCTTCTAAAAATGAAAAAAAAGGAGAAAATATAAAAGCTAAAAAAAAATCGTTCCATCTACCTTCTCGTTTCCCCTCCCCAACATCTTCCCAACTCCCCCCCCCTGGCTACGTGTGTAGTTGATGTACTCCTGCTTCGGCGTCAGTGGACAATATATGCCTACTGTCTATTTTATAGTCTGATCAACTAAGAGCATACCTGCAATTGCAGGTATGCGCCACTACCAGTAATGGGAGTTTGTATAGAGAGGCCAGAGTGATATCACGTCAACTTGACGGCAAATGACGAGACTAGGGCAACATGCACAGCCCTCCCCGTGGCCGGGGCATACCTACTCCGCGTAGAGTACCACTTCCCAATGGTGCATGGCCGTCAGTTTCTCGCACGGGGGTACGGTACAGCTTTGCTGTAGTGGGGTCATGTCCCGGTGGAATAGCTCTGGAACCTGTACCCGGCATTCTGGGATGAGGTGACGAGCCACACCGCCCCCGGAGTATGACTAGTGGCAATGCATGTCGTAGCCGCAGCACTGCCACGTCTTTGCACAGCCATGACTCGGGTCCGGCACAACATCTCGCTCGTGTACTTAAGTGCAGCTTCCAGGCTCCAGTCGCCTCACAATATGTTTCCGAACTCGCCTCAAGACATCGAGCTGGATACCTTTGCCTACGAGAGCTCCCCAAATTGGCAGTGGTACCGTGAGGTGGCTGCCACTGCCGACGTGGGCAGCATGCTCTTTGCATGGGCTTCCCGCGACTGCCACTGGGGCGCCCTGACCGCGGCACAGCACGCCCTCGACGACACCAACTGTGCACGGATGAGCCGAGGCGATGAGCAGACTCTGCTGGAGAAGAAGGGGAAGCTGCAAGCTGCATATGACGACTGCCTCGACACGTGGTGTTTGCTCGAGTGGCGCCGAGCGCAACAAGTAACATTCTTTCGTCGCTGCCATTCACGTGCCCCTCACCCTACCCACCAGGCATCAGGCAGGGAGCGTCGTGCCGTGTGGTCTGACAATCAGGCTGTGGGTGAGGTGCGTCTCATCCATCGTGCGCTGTTTTGGTTGATTGCTAACATTAGCGCAGGTGGCAAGGCTCCGCATAGGCGCCAAGATCCGGCTCTGCACGGAATTGACAACGCCGGCGAGAAACGCGTACAGTTATGTGTAGAGGCGACCCGCCTCGTCCGATAGTAGTCGACACCGTATGATACTTTGCCCTGTCCCCAGCCTCTTGCATGGACACGCGTGATACGACTGGCCTCCTGAGCCACCACTGCATACATGGTCAGAGGTACACGAGAAAATCAAATGCATCCGGAGAACAGCTCTACAAAAGACTGGCTAGGAGCAGAGATACCGCTCTGAAAGCCCTTTTCAGTGCATAGAGGCAATAATAAAGAAGATCGGAGACGTCAGGGGCTTCAACAGATCTATATCGATCGAGCCACGCGTCCTATCCTTAATCCCGCCATAGTAGCAACTGATCGAAGGCTATATTACCCCGAACAGCGAGAAAACAACGAAGCAATACGATAAAATAATAAGTTAAACCGTCAGAAAACAGACTAACTATACTATCCCCTATATAAGTAGCAGCGAGATCAACAGTCTAATAGGCGTGTCGACATAATATTTTTAGATAGGGAAGGAGGCCTAGACTTTCCTAGATCACAGAACGATTAGTATAGTTTATATCGGTAAGCTAGTAGGTATAGACCCTAGACTGTATATTATAGTTAATATACAACTATTTTATAGATAACTAAGCCATTATATAAGTATACTAATGACTAAAGAACTCTATAAGCTAATACTGCCTTAAAAAGATTGTACAGCTGGTCGAATATATAAACAACACTGGTAGATTGGTGGAGCTATAATAGATCCTCTTATATAAAGATGTCGTAAGCAACGAAATAGTAGATAAGCTAGCAAAATAAGCAACCGGATAGCGAGCTGACAGCTAATAAGAATTAAAAGCGAGGTTATACCTACGAGTCCGCTAGATACGAGGCTCGATTAAACGAGCAGTAGAAGAGAGTAATAAAAACTTTTGGCAATTTAGAATGACTAATGGGAGTACCCGCGGGAGGCATGAAAGGAGCACCTCGCCGAGTCAGTCGGCACCAGGAGTAACCACTATTATGTATCTACTATGCGAATGCCATGCTTGCCTGCTTAGCTCCACAAAAAGCTCAGCGACCACTTATGTTACGTGAAAAAGAGATCACTGGAGGGGCGAAGACTTCTTAAGATAAAAAAGAGGCTGTACACGATAAGCACCACTCATCGACTTACCACTTCAAATTTTTTCTCTCTGTTTAGCTTCCCATATCTCTTGTGCTAACCTGCCCAAACGAATGAAGCTAACTTCGCACGAACAGCCCTAGTGGTGATGGGGGCGGCCTTGCCTGCATTCACCTTCAACGCGTTTTAAGCCCGGCTGACTCTGACGGCTCCACGGTGCGCCGAGGGCATGATGCAAGCGCTAATAAACATCTACATCTCATCGGTGTAATCGATCAGAGGATATACCAAGGCCGTAGGCGGGTCTTGGCGCTCCTAATCAGTCTCTCCGTTGAGATCGTGATCAAAAAGGTCGAAATTAGACACCATTGGTGGTGCCTGGCAGCAAGGAACGCTAAATTGATCCGGGGATGATGACTCATGCTGGAAAGGTTTTCCCATTTGGCTAATTTTGTTCAAGACCAGCCAGCCAGCCAGCCAGCCAGCCAACATCCACACTAATGTTATCGAAAATTGGCCAGCCAGCCAGCCAGCCAGCCAGCCAGCCAGTGGGTCAGCTGCGCACCTGGCTCATCGCCGAACGGCACCCGGTCTCAAAGACTAGGGAAGCAATTCAGGCTCTGCTTGGGCTTTTATGCAGCCAACCTAAGCCTCCGTCACGTATCACTGCTGGTACTCCAAAGCAATCTCTGGCGTGTAGTCAGCGGAATGCGTGCGCAATTCATAGCATCATTAATGCAAGCACACGAGCTTGCTGAGATCTCAGGAAGGGTTAAAATAGCCGGAAGCTAATCAATTGTGTGATTAGCGACATGATAGAAGTAAAGAGCTAAGATTGGCCTGCACAAATGGAGGTCTCGAGTCGTAGCGAGCGTAGAAGCATGCATCATTGCTGCCTTTGCATAGTAAAAGACTACCCAAGATTATGAGCAACGTAAATAGTTTTTATTGAATACGGTGTTCATTGCATCATTAATGCAGTTCCAAACTGGGGCTGCAGCGTGCAGCAGTCGACATAGCTGTTCAACGCACAGCTGCGTGTATCTGCCTCTAGCGCTATTTCCATAGCTGGTCAATGTGACTCATCCAGCTCTTCAACCCGCCGTAGCAAACCATAGAAGACTTTGTTTTGATGCATAACTGAGTACTGCATCTTGCTGCAGCTTGGGCGATAATTCCGTATAGGCAGACCCAGCCCAGGGGATCTAGATCATGTTTGAATAACGCCGGCTTCGTCTTCTTGACATCCCGTTAAAACCAAGGTTAACGAACGGGACTTGAAAACCCGGCATGGGTGTTTGTAATGGCGGGCCTTGTGTTGTAGATACAATTTCGTGTAGTCCTCTCACTCCTTCATAGTTAGTTTCCTAATCGGGCACGGACGCTCGCGTAGTATACACGCTCGCTACACGTTTCGTTTCCCTCAGTCCTTTTGCTATTGACATCGGATTGAGGGTAAGCTACATTCCTATACTATACATTAGTTACTCATGCTGATCTACCTGTAGGACTGATTCAGTCCATGTCTAGGTAGATAACTGAGTCCTTTTGCTATTGACATCGGATTGAGGGACTGATTCAGTCCGTGTCTAGTCTTCAACAGGTTACGAGCCCCGAGAGGCAGCTAAAACGCGCACTCGACTCGCCAGCCGAACCTCCCACACGAGACCGCAATGAGCGGCGAATGACGCAACCCCTGGAGCGGACGCTCGTCGCCACGCGGGCGCTCTCCGACTCCTCCACCTTTGCGCAGAGCCTACTGGGACGAACCCGGCATGCCTACCGGCGGTCACAGGCCGCGCGCGAGACCGCAGTGCAGCGGAGAAAATCTGTACGCGCAGTCTTCACCACGCAGATCCGCGGCACCTTCGAGACGGCCCACGCTGAGCCCGAACGCAGGCGGAAGGAGGTACAGGCCTTTGGGAGAAGGCGGAGCAGAGCACTGGACCCTGCACAAGGATACCGACCACTCTTCGCACATGAACCTTACGAAGCTCCCCCACAAGCTCACGCCGACGAACTACGTATCGTGGATGACGACGATGGAATCAACGCTCGACACTATCGAACTCTTCGAGTACGCTACCGGAGAAGTTCCCGAGCTCGATCCGGATGTCGACGAGGCGCGTGCGCGACGCTGGAAGCGCGCGAATGCCTGCGTCTGACTCATACTCGCGTCGAATATGACCGAGGAAGTCGTGTCGCAGATCAGCCACCTCACGGTCGTGGCACAGGTCTGGCAAGAAGTGCGACGACTATTCGCAGGCGAAACCCTTACCGACTGGACACTTCTTATCACCAGTCTCGTCACGACGAAGTATGCCGATGGCGAAGATCTGACCCTTCATATTGCAAAGATGAAAGCATACCGGCGAGATCTCATCCTCATGTCCCGAAATATCCCTGACGACCTCTATGCTTGTTTCATCCGAATCTCTATGCCACAATCCTGGAACTACGTATTTTCTGGCCTTTCTCAGTACTACACATCTTCTGAGATCGAACGATGTCTGAAGGAAGAATATGCCATACGACAGAACCAGCAATCGACAGCGCGAGCATACAATGCCAAGCAGCAGTCCGGCAAGCGATTGAAGAAGGAATACAAACCAGGCGACCCCTTCTGCAAGAATTGTGAACGGCCCGGTCACTACATCAAGGACTGCTGGTCGAAAGGGGGTGGAGCTGAGGGGAAGGGACCACGTAGTAAGAAGAAGGAGAAGAAGGATTTGGAGAAACAGGATGCGAAGGGGAAGGAGCGAGTGAACGAGGCGAAAGAAGACTCCGACCATCTCTCGTGCATGGCGGCACCCGGCTCATCCTCCCGATTCACCTGAATTCTTGACGGCGGATCTACCACTCACATCTGCAGAACGAAATCGGCCTTCGTTACATTCACGCCTTCGAGCGAGACAATCGGCGGCATTCGGAAGACAGGACCTCAACTTGAGGTGCACGGGAGAGGTGATATCCTCATCCTATGCCACGTTCATAGCGGAGACCAGCACATCGTCACGCTACGAAATGTATGCTACTGCCCGGACGCACGTGACAATATTATCTCGGAGAGCCGTATGGATCAGAAGGGACTATCAATCCACAAGCAGAATGGCCTGGTAGCTGTCCAGAACTCGAATGGGAAGGTTATCATGGAAGGTGCGCGACAACGTGACTTATATGAACTCGACTGCGCAATCGCCCCTCCATCCTCCCATCCCTCTGAGATCTCATTCGCCGCCCAACTTTCTCCATCTGATAGCGAGCTTTGGCACCGCCGGCTTGCTCATATCGGACAGGGCAGTCTCCAATACATGGTAAAGCACGCCCTTGTCACAGGACTCAATCTGAAATCCATAGAGACACTTGGCCCATGCGACGGCTATGCGAAGGGGAAGCATCACCAAGCACCCTTTCCGAAGCAAGCCACCAATCGTGCTACAAGCATTCTCCATTGCCTCCACATGGATCTTCAAGGACCATTTGACCTATCCATCACCGGCTATCGCTACACACTCGCTGTCGTTGACGACTACAGCCGCAAGGGATGGAAGGCTTTCCTGAAGGCCAAAAGCGATGCGACTTCGGAGATCAAGGATTTGATCGCACGCCTCGAGACATTCTCTGACAAGAAAGTCAAGATCGTTCGATCTGATGGTGGTGGCGAATTTATAGGCAACGACCTCCAGACATATTTCAAATTGAAGGGGATCAAACACGAGACTTCCGCTCCACACACTCCACCACAGAACGGCGTAGCCGAGCGCTATAACCAGACGACACATGAGCACGCCCTCTGCATGTTGCAAGAAGCGAACATGAGCTCGGGTTTTTGGCCTGAAGCCCATGCATATGCATTGCTTGTCCGCAATCGAAGTCCTACAAGAGCCCTGGTTGAATCCACGCCCAACGAGAAATTCTATGGCCAGAAACCAGATGTCTCAACCCTTCGCATTTTTGGAGCACGCTGCCATGTTCGCGTTCCACCCGAATCCCGAAAGAAGCTTGATGCACACTCGCTTGATGGCATTTTCTGCAGTTTTGCACCTAATCAGAAGGCGTACAAGATCTGGATCCCTTCGAGGCACAAGTTTATGGTATCTCGAGATGTTATTGTCTACGAGAATGTCCCAGCAATGCCCGATGATGATGACCAAAACCCTGCTTTGAGCGAGGGGGTGACCGCAAGTAAGTCCACTCAAAGCAATAGTCCTGATAAGGCTGTTGGCAGAGAAATTTCCGCGACATCACCACCACATCCTCCAACTCCTCAGGCTTCGGCATCACCAGCTTCAGCGCCAATTCCTACACCGCCTGAAAATCAGCCATCCACTGCATCAGCACCCACTCCCGCCAGTACTCCCGCACCAGCACCAATGCCCGCACCAGCTCCCGCACATCTCCGACGTTCAGAACATGTCACGCGCCCATCTTGGATCAAGCAAGCTGCCGAGAAACAGCAGGCACAAGAACAGGCGATGAAGACACACAACAAGGCGATCAAGGAAGCACGCACACTGCGGAGACAAATGAAGGTACAGGCGAGGACAGCTCCAGAACCCATACCAGAGGACGCCACAGTCCCAACGACACCCGAAGGTGATGTCGCGCAAGTCGCCTATATGGCGGCATTTGGCACGGACACACCAATGAATTTCTGTGAGGTGACGAAGTGCTCGGAGGCCGATAACTGGTGGACAGCAATGCACGAAGAGATCGACATGCTGCAGAGGCGTGGTACATGGGTACTCGAGGACTTGCCACCTGGCCGGAAAGCCATCGGCAACCGCTGGACATATGTTATCAAGCGTGGCCCACAAGGCGAGATCCTACGATACAAAGCCCGACTTGTTGCACAGGGATTTTCACAGATTCCCGGCATAGACTTCAATGACACATTTTCCCCCACCGTTCGACTCAAATCTCTTCGGGCGATCTTACATCTCACCGCTGCACATGGATGGCATCGTGGACAGGACGACATGACTGGCGCGTTCTTGCACAGCAAGGTTGACGTTATCATTTATATGCAGCAGCCTGTCGGATTTGACGACGGTACTGGACGTGTTTGTCGCTTACTGCTCAGCTTGTATGGTCTTAGGCAGTCATCCCACCTCTGGAATGAGTACATGGATGGCCAACTGTCAACAATCTCATTCCATCGACTGATCTGCGATAGTGCCATCTATGTTCGTCGTACAGAAACTGGTGCGAATTCCATCCTGGCGATCCATGTTGACAATACCCTCAGCTTCTCAGACTCAGCAGAGGAGCTTGCTTCTGTCCGAAAGCAGCTTCACAGTATCTTTGAGATGAAGGAGGAGGATCCCAACTGGTTGATGGGTTTCGAACTCATTGACAATCCCCAGGAACATACTGTCTCCATCTCGCACCGCCAGTACATCTCCACCATTCTCAGACGCTTCAAAATGGAGGATTGTGTTCCTGTACCAACCCCCATGGAGTCCAGTCTGCACCTCTCAGTTCACGATGCACCGTCGACACCAGAGGAGATTGCGGAGATGAAGAAACGGCCGTATCGCGAACTTGTTGGCGCCCTGACCTGGATCTCGGTCATCTCGCGCCCTGACGTAGCGTTTGTCAGCGCACACCTCGCGCAGTTCAATGCCAATCCCGGCAAGAGGCATTGGGAAGCCGCGAAACGAGTGCTTCGATATCTCGCGGGCACTCGCGACCTTCGGCTCGAATTGGGAACTGCGGACGAGGAAGGCGACACGAATGAATTGGTCGGCTATACGGACGCGGACTGGGCGCGCGACGTTGACACTCGACGCTCCGTCTCGGCATACATTTTCCAGCTCGGCAACTCATCAATAGCCTGGAGCAGCAAACGCCAGACGACCGTTGCCTCATCATCAACTGAGAGCGAATATATGGCCTTGTCTTATGGCGCGAAACAGGCACTGTGGTACCGGCGTTTCCTCACGGAAATTGGACTCACTCTCGAAGGAACCCCTACCGCACTCCTAACAGACAATATGGCTGCCAAGGACATTGCGAAGGATACCCGTCACCATGGACGTACCAAACACATCGATATACAGCACCACTTCATCCGCGAGCGCATACAAGACGGAAACTTCAATGTCGTTCACTGTCCCACTGCAGCAAACATTGCTGATGGACTCACCAAGCCCCTGGACAAGGAGCCATTTTCCAAAATGGTTTCTGATTTAGGACTCTCACTCCATTGAGGGGGTGTGTTGTAGATACAATTTCGTGTAGTCCTCTCACTCCTTCATAGTTAGTTTCCTAATCGGGCACGGACGCTCGCGTAGTATACACGCTCGCTACACGTTTCGTTTCCCTCAGTCCTTTTGCTATTGACATCGGATTGAGGGTAAGCTACATTCCTATACTATACATTAGTTACTCATGCTGATCTACCTGTAGGACTGATTCAGTCCGTGTCTAGGTAGATAACTGAGTCCTTTTGCTATTGACATCGAATTGAGGGACTGATTCAGTCCGTGTCTAGTCTTCAACACCTTGGTCGAAAACGAAACCACGAAACTGTTCCTTGAGATTGCTCATGCACTTGCAGTCTCTGCACATCTTATCTCGTGGGACCGGAGCAAGCGGTCGTTGAGGAGGTCTTCCACAAGACCCTGGGCCACCAGTGGCTGTATCACAGACTTTGTCGGTGATAGTGACCCTCGAACACGACGGACAGGACAGTGAATAAGCCCCAACGATGCAATATCGGCTGGCAAGTCGCGTCAGTGAGCAGTCTTGGAATTTCGACGGGAGTGTAGACTTACCACTCGCTCATCCGCCACTCGTTGTCCGCACCGAGAACCCAGTCCCCGCTACGGATGCATCCGCCACATGGCCTCGCTGGATGCACGTTGGTCTTTATGCCAAGCCAGCGGAACCCATCTGTGTCACATCCACAGGAATCGAATTTCTTCCCTCTCTTGATAACATGGCTGCACGCGTATTCGTCTTCCTCGTAATAAGACTTGCACCGTCTGCTAGAGCAACTCCTGCATCAGCATCGTTCATCGAAAGCAAACAAAAGTAGGTGCAGATCCATTACATACCATATAACCCAGCCATTGTGTAGAAATTGGCCCTTTTTAAGACTCATGGAGAATGGAGCATGCCCAGTCGTGATCAAGTAAATTTCACCATCTGTCGAACCCTATGATATCCGCCGAAGTGCCCCATGAGAAAATGCTGTAGTAGCTGTAACCTAGAAGTTGACCAGAAGTATCATACCAGCGTAGCAATCGGCATTCACCGTGTGTCGGTAGCCTGCATCTGAATGTGGGTCGATTCAGAAGACGTGACAAGAGGGGAAAAGCTGCCGGCACTCAGCAGGGAAAGATGCTTATTTATATGCTCTACCACGTGTCAAGCTACTGAGCTGGCTTGATGAGATTGGACGCCTACTGCAGCCTGATCTGCATATGGTCTCACCCGCTAAGAGGACTGCTGCATCACAGGTTATGCTTAGTGCTCTTGGGGCATTCCCCAAGCTGCACCGGCTAAGCTGATCCAAACTGCGTGATTACAACTGATGGGTCACCTATGAATGTATCTTTTCACGTAGGTGGCTGACTCAGAGGTACCTCGAAGAATTTTTGCGTCATTAATGTTATCGAGTATTGGCCAGCTAGCTAGTCGCCTTGGTGGCTTGGACGAGCGAGCTCCTGAGTAGGCTCACGTGCACTGTTGATAGAGCGCGGGGGATAGGCGAATGTGTGGCTGTGGAGACGTTGTATCTTAGGGAGTATCAGCTCGTTCGGCTGTGAAGTTGCCTTCGAATACCGCAAATGGACAGCCCAAGGAGTCAATTATGTTGCGAGATTGGCAAAAGTGCATTGCACTGAGCTTACAATTCGCACTAATGTTATCGAAAAATCGACCAGCCAGCCAGCCAGCCAGCTAACCAGCCAGCTAGCGTGCCGAGTACTTCTACTCGATTGGCCAGCATACTTGGTTGTATTCCGCTCGTAGCGCCACTTCGTTCCAGGCAACAACGCCATTGAAAAATGTTTATGCAGAGTGGTCTCAGCGTGACTTGCCTCAGCGACGCATGTACGAATCAGCCACCGCCGCGTAGTCCACCTGCAGCCTGCTATGCAGAATCCCTGGAAAGATTTTCAACCAAGGCTGCGAGCAGGTCTGGCGGTAAGCCGACCTGTCTAATAGCTGGGTTGACAAGGCTGGTCTCTGCTGGTAGTGACTGTGCCATTGCATCCTTTGTGATGCAGTAAGATTGAGCGCTGCTATGTTCGTTCGACTAATGGATCGGTGGATCCAGCGGATCTCCGTGCTGCCGATATGGTGAATCTCCTTTGAGCCACCGCCGGCGAACTAGTAGACGAGGGTCTCCTGGCTTCTGGGCTCTACTCAGCCTGAGGAGGAGGAGGAGGAGGAGGAGATCTAAAATTAGAAGAGACAGCTCAGGCTGATCTTACACAAAGCTGCCTCGGTGCGTAGACGGCTGCCTGCATTCAATATTGCTGCTCACAAGTATAAATGCCGCAGGTCCACCGCTTTCTGAGAAATGGCCATTCTTCATCGCACCACCTCCTCCTCTCAACTTCACGCACAGACGAACTGTTCAAATTTCTACCTAGAGAACTCTTCTACTCTTTACTTCACAATGGCTTCACCTACCCCATTCATCCTTCATACCGAGAACTTGACTCCCAAGTCATTCAAGGTTGAGCTCCTCAATATCACCTATGTGGGAAGAGATGGAAAGGAACACCCCTGGACAACCGCTTCACGCAAGCCTTGTGGTGCCAGTGGCATTGATGCCATCCTCATCCCCAACATCATTCGTCGACCCAACCATCCCCCTGCTATGGCACTTGTGATCCAGTACCGGCCACCGACAGAGGCCGACTGCGTCGAATGGCCCGCGGGCCTTATCGAAGTTGGAGAGACGCCTCAGGATGCAGCTATTCGAGAGTTCAAAGAGGAGGTAGGATACGACGGGGGCCGTGTCGTCCACACCACTCCTACCGCTGTTGCCGACCCTGGCATGAGCACCGCCAATTTGCAGTTTGCAACCGTGGAGGCTGACGTTAAAGAAGGCGACCAGCCTCCTGTCCAGAATCTACAGGATAACGAAGATATTGTGGTCAAACATGTTGCACTTGACGATCTGTACGATGAACTCGTCAAGTACGCGGAGAAAGGCCTCGCGATTGACGCGAGAGTGCTTACCTTCGCCATGGGCTGGAACAAGCACAAGGAGTATTCATCTGCTGGGTTGTGCTGAAGGTAGCCGTTTATAAACGGGACAGGGAGAATGGGGGGATGAGAATGGATAAACATCAGCATCGCACAAATGGTCTTATCATGGGATAGCTTTCCTAGCTTGTGTTCTCCTTTCTTTAGGTGGCCATGGGCCTCCGAACTCTGATCTAGAGCAATAAAAATGAACCTCTCGACTTCTATATACTATTTTTGTGCATACCGTCGTGAATTTTGCATGTAAAACCCGCTGTGTTCACTCAGCGCTCCACGTCCAGCAAAAAGTTCCTACTCTTGTCAAGTCGCGATGAGTTGTGCAGCTCTTGAATTCGCTTGTCAACCGTACGCCATAAGGCCTCTAAGAAATACAATGTAAGTGTGCAAGCATGTGCTATAGATAAGAAATAGCACCCTCGAGACGTGATCAACTTGACTCCCGTGTGCTACAGAGCCAGCCTGGCTTCAATAAAGAGTGGTCGCTAGACAACATTGCGGAAGTAGCACGAGGTACTGTAACCGAGGTGACATGGAATGGTGGTAAATTTTTTTTGCGCCCTGTTAATGTTATCGAAAAATCTACCAGCCAGCCAGCCAGCCAGCCAGTCGTGGGGGTCGCCGACTAAGTGACCTTCTCTGCCAGTGACATTCGAGTTACTGCCACTCTAGGCAGATTTCGGTATGAAAGAGGCTCCACTGTTAGGCAGATTTGGCCAGGCAGCAACCATACTAGTGCCGTACGTCCTCCATACAGCAAAAAATGGGCCCAGGGGTACAGCAAGTGTGCCTTGTCGGGCTTAGATGCAAGCGAACCAACCCCAGCATAATGCACCGCGACCAGTAGTCTCTTACAGAATGGCAGTGCATGAAAGCCACACTGCGGTCCAACAGCATGGCTTGGCGGGGTTAAAATACGCATCTACGCGATTGCCAAGGCTGCCTAGAGCTACACTACTGCATTTTCAACGGGGCCACTCCATACACTGATCTCTACGGTAGTCATGCATCTGCAGTTGCAGAAGCATTACGGGTGTCACTATTGTGGAAGAAATAGCAAAAATTGCTAAAACCTAAATTGAAAATTGCAAAAATCACAATGTGTAATCTATCCAGATAGCTAGTTCTTCAAGGTCAGTTTCATCAAGCGCATCAACTGGTGCTTCTGATCCTTCATGTACTCGTGATCATCCACGAACATCCACATGTTCCCCGTGTTACTGTCGCGGAACTCGATGAGCTCATCTCCGTCGTCGTCGACTCTCAAAAACCACTTCACGCGCCTAACGGGGAGAAGCGAAGAATGAAGCTGCACCAGGGCTGCCACCCAATCAAACAAGACGATATCTCTCAACGTGCCTGTCTCCCTAGTGAATCGTTCAATCATGGCCATGATCGATGGGGAGTTCTGGAAGACTTCCTTGAGCTCGCTCTGACCCAGCTGGAAGGGACAACCCTTGCAACACTCGGTTGGCACGATGGTGAACTTGATGGGTTTGTCGCTGACAAATTGAACGAATTCCTTTGCGGAATTATGGTCCAGATGGTCATTGAAGTTCCTTTTGACTACATTCAGCTTGCCTTCCGTGTAGAACACCATGGCGCAGACATCAGAGACCGGGAGCTCCCGAACGAACTCAAGAGCTTCAGTGAATGGGCCTCCAATTGTGAGAGAGGAGCTAAATTCGCTCTCTCGCTTGAGTTTGATAAGGTCGCTGAAGTCGTGAAGAATCGTTCTTGGCTCCTCATATCCAAAGTATTCAGCTTGGCGATCAATGTACTCGTTGCAGACGGCAAGAAGCTGCTTCCGGTGCTCATCTCCTGCCGGTTCATTCTCTGCAGCATAGTACTTGTCCAGTTCGGCCGCGTTGAAGTCGTAGGAATAGTCCGGGACATGGAGCGGGTGATGAAGGCCCACGATAACTTTATCCAGCGACGATTTGGTCCAGTAGAAGTCGTAGTTTGAACGGGGGATGTCTTGCTTCTCAAAGAATGACGCGAACCGAAACGCGGTGAGGACCATGTACATGTGCGCATCCTGCCTCACGTATGGCACCGAAAAGTCTGCATCCTTGCTGAAGTAAGGCCACATATCCCCGTTGAGGTGCTTGGCCCATTCCGGGTCTTTGGTGAGGGGATAGACCATACGCTTTATCCTGACCACATCCTTGATCCTGTTGAAATCTTTGCCATATCGCTTGGCTTTGAGGTCCAGGACCCGGGGCGAAAGGACGATGGGAGTGACACTGCTCGGATCAACTTCACGGCCGCCTTGAGGATCTCAAGACAGCCCATTCAGTCATGTTTGTGAACTGGACTCCCATTTACCCTGACATTGTCATGAACTGGACAGCCAGCGGACGTCGGCCCATCGGTCTGTGTAAGGAGCTGTCAGCGATCGGCTCATGGCGATGAAGGGAATGCTGGAGCGATGGGCCCACCGCCATAGGAGTATTTCTGAGCGATCGGCCCACCACCATGATGCAACTATTATACAGGCATGGGCCCACCGCCGCGGTGATAGTTCTGAGTGATGGGCCCACCGCCATAGGTGTATTTTTGAGCGATCGGCCCCCTGCCACGGGGCTATTATACAGCCATCGGCCCACTGCCATAGGTAGTGTTCTGAGGGATCGGCCCACCACCACGGGGCTATTACACAGCCATTGGCTCACCGCCATAGGTAGTGTTCTGAGCGGTGGGCCGACCGCCATAGGTAGTGTTCTAAGCGATCGGCCCACCGCCATAGGGATATTTCTGAGCGATCAGCCCACCGCCACGGGGCTATTGTACAGCCATCGGCCCACCGCCATTGGAGCTGTTCTGAGCCATCGGCCGACTGCCATAGGTAGTGTTCTGAGCGATCGGCCCATCGCCACGGTGCTATTATACAGCCATCGGCCCACCGCCACCGTGGTAGTACTGAGCGATGGGCCGACCACCATAGGTAGTGTTCTGAGCGATCGGCCTACTGCCATAGGTATATGTCTGAGCGATCGGCCCACCGCCACGAGGCTATTATACAGCCATCAGCCCACTGCCACCGTGGTAGTACTGAGCGATGGGCCGACCACCATAGGTAGTGTTCTGAGTGATCGGCCCACCACCACTGGGGCTATTATAGAGCCGTCGGCCCACCGCCATATGTAGTGTTCTGAGCGATCGGCCTACCGCCATAGGTATATTTCTGAGTGATCGGCCCACCGCCACGGTGCTATTATACAGCCATCGGCCCACCGCCATAGGTAGTGTTCTGAGCGGTGGGCCGACCGCCATAGGTAGTGTTCTGAGCGATGGGCCCACCACCATAGGTAGTGTTCTGAGCGATCGGCCCACCGCCATAGGTAGTGTTCTGAGCGATTGGCCCACCACCACGGTGCTATTATACAGCCATCGGCCCACCGCCATAGGTAGTGTTCTGAGCGGTGGGCCGACCGCCATAGGCAGTGTTCTGAGCGATCGGCCTACCGCCATAGGTATATTTCTGAGCGATCGGCCCACTGCCACCGTGCTATTATACAGCCATCGGCCCACCGCCATTGGAGCTGTTCTGAGCCATCGGCCGGCTGCCATAGGTAGTGTTCTGAGTGATCGGCCCACCACCATAGGTAGTGTTCTGAGCGATCGGCCTACCGCCATAGGTATATTTCTGAGTGATCGGCCCACCGCCACGGTGCTATTATACAGCCATCGGCCCACCGCCATAGGTAGTGTTCTGAGCGGTGGGCCGACCGCCATAGGTAGTGTTCTGAGCGATGGGCCCACCACCATAGGTAGTGTTCTGAGCGATCGGCCCACTGCCATAGGTAGTGTTCTGAGCGATTGGCCCACCACCACGGTGCTATTATACAGCCATCGGCCCACCGTCATAGGTAGTGTTCTGAGCGATGGGCCGACCTCCATAGGTAGCGTTCTGAGCGATGGGCCCACCGCCATAGGTATATTTCTGAGCGATCAGCCCACCGCCACGGTGCTATTATACAGCCATCGGCACAACCCCATAGGTAGGGTTCTGAGCGATGGGCCGACCTCCATAGGTAGTGTTCTGAGCGATCGGCCCACCACCACAGGGCTATTATACAGCCATCGGCCCACCGCCATAGGTATATTTCTGAGCCCATAAGCATGGGTCACCTGAAATATCTGACTAGCCTGGGCATAGCTGAGTTATTTGCCTTGCCCTAGGTTGTCAACTGGGCTCGTATCGTGTCCGTGTCATCTTGGTGAAGCATGGGTGGGTGAAGGAACATACCAGATGATTCGTCAGGGAGTAGCATAGGTGGATGTATGAAACATGGAGATTGGTCGGGGGGAAGCATGGGCGGATGTATGAAACGTGGAGATTGGTCAGGGGGAAGCATGGGCGGATGCCACACCTGGTTGCCCGAGCCAAGAAGTAGACCATACGAAGTGAACGGATTGTACCCGAAGTCAACCGAAGAGCACAAAGTAGACGAGGATGCGGACGTGTGCAAATCAGCGTACGAGCCGAAGGACACCACAGAAGAAGGGGGCTCCGACGCCGAGTCGTTGCTCATGCGGCACCTCTTGCTCAGACCTATCGGCCCACCACCATAGGTGTAGTTCTCAGTGATCAGTCAACCGCCATGGGCATATTTTTCAGTGATTGATCCACCGCCTAACAGGGCAATGATGGAGCTACCGCTGGCCAATAATTTCCACGTAATCCACCCATCATTCCCTCCAATTCTGGTTAGCTCACTATCAGCTCTCCTTGCAGTATCACACTCTCTCCCACTGTGGGAAGGGTTGGCGAACTGTGGTGAATATCCTTCGCCATCTGAACATGGAGTTCAGAATGACTTCGCCAAACTCTCCCAATTGGCATTGGCGTTTCGAGACATGCATCAGATACAATTTGGGATGTGCCCTTCTGGGTAGAGTATGTGGAGACGAATGGCGGTCCTTTCCACCGTGAGTAGGGTTGGCGAACTGTGGTGGATATCACTCGCCATCTGAACATGCAGTCCAGAATGACTTCGCCAAACTCTCCCATGTGGCATTGGCTTTCGAGCCATGCATCAGATACCATTGGGGATGTGCCCTCCTGAGGAGAGTATGTGGCTACTATGTTTCGCCTTACCACACCAGGTACATTGCCCAGGTTCAAAGACATGACAACCTTATATTCGACACACTACAGCACGAACGGACGCCTGGCATTGGGCGATTACATTCCTAACTCACGCAGCTGCCGCGTCGCCTCCTGCAGCTCTTCCAGCACCACATCCAGGTTCTGATCTGTCCTCTTGTGCAACCAACTAGTGAGGTTCGCGACGCGAAAATGCAGCTGTTCAAGCTGCACCAGTGTAGACTCGGAGACGGTGTACACCTTCTCCTATGTTCTCGAGGTTCAGCAAGACTGTAAGGTGCTAGAACGTACCACTCACCCAGGGATCACCAAGTTTGTACCACCAGGCCTCCATAGGGCTCCCCGCCGGCCCAACCTGACGATCCCATTTCCACCAGTAGTCGGGTGAATCCTCGAGTAGGTTCTTAGGACGAGGAACGAGGGTGGTGGGGCGTGGAATCGCCTTGACGTCAATGCTGATGGGGCGCAGAACTTCGCGATTGAAAGTGCAGACGGTGAGGACACTGGCGATAACTCCGCCATGGTCAATATGGTCAGCATGACCCGCCAACGCGAGGTCACCACAGATACCCCTGATGGCGAACTGCACAGGACTCAGCAGGGTCAGGCGATATCAGCAAGAAAGGCGTACCATCTCCCGGCGCAAGCCTTCCTCCCAACGGACCTTGGTGAAGTGATCTGGGTCAGGCTCCAGTGCCAGAACAGCTTCTTGGATCCTCCAAGTGTAGACTTCCAACTGCAACCTCCCTCTGGAGAACAGGCAGGGGCGCGCATCTGATGTTGAAGACTGGGCAGACATGACGGTGAGTGGATGAGCCGAGGTTGATATCTGATCGACCTTATCTGATGTCTGATGTCATGCGATTGGAGAGCACATGCCGAGATGAAGCCCTCAGGCGAGGATGGAGGTCACTTCGCCAAATGTGATATTGGTGAGTAGGAATTACACACATGACGATCACTACATCGATATAGCAAACATGAATATGCGTACACCCCAGTGAACCCTGACTCAAAGCACATTTTCATCGCCCGCCCTTTCGTCCTCAATGTCCAGGGCGAGGATGTGGCTGAACACGTCAGTGGCGTGGCTGGCGAAGGTCCGCCACATACTCACTTGCCTGGCGGCATAGCAAACATGACCCCGCCAGGAAGGATCCGTCATCTCGAGCCAGTGAGCCCATCGTTCCACATTCCGCTTGAAGGTGGCTATGGTCCAGGCCATTTCCGAGTGGACCAAGACACGCTCCTCCCTCCATCTCTCATATCGAGCTCTGGCACGCAGCCAATTCACTCTATAGACTGGAGGGTAAATTAGCAGGAGGCCTAGAGATCGATCGGACAATTACGAACACTCGTCCATCCATTCTGATGAACCTCAATCTCCAGCGACATCCATGGTCCAGAACCAAGCCAGGTTGACGTTCCTGAGCCCGGAGGTGCTAGCCTCGATGACGGCAGTCTTCACGTGCAGGTCCTTCTTATCCAAAGGGCGATAGAGGGCCAAGTCTTCATCGGTGGCGCCCAAGCGCATAATGGCGCGTCGGTTGGCGGAATAGAGCCTGGCGCAGGCCAAGACGGTCTGATCGGCAGCATGAACCTCCGCCTGTGCACGGGTCATGGTTCCGACGCTGTTGGCAGGACGAACCCTCTTGCGGTAGAGGTAAGACTTCAGTCCAAGCGCCATGCGAAGCTCGTGGAGGATGTCATTCATCAGGCCTTTGCGCAACTCCAACTCTTGGGCCGCCAGGGTCTGGAGCCCGTTGGCGATGGCGGCCACGAATCCGATCTGCGAAGGTAAATTCAAGGAAGCTTGCTCGGGTGGAATCGCATCCTCGCCATACTCAGCGTCCTCCGGGTGTATTTGAAAAGGATTCTCATCCAAGGAATCCCAGAGCGCACCATCGTCACGATCTTCCATGGCGGGAACGTCCTCCAACCTTCCCATGAACTTCTCAGAGCGACGTTGGAATGTGAGAATGCTGACTTCGAGGCGCTGACGGCGCTCGAGAGTCTTGAGGTCCTCCGCCACGCTCGGATTTTGACCCGCCTTGCGGATATCATTCGCAAGCTTAAGCCTGAAGGCCGTCAGAGCTGTATTTTTGTAAAGACGAGGCAAACTCACTGTGCTTCTTGAATTTTGAGGCCAGTCGACAACCATCCGGCGGTGCCCTTCTCCAAGCCCTTGGCGGACTCCTCGCCCACCAGTCTGAGTTGGGTGAGATCTTTACCCGGGGCTTGCATTCACGTCAACTACATGCCACACGATGATGGAAGGATACTCACCCTTCCTGAGCTGGACATCGAAGGTGTCCATAATCTTCGGATCATTTTGGCGAGCCTCCATAGCGTCGTCGTACTCCTTCTGCCATGCCTCAAGGACCTCCTCATCTGTGGATGCAGATAAAGCTTCAAAGGACTCCTTGCTTCTTGGGAAGCCCAGGAGCACGCATTTCCACTTTGTCATCAAGGTTGGCACTGTAGGCAGCATAAGGCAGGTGGCAAATAGGGAAGGAGGAACCAGGCTCACCCATGCGAGTCGTCTTCTTCCAGTTGGAGTCATTCATGTGATCGTCAAGGACTTCTTGGTGGTGAGCTCGGGTCATGCCCCTGGTACTGCCTGAGACCTCATTTGTGGGCGCCCACAGGGTCTCGATGACCTCGCCATCGACCATACCAGCGCCAACTATAAAGTTGGGCGAGAACCGTTGGAAGCAGCAATCTTGGTGTCCGTGCACATGAAACAAGCCGATGCCTTGGTCTATCTTGAGCTCGAAGGGCATCCTCAGATAGGCGCTGTGGCGGAAACGTTTGCGGACATGGACGCCATACTGGCACATGATGTCGTACATGACGAGGACGAGGGTGATACCGGTGAGGGTCAGGAGCGCATTGCTGAGAGAGTAATCCATATTCATTTGTCTGCAGAGGGTGCGTCGGTGAGAATGAATCATGACAAGAGACATATGCGAACCTTTCTCCCTTCTGGAAATCGACGACAGTATGAGGGACGAAGAAACCATGTCTGGCGCAAGCAGTGGCCCCGATTCCTGTGGCGTCGAGGTTGGCGCGATCCACATTGGCCTGATTGACAGCGCGGTGCTCATGACAAGTGGAGCGCTGGTGGGCTTAGGAGTCAAGGGCAGAAGAAGAACGTGCAGCCAGACACGCACCTGATGGGACTCCATGGCCACCGCCAGATGAGCCTTGTAATCCTCTTGGCCGACCATGAATGCCTGGCCATCACTGAGGGCGACGTCCTCCTCAGGGTGCTTCATCTTCATGTGCTCTGCACTGAAATTGCCATCCATGACAAAGCCGCATTTGAACTTCCACTGCACTGGATCCGCTTGCCAATCAAAAGGCAGGTTGAGCCCAGGCTGGGGACAGGCGGGACAAAAGATGGCGAGGCCACCCTTCTCCACAGGACGGAGGGCATCGTGTGAGAAGCCGTGCCACTTGCGATATTTGAGTTGGCGCCATTGGCGGGACACCCGCATCAGCTCACGATAACGGTCCTGGCGAGGAACTGGCATGAACGGTTGGGCCATGGGAATGCATGTGAACACTTACAGGAACAGTGCCAGGGAAGGCATTGCTCGTGACCCGTTTGAGCTTGCTGTAGTAGTTCAATGCCGCCGTCTTGCACTCTTTGTTCTCCAGAAGGAAATCATCGAGGACGGCGAATGTGAAGGCGGTATGGGGATCCTTGACGGTACCAGGGTAAAGTCCCATTTGAAGAAGCTGCATGTCACACTCCACTGCCATCTCACACTGGCACCAGTCAACGCCGATATGGTGAACGCCAGAGATGTCGACAATGACTATGATCCGATTCCCGTAACTGTCACGGCGAGGTGGCCGGGAGAGCACCGGTGGCACATCTTCCTCCCAAGTGGGATCGGGAGCATCGTCAGTTTGCCTTGCTTCACCATCAAGGGTGCCTGCCAGAGGTGCAAAGTTGAATGGGACCTCGCCATCATCTGAGATCTCGCCATCATGTGCATTTAGGTCTTCATTGGAGGCATTCCAGAAATCGGACCCCGGGGCCACCACCGGTGCAGGGTTGTTATGTGCTGTGAAGGCGCCCAGAGGGCAGGGATCTCCGCCATGCCCCAAATGGATGCAGACGCCAACCCGATACAGTGATGCCGGCTCAAAATACTGACCCTGCCAATGCTCTATCCGATGGAAAGGAGCACGCTGATGGCCATTACGACAGCAGTCAGTACAGGTGAGCGGTCTGCCCATACAGTCCAGGCATCGCCACCGTCCCTCGCCAACCTTGCATTCCGCACAGTTTCTGGGCTCAGGCGGGGCTTCCATCTCGACAATGGCATGAAGATAGTCATCACGGTGGGGTATCCAGTCCCTCATGAAGTCATTCTGGGTCTATCGCGCATGGTCAGACCGTCAGATGGTCATGGTGGGAGTGCCCACCTTTGTCTTCTGAGCCGCCGGATCCAGCTGAATCGGCACACCTATGTTGCCCAGGACATCGCCATCATCCAAGTTAAACAAGGGGCCTGAAGCTGGAGCCTTCCATGGACTTTTGGAAGGCGATGGCACGTTTGAACCCGTGGGCATGGGCAAAGGTACGTCCACATAGCGTACTCCCCTAGTGGTCTGCTTAGCTACCTTGGTCACAAACTCAACCTCGTCATCCAGGTCTACAACGAGCCTGCTTTTGTTGCGTCTGCTCATGGTTCAGGTCAGTGGGGAGTCGTATTGCAAACTCATCGATGAGCATTGTGTCCCTATCGCACAACACAACACGTGCAAATCACACACGGTCTTGCTGCCCACCAGACTACTCATTAAGGTGGTTAAGAATGGCTGCAATGCCTGGGCCTTATCACCTCGTGGTCTCTTTAGGCACCAAATCAGCGTTATGCAGATAAGGATGCCATGTTGGCGAGAGGTCCGCCAATTGTATGTCGCTCTCAGTGCTAACTTTGCCTTGACTCGGAGTAGCATAATGCTCAAAAGGGAAACATGCACTTGCACCGTGCGCTCGCCAACGCTGCCGCCATCTGCCCCACTAGCACTCACAACTTCTCAACCGAACACATTTCGCCACCATCTCCGCCAACTTCGAGGTCCGCCAACCATATGCTGCCATCAGTGATAACTACACCTTGAGCTGAACACTGTCGAGATGTGAAATGCACACTCATACCGCACGCTCGCCAACCTTCAGCTAGGATTCGGAAATTCGAAACTCCATACATTTCGCCATCACCTCCGCCAACTTTATCCCGCCAATGAAGCTGCCATCGACAGTCTCCATCCCCTGCATAGTGTTCTCGTCTTCATCAGTCTTTGGCATGATGTCCCTCTAATAAGCGAGCCAGTTAGGACCTGTTCTGAGTTAGGAATGCAGACTCGGTGGTGAACTGTGCACATGCCAATGTGTGAGGCGTAATATGAAGCTTGCATCCAGTGGGGCGCCGGAATGCCTAGCCTGTTCTGGACACCCTCTCGCATGAAGTATGCATAGACGAGCCTTTTGCCATCTGCTCGAGTGATGCCATGACGAATCGCCTTTCCACAGAAGGCTATGACAGTTCCAGGACTATAATCGATGGCGACACGCATGGCGGGGAACTTCAACCACGCGCAAGTGTAGTTGCCCAACGTCGCCAACAGGTCGTAGAAGGTGTATCTTGTCTTGCTATCTCGGTGGAAAGGAGTTTCCCGGTTGGCGATCACCTGGAGCGCATTGAATGGCGACGACCAGTTCAGCGCCATCTCTCGCAATTCTGGGTCTTGCTGGATCAAACCCAAGCACTGGCGTCCTGCGGCATATAGTGTTGGGTGAACGACGGCCAGGATGGCGCCCAGCAATGCGGAGGAGTCATGAATATCACGCAGCCAACTTCTTCCGCCCTCAAGCTTCAGGCTGGCGGAGGTCTCCAGCCTCCCAGACTCCATATGCTGCAAAGGCTGTCCAGACGCAAGGCAAATGGCGTGGCGAGGAGACCCACCTCTCTTACTTGTTGGAACCAACCTGGCGAGAGACACAAGGAGCCCGCTGGGAATTGGGCACACTCCTCAGGAGGCAAGAAGTACAACGGGTTGTGTCGCCAACTGGCGGTGGTGCTGGAAGGCTTACTGGCTGCTATTGCTGGGTGTAGGGCCCTGGTCGCTTGGAGCATCTTCGTCTGACAAATTTGTCAGATCACAGCGCAAGGCTGGGCAAGCCACTCACCTGGCGGTCTGGTATCAACACTCTTGGAAGTATCCAAGCCAAGATGCGTCCGTGCATGTCCACGAGGGTGGCGGGCTGGTCTATGCGTATTTCGCTCTCACCAAAGGGAGGAGGCCACTTCCATTCCAGTTCTGCCTCGAGGACTTCATTCTGCCCCGTGGGCTGAATCGAAAGGCTGTCGCAATATCTATCAATGTCCCACTGCAGCCTTACTATTAAAATGGCGTGATCAGTGTGATCAGACCTGCGGCAAGACTAATGACTACCAGGATTACGGATGGCCTTCACAAGAGCATCTGCAATGCCATTGCACTCCAATAGGAGGGCGGATGGCATGGACGGAGGCACTTCTATAGATGGCGCAGAATGGGCTGCATGAGTGGCCAGATGGAGCTTTCGGCGGAACATGAGCTCCAAGACTCCTGCTATCTGATCGGTCAGTGGCATGGGTGACAGATTGCTCATCTTGATACTGTCTGCCAATCAATGGGACGATTACAGCATGCATCGGTTGAAGGAACGCACAGGTGTATGGCGGGCTCAGGCGGTTGGCTTGCAGATGCAGAGGAGAATGTAGGAGGGGCCAGAATGGCAAAGAACAGTATGCATTCATCTGCCTGCATATTGCTTGCAAGCACGTCCCTTGCACATCTCACATGTTCATCATGCCGCTGAGCCGGACATGATGCCGCCATGCCGGATCACGGGCCGGGTGGTCCGCCATGTCTGGGCCCTTCGTCACTGCCATCTAATTGGCCGAGCCTAACTCCGAGGAAGCCCTTTATCCCACAGATTGGCATGCAGATGATCGCCAGATTGCCTCCGCCCAGCATTCGTGAGATGAAGTTGGCGTGGTGTGCTCTGCCATAGAAGCAGCATTCAACATTGCCTTTCACCAGGCATGAATGCTAGTGCATACCTACTACCACCTCCCGCCACTGCGAAAAATACACATACAATGCTTCAGCAGTCACCACACACCATGGCGAGGAGGGTAATTGGTGTAAGCCCAAATGGGCCATCAGCACGTGCATGTTGAGTTGTGGGCGGCCGATGAGGAAATGGACAGAGCGCTGCCCGTTGAACTATCGACCCCCTTCACTGCCCCAACACAAAAATCTCATCCTCGACATCAAGAAAGCATGCCAGCGAGATTTGTAATTTTGACGGAGCATCAGCCCATACTCTCTGAGAAGCTGCGGTCTTATGACATGGCAGATGCCAAGGGACGCAAGACTCTGGTTCAGAGCTTGCGCCAGAAGCTGAAGACACAGTTTGTCGACACGTCAAATTATGACGACATCATTGTGGAAACTGTGAGCAGTGTTTCATGTCTGTGAGGTCCCCACTAACTCTCACCGCAGAAAATCCGAGAGTGGCTCAATAACCACGCCCGCCATGCGCAGGAGAAAGCGACGAAAAAGCGTATGCATGTTTCTGGCAAGCCCAATGCCTTCAAGGTGTGGGATGCGCTGGAGAGGGACAAGGTGACTGAGGCCGCGCGAGCACTCGCCGCAGATAAGGGTTGCAATGTCTCCAAGGTGTGGAGAGTCGCACGGAGTGCCGAATGGGCAAAACTGTCCGAGGAGGAGCAGAAGGTGTATGAGGAAAAGGCGGAAAGTTGGCGCAATGGCACTCTGGATGATAAGACGAAAATGAAGTGCGTACCTCCTGTCACGTAGCATAAGGCAAATCCTGACCTAAGACAGGCTGAGGGAGCAGCGAATGATGCAATATCTGAAGAAGTTTGCCAAGACTATGTGGGACACCATGGGCATTCGCATGGCATTCATGCTAGCATATCCAAAGGAAGCGGGGAGTCTGAAGGTAGAGATGTGAGCATAGACCGTCCGACTGTCACCATCTGCTAACCCCCGAGTGAAGGGTGGAGGTCAACCACGCCATCACCAATGGAACTCCATTCGGGGCCTATCCTGGGTGGCTGCGTGCTTACCAGCCTCTAGCAAAGGTGTTCTCTGAGTGGGCCAAAGGCGAATACGGTAAGAAGACCTCAGTTGCATTGTCGCTGGCACACTGACCTGATTCCTTAGGTGTGACTGAGACTACGGTGACGGTGAAGAAGACACCTGCCGATTGCATGCAGGCCATGGACAAGATTCAGTTGATGGCCAACGGTTTTCCTCTGCTCCCGTCGGTGCCCGAAGGTATGGCGGAAGCGCCTCTCAAGGTGATGAAGGTACAAGTTCGAGACTTCATGAATCATCACTACGGTATGACACTCCCACTCGGTGTTGAGAGATGCTGACCAGTTTACAGCATTGGCGAAGGGTGTTCGGAACTGCAAGTCGCCATGGACGAAGCTGAACAGCATAGATGACATCAATGAGGTTATTCCAGCGGAGATGCTACCTGAGAACTTCCAGTGGATTGATCCCTCAAAGATGACAAGTGTTCCCGTTCGTGCCCTCCTCGACCACTGGCGGGCATGCCAAGAGGAACATGGACCTGAGCAGACCATGCGATTCACCCAGTACTTCGACAAGGATGGCGAAGCTGCTCCCGCCAAGTATGATCCTCTTCCACCACTTGATGGATCAGCACAGGCATTAGAAGAAGGATCTGAACATGAGGTCCAAGAAGCACTCACACCGAAGAAGGCGGGGAAGGCGAAGAAGAAGGGTAAACCTGTGCGCAAGGTCACGGGAAAGGCGGCATCGAAGGCGACAAAGGGCAAAGCGGCCCCTGGCGGAGCCAAAGGCAGTGGGCGTAAACGCAAGATGAAAGATGCATATGACTCGGAAGATGATGCCAGAAGCAGCCAAGACTCTGATCGGAGTTCGCCAGATATACCCAGCATGGCTTCCGAAGAAGATACGGCCAGCGATGAAGATTCAGGGGATGGCGAATAAAGTGAAGGGCAAGGCAGTCGCCACCACCAATGGACGTAAGGCTAACAATGGCGGTGCACCTCAAGCGAGTGGTAGCGGCGGTGCCAAGACGAAGGCAAAGCGAGGTCTCCAAGACCTTCCTCTGGGCGAACTGCACAGATTTGACACAGAGGAGACCGATGAAGCATGGAGTGAACTGGAGCCCAGTACAAAGGAGCTCAGGCTTGAGCTTCAAGGCCGAGCCCCGCGTCTCACTGGCGGGAGTACTGTGGGGAGTACTGTGCCCCACCTCGTCAAAAGGAGAGACGTGTTTCTCGCCACCCTTTCCGTCGAACCGCGATACCAGGATATGCTGAAGCAAGTCAAGATTGCGACTGTGGTGAGCTCCTTTCGTGGGGATTCATATACACTATTGATCATCCGTCATATAGCCCCAGGTGTATCGTTTCGCCAGGTATGATCCGATTCCCTGGAGTGAATGGTCGTATGGCCAGCGCTACCTCCCGCCGTCATTTCATGCGGTGGACAACTTTGACATCGTCGAGAACTGGTTGGGCGACAAACCATGGCTGACAAAATATCGGTTCTTACATCCACAGGGTGTACAACAATCTGCACTCATGATTGGTATGGCGCTGAGGGACCTCACATGATCTCAGTTCATTGAGGAGGGCGAACCGACCAACCTTCCTGACTATGTGGTGAACTCGGCGATCTCATTTGACACAGTAGAGCAGCTGCTTCGCTGTTGCGAGATCATTACCTTGGACATGGTGGAAGGGAACGTCACCCATGCCATGGTGAAGCCAGTGAGCAAGCCTGCCATACGCGGTGCCCCACAAGGTGGCGATGGCCTTGGGGGCCAGGAGGAGCAGGAAGGTGATGCCTCTGCAAGAACTCACGATGGCGCTGCTACTGCTGCCAAAGTTCACAAGGCTCACCAGCCTGCCCCCATGGCTGACAAACCAATCATTCCAAGTGGAGGAGACGAAGGGCCGAGCCAGGAGACCAGTGGTGGGGCCTCTAACAATGGCGAAGAGGACGATGCACACTTGTCCGTACCTAGCAGTGGTGCTGAACGACCGCCACCGCCTCCGTTTATACCTAAGACGAGGAAGGCCGCAGCCACGGAAGACCGTCCGTCAGGTCAAGCCAAAGCGCTCCAGGGAAGGTCGATCACCGATGCCCTTCAGAGTAATATCCCCGGCAGGATCACTCGCAGTCAGCGTCAAGCGATGGATGAGTCGCCCGCCAAGAATACCCGCAGTCAGCATCCACTAGGAGCTGTGAAAGATTTGAAGAAGCTTCCTGATCCAAAGTGGGAACGTCAACCAGCACGTCCCGAGCCCGATGGTGAAGACAGCTCTGGCGAAGACAATCCGCCACCTCGGAAGCGTGGACGTGGTACTCGGGACGAGTTGGTAGTGGCCTTGCCGAGGAAGAAGAATGCGAGGGCCGAGGACTCGGATGATGGTGACAAGCCTCCCGCAAAGTGAAGACGAGCTCTGCCTCAGACCCCGGAGGTCAAGGACAAGGGAGAAACCAAGCTGAAGCCGGTCCGTCTGGGGAAAGCAGCCACCAAAGTGAAAGAGAGTGGCCAAGTTGGCGCAGGTCGCAAGACCCGCAGTGGCGGCACCAGACCTTGACAATATAACTCCAGTTCAAAGTAGACTCGTAGGCTTCCACATTGTTTAATGTGACCCATAGATCTACATAGGTAAAGCCATGGAGATGGTGGCAATGGCGAGGGGAGTTGGCGAGAACTTCAGCAGGCATTCAGTTGACTTGGAGTGGCAGTGGTGAATCGAGTGCATGGAGATTCCATGCTAGGTTAAAAAGCATGTATATCAATACTCTAATGACTACACATTGTGGCTATCTGGGCGAAAGGCGGTGAAGACCATGGCGGAGTCGACCTTCTCTCGGAATGCGTCCAGAGACTTCGCCACCAGTGAGGTTTCCTCTCTCGCTGTCGCCACCTCCTTCCCCACCTTCTTCGCTTCATCCAAAGCGGACGTCGCCACCGCCATCAAATCCTCTTTGGCGAGCGCCAATTCCATCTCCAGCTTGCTCGCTTGAGCGATCGCCTCTGCCGCCGAAGACCTGAGCTCCTTCTCCATGCTGTCTGACCGCGCTGCCTGGAGCTCCATCGAATGACGGAGGTTGGCCAATTCGCCCTGCAGCTTGTCGACATCCGCTTGGCTCACCGTCTGGTTCGCGCCTTGCTCCAACCTGTTGACCTTCTCCTTGAGCTCTGGCAGGCAATGTCGCTTGGCGACGAGGTCCGCCACCGCCAACTTCACGCTCTCCTGAAGCTCGATGGTGACCGGCCTGCGAAACTCCTCCATGGCCAACTTGACCTCTTCGCGAATGCTCCGGGCATTTTCTTGAAATGCGGATGGCGGGTTGATTCGCTGGAGTGCCGCTGTGATCTCTGCCTTGACGGTGTTGAGGTCCGCCATCCTCTCCTGGAATTGGACTTCCATCCTGTCCTTGTGCGCCAGGAACTCCTGTCGCAACTTGGCACAATTCGCGCAGTCATCGTTGGATGACTGCGAGGTTTCTTCACCACTGGGGGTGTCGCCTTCGTTCACCGGAGCGGGACTTCCTGTAGACACTCGCTGGACGTCGTGCAAGTGGGGTGCTGTATCCCTGGTCAGCGCTGCATGGATTCGAAGCTGTGGCGGGCGCACTTACCCTTGCTGGTCGGAGGCACTGCTCTGAGGCGGTTCGCCTTCGCATCCCTTTTCGCCTCCGCCTCCTTCTTCGCTGCATTGCGGTCCAGTGGGGCGCCCCTCTTAGCTGGCCTTCGCCCTTCATCGAGATGTCCTGCCTTCACCAATGTGGAGGACTTCGCTCCCTTCGATGCCTTGGATATCTCCAGGGAGGGCGTCACCTCCTGTGCCACCTCGGCAGCTCCTGCGCTCGTCTTATGGGGCATCAGCAGCGAATGCCGCCGATCGTCGTGTGGCCGCTCCAAGGACGTGCGCTGTTTCATGGTTACATCGACTCCAGCTGCGACAAGATGTCCTGCTTACCTCATCCTCTGCCACCTCTGCCTGATACTCTGGCACATCCTCTGGTTCATCGGCGACTGGTGTCAGCATGCGCTTGCTGCTGCTAGCTTGCGGCGGAGCAGCTGGCCCTGTTTGGAAGGCCATAGCCCGCACCGCCTCCATTGCCAGCCTGGCGGCTTCCTCCATGCCATCGCCTTCTGCCAGAGGCATCTTGGCTGCTGCCTTCGGAGCACTCACCTTCGCCTTCCTGGTGATCACGGGCACCATTGGGCCCGAGCGACCTCCCATCGCCACCCTTGTCGTCTGCCCACCCTCCTTCGCAACAGACTTGGCAGGCGGGACCTCATCCGCCTCACGTACTGAGGTCCTGGTGACCTCGCCACCATCTTGCGCACCTGAGTTTTGGCTCCTCACCGGCTTTGCCTTGGGTCCTGATTTCTTACCTTCGCCAGGTTTGGCGACCGCACCAGACTTGGCAGGCGCGCCAGACTTGGAGACCTTGCCAGAGTTGGCGACCTCGCCAGAGTTGGACAGAGCCACAGCTCCAGTGGCGGTGGCGGACTTGGTGGCGCGCTTGGACTTCGACGATTTCTCCACCGAGGCCTCGCCTTCAGCGTTGGCTTCATAGCGCGTGACGGTCGCCTTCTGCTTCGTCGCCTCGACCTCCTCGCCACCCTTGACCATGGAGCTGGATGCTGCAGCATTGCACGTCTTGGTCTTCTTCGGCGGCTTGCGCTTCGACGCTCCCATGACCATGGGTTCTGCACCGTCGGGCTCATCGGAGTCGACCTTGACGTCGTATGGAGGTGGCGATGTGGGCAGTGGCTTGCCCTCTACCACCAGTGCTGCGCACATCTCTTGGAACTCACGCTGTGCGGTGTGTGAGTTTCCTCGCAGGGGCACGCCATCCGTGTTCCTCAGCGCGATGCTGCAACTGACACCTCGTGCTGCACATTCGAGGCAGTGACCGAAGTTGGCGGTGTTGAGCTTGCATGGCCACTCTTTCTCCTGGCAGCCAACGCAAGGGACGAGCTGCAGGAACATTAGCACAGGTCAATGTCTCACAAGATCGTTACTCACCGAATCTGTTGCATGTGCCCACATGAAGTCAGACACGCGGGTGGACGTCTTTTTCCACATGTCCTTCTGCGACACCATCACCTTCGCCTTCCCCTTCACCGTCACCTTCCCCTTCGCCGTCGCCTTTGCCTTCCCCTTTGCCTTCGCCTTTGGTGCGACATGAGGCGTCGCCGTCATCCTCGTTGTCTGTTTGACAGGTTTGGCAGGGGCGTTCGTCTTCACAACACCGTCGTTACAGTCCCCTGCGGTCTTGGCGGGTAGATTGGAAGGCGGTGCCGGAGTCTCGTCTTCGCTTTCGATGAACTCCTTGCTCTTGTATTCCTTCGTCGCACGCTTCTTCTTTGGCGGCTTGACGGTCGGTACTTCCTCTTCATCGCTTGACTCCTTCGCCTTCCTCTTCCCGCTCTTCTTCGTGCTCACCTTCGAGCCCTCCACCTCGGTCTGCGCCATCCTCTTCTGCGCACGCTGCGCTCGGCCAGAGGTGGTCGGGGCCTCGCCTTTCTCCTTTGCGACCTCGATCGGCTTCATCCGCTTCGCCTTCAGAGCTGCCTCCTCATTCTCACTCTCCTCACTCGACTCTGTGATGACCGCCTTGCGCTTTCGGAGTGATGGGGCAGCTGGCGAGATCGATATTGGTCTGGCAGTTGGCGGAGGGGGCGACGCCGCATCGACCTCGATGGATTCGGGCTGGCCTGCACCCGGCATGTCTTCCGCCATCTCATCGTCATCATCTTTGTCGGCATCGTCGTCCTCGTCACTGTCGGCATCGTCGTTGTCCTCGCCCTCCTGCTCCTCTCCCTCTCCCTCTTCCTCTCCCTCTCCCCCATCCTCTTCCTCACTCATCGCATGCGCCGCCTTCCCCTGCGCCTTCTCCTTGCTCTTGCCCTTTCCCTTGTCCTCCCCCACCTCCACGTGGACGATACGCTCACCCACCATGCCTGTCCCGACGTCGTTGTCAGCTCTTTCCTTGCCTTTCCCCTTGGTGATGAGGTCCCCGGTAGCCAGGTCCTCCTCGCCACGTCCCTGGGTGTCGTCATCGGCTGGCACATTGCCCCAGCCCTCCGCTGGCATACTCTTCACCGGTGGCAGCTTGCAATATGGATCTGGTGCAGTCAGTGTGTCGCTTGACGCCTCACAATGCTTGTGACTCACCTTCAGTCCACCACTGCCTTCCCAGGTCCTCACACTCCCCATACTCGCGCACAGCCAGAGGGTACCTCTTGTATATCCTCTCGTCGTCGTTCGATATGTGGTCCAGCCGCGCCAGGGCCTTCTGCTGGTATGCCCGGGTGAATTCCAGCAATGCACTGATGACGATGCCAGGCATCCTCAACGACTTCAAGGGCTGCGGGAAACTCTTTTCAAGCCGACTCTGTGTGGCATATTCAGTGAGGGTATGCCAGACCTGCAACCAATGACTTACCACTTCGAGGTAAATCCTCGCCTCCCAGTCCGAATAGCGAGGGTCGTCCTGGCGAGGCGCCGCTGCAACAATGGCCATCAGTCGCGCGGCCTGCAGAACATAGTTGGGGTCGATATCCAGAGTCATGGCGAGCTTGGCAGAAGAAAGCGTGAGGGTGTTTCAAAAGCAGAGGTTGCAGTACAGCGGAGGCGGAGCAGACGATGCTATGAGCTGGCAGACGCGATCTGCACCAAGTTCAACTTCACACGCCACGCGACCACGTGCTTTGCACGTGATCGCTGGACTTGCGCGATTTCTCAAGTCTCTCAAGGTCAGTGTGACCTGCTGCAAGTTCTCATGGCTCCCAACAGTAAGTTCTATTGCTCTCCTTGTGGAATCTGACTCCTTTGTGATGTTATCTGACCTTTCTATGTCATATCAATCCCCTTTCTACAACTGATCTCCCGCGATCCAGGACTGATCGAAGACTTGTCTGCTCGCCACAATCTACCTGCCATGGCCAGTGACGCGGAACCTCCTGACACGCTGGACATTACGATGGGCGAGTCGGATGAGGAGGATAGTATCGCTGAGCCCCGTCGTCCACTCATTTCGGATCTCCTTGACTCTCCTGGATCTGCCCAGATCTCATTGCCTCTCCACTCTGCTTCTCAGACACCTCTCACGCCCCGCCACACTACCCCGTCCCTGGCAGCTCCATTTGCGCCATCCAACTCGCCACATGAGCATCTTCACCGCCACGCCTCGCCAAAGGTACAGGCGTCATCTGGATCTGTGGCGCCTGTGGAGGGAAGTCGCGCACTTATTCCTGACCCTCTGGCACCAGCTTGGGATGAAAGTCGTGGCAGTTCGCCAATCCATAGGCGTGCACTCATCTCAGATTTCACCCCCACTGCGCCCAGTGGAATGTTCGACTTCGACACTCCTGGCATCTCGCCAATCCCTCGACGCACCCTGTTGGAAGCTACTCCCCTTC